GCGATTCGGTTGTATTTTTTTTTATACTTGTTACCTCATAACTCCGTCAATTATACATCGATTTCATCTCTTACAGATTGGTCCCATAGAAATTGTTACAAAATCGGCTTTGTTCTGTTCTGGAATCAAAATAACTGATTGTACTATATTTGTTTTTTTTTTTTGCAGAAAAATCTTAAATTATTAACAAAAGCACCAGAGAGCGCCTGTCGCACACGATTAGTAGTGCACCTAATCTTCTCGCTATTGCAAGTATTTTTACGTATACAATTTTATTACATATTCGAATATGTATTTAAATTTATATTTGAAATATATTAATACTCGTGTATACAGTAAGATATATACAGTAGTAACAAGTCTCGAACCCGCGACCCGGATCAATAGTAGACGAAGCCGCGCACCGAAGGACGAAACCTTACAAACGCGACACACCATCGACACTCAATACTTAGTGGATTCCAGCACTATTACGAAAAATTGTCTCTTCCGATTTCTTTTCTAAATGCAAAATATATTTTTTTTATTATCTTTAGACAGGCCAAATACACCACAATAAACAGCTACGATCACACTGCACAATTTTTATTTTATTCATGGTTTTTACGGCCCTGGATACAACTAACTAGACATATGGGAAATTCTGAAATGAGATATTTGTTGAGAATAATAAAATGAGTAAATTTTCTAATTCAATTTAAGTTCACTAGAATTCACCAAATTCACAATTTACCAGAGGGAGACTTTGTACAAAAGTTGTTTGCTTGGGCATCTCTGTACCATTCATGTTTCAACCGTGAAGCAGTTGTGTTTACATGGTTGTGTTTCGGTTTGAAGGGTGGGATATAGTAGTGAATTTACAGGATACACCTTAGTCCTCAGGAATGGCAACGCAAGGGGCGTATCATGGGCGAAACAGTATACTCTGTTATGGCCATGGTACTGCTCATGTCTATAGGCGACGGTTACCACTTTCCATCAGGTGGGTCGTCAGCTTGTTTGCCATTCTAAGTTGTATAAAAAAAATTATCACTGATTTACCTTTCATTGGTTACAGGTTCGAATACGCTCATCACAATCTTTTTTTATTAATGTCTTTAATTTGTATTAGAGTGGATGTTTTTATATTTAATACTAGCGGCCCGTCCCGGCATCGCACGGGTGGACATTTTTAACATTTCCCTTCACTGTTCTGCTCCCATTGATCGTAGTGTGATGAAAAGTATACTATAGCCTGCTCAGGTGTATGAAGAATAATTGTACCAAGTTTCGTTAAAATCCGTCGAGTAGTTATTGTTTCTATAACGAACATACAGACAGATAGACACAAATTGTACTGATTGCATTTTTGGCATCAGTATCGATCAATAATCACCTGCTGATAGTTATTTTGGAAATATATTTCATGTACAGAATTTACCTCTCTACAGATTTTATAAGTTTACAGATATTATAAGTACCTATAGATTATGTAACTATACAAAACTAACTAAGAATTACACAGAAGGAATGATAAAATTAAAACTGTAAATCATATGGTCGCCTCCTTTCTTCTTATGCAAATATAATTAGTAAAAAGAAAACGAAAGATACACCGTCACTTGCTATTTTTCTCAATTCATAACAGGCTACTGTATAGAAAATGTTTGATATGTCAATTATTTGCCAATAACAAATTTTACATTACTAGATTATATATTCGACACAGTTTATGTAGAAAATATGCAAGCAGATTGTATCTGAATTTGGTAGGGTTATACGGCCATAAAACATTTTCTATGCACTAGCCTGCTGTGAATTGGCAATTTTATCATTCCTTCTATGTAATTCCTTATTCTTAGATACAAACCAAAAAAGTGTGTTTAAATTTCTTATACACATAGTACAACCTTTATTTAGTTTTTCGACTAGATGTCACTCTTCGATAAGTATGTCCAACGGTTACATTTTAATTCAATGTCTATGTTTAGTATAGTATTATATTGGCCATGTGGTCCCGGTATAGAATTGGCCACCTCTTCCTTTCCCGTGGGTGTCGTCGACTAAGAGAGGGCGAGGGATAGGCAGCAGGGTTCCTCTTGAAACATCTCTAAAGCCTAACTGCGATTGCCAACCCGCCTGCCAAGTGTGGCAACTACTGGCAAAACCCCCCAAGGGGGAGACTTACGTTCAGCAGGGGACAGCTAAAGGCTGATATGATACTGGTAGTTTTATATTAATAAGCACAGATGCCTACGTAGAGGGAGATAAAAACAGTATGGTTTCAAAGTGTCTTATCCCCATACATACCCGAGTATGTTTTTGTTGGGTATGGTGGGCTATAATACACTTGAAGTGAGACGAAAACTAAATTTAATTAAGTATGTGTTAAAATTAGTGCGGGGGGAAAAGTGTAACCAAACTATACTGGAATCAATATCAATAGGAGCGGCCAGTAACTACGTGCGAACACGTCGACAGCACTCATTCGATGTTCCATTACGAAGAACAGAGTTCGCTAAGCAGGCTCCCCTATCTCTTGCATTGAAACTACTCAATGATATTTTGAGCCAGTATCCGCAATTGGACGTATTTGCCTCCAACTTGCTGGAGTTTCGTCGGGTGACCACAGAGTATTTGTGTTCAGACGTTTTTGTTTAAGTCTTTTTATATTTTTTTTTATATATGTGTAATATTCCTTTTTTATATGTTATTATACTCACGCTTTCCTGGGTGAGTGTATTGGAAGACTGCAAGGCTCACCCAGTGGATGTAATAAATAAATAAATAAATCGAATGACCCTTCAAACACAATTAAATGACTGAAAAGTATTTTCCATCACAGATTTTCGCTAAAACTATTCCACTGTTCACTGTTTTTGGTGCCAATAGTTGCCACTTCTTACGAGGTGAGCCATTAGCCGTTTTGTCATTCCGAGCTGAGCAAAAAAGTTTTAGGTAATTCTATTTACCTGTCTATTTTCAGGCAAAATCTTTCAAATGGTCGGTAGTGAGTATCACTTTTGACAGGAGGAGCAGAGATTGTTAGTAATGTGAACTACAAGTTCCAATTGCCAGCAATATACCCTATTAAGTCGATCTTCAAATGGTCCCCCCTAGAAACCATCGTGCTTAATTCTAGGTGTATTTACCATGTATGTTGGGCACCTCTGTCCCATTAGTGTTTCAACCGTGAAGCAGTTGTGTTTGCATGGCTGTGTTTCGGTTTGAAGAGTGGGATATGGCGTGAATTTACTGGGTACAGAGGAATAACACCTGAGTCCTCAGGAATGGCAGCGCATGGGGGGTATCATGGGCGAAACAGTATACTCTGTTATGTCCATGGTACTGCTCATGTCTATAGGCGACGGTTACCACTTTCCATCAGGTGGGCCGTCAGCTTGTTTGCCATTCTAAGTTGAATAAAAAAAAAAAAAAAAAATGTTGGACTTATTGACCTGCCTTTTCATCCTCACCTACCATTCTTCACTGGTGCCATTATCGTCTATAAAAAAAAAACACCTTCGACACTCAAACATCTCAATCCTTACATCTCTTGTTTCCTTCTTTTATAACTCGTCAGTTCATCACATGTATGTATACAGACCGGTTCGAGAGATTCATGAAAACTCTTGATGTGGACTTATGGAGTACCTACCTAAATATTTATTACAAACAATTCAGAATGCCAATCAAGCCGCTTAATTACTAAACCATCCGCTTAAATCAAGTCGACGATCTACTTGAAAGAAAGTGGTTACCGAGGTCTATTCACTTTAATAGTACTATGAATATCACCACATTATGGCTATAGGGTACCACGGGTGTGATGTCTTATTTTGAATATTAATTAATAGGATTTATTAAAAATAATTTATTATTATTAATCACTCCTATTTATTATTATTAATTAATCCCCTTATTTCCCTCATTCACCAATTTCCTTTACGCTTTTCCAACGTTCCCTTCCTTTTTCCTCAATCCTTTCCTCCATATCGTAGGTGGCGGAAACCACCAACAACTGCATTCCCAAAGAGGGTTGACGTCAGACAGGTGGCCGGTCGTAAAACTAAAAACCAAATCTTTTTGTAATATGGATAAAATCATATTACGCCAACCCCATGATTGGGATAAGGGTAGGAAGATGATGATTAAAAATAATATTTATGTTTCTGATAATTTCCATTTGTTTGTTCTTATCTAAAAATTGTCTCATACTGCCATCTAACAACAAAGACTTCTAACTGTTGTCACAAGTGCGTAGACTCTTATGATAAATCTAATACCCAATAGATGGCACTTGACGCCACCAAATACATAGCTGTATTGTGTTAATTCCTTTGTTACCAGCAGAAATTAAAAATAGTAAAATTGCCATTATTTTAATGTACACCATATTTAGTAGATTAATTAAATTTAAACAAAAAGTAATACACATTTATATGTATAAACATAAAATGTTATAATTTAAGATAAATAATGTCATTGTTTTTTGTTGTAGTGACCGTAATTTAATAAATTATTTATATTGTCTACTGATTACTGAAGTGATGAATAGTAAACTAAACAAAACTATTTTTTGGTTAATCCACACACTTATATGTAATTTACTCCCATAATTACAAACTAGACATGTCAGAGATGTGACAATTGCTGAGTTAAATTAGATGAAACCATAATAATAATGAGGCACATTAGGTAATGCGTAATTAATTGTTTTATGGTTGGTAAAAAAATCGATGTACATATTTGCTATTATCTTAAAATTTGTATTCGTGAACATTGCTTTACTTCAATTTCCAATTTATGTACTAGAATTTTGCGCTGGCTACTTGAATCGTTTGTAAACAATTTTCTTAAATATTTTTGTAAACGGTTAGGTTTACTCTCATATTTGATTCTACAAGTATATTTTAGTTAGAAGCAGATTGTTTTTAAAATATTTAATGATTTAAGAGTTGCCAGCAATAAAATAAATAAATATTCATTTAGAAGAATTGTAAATGTTGTATGTGGTAATATTATCTCTAAATTAGACATGGCGCGTGTATACACGGTTTCTGAAATTTTACAAAAAATTTTATTTTTTTCATTTCTATTATCTTGTTTAACATGTTTAGTAAGTGCAAACCGTGAACTCAATGAGGACAATTGGAAAGAAATCCTCGAAGGCGAATGGATGGTGGAATTGTGAGTATTTTTCTCTAGCCGGTCGCCTTTGTCGGCTTCGAAAAACGTGTCATAAAGTGTTACTCTTATTTTCTGTATTGAAAACTTATTTATTTCTTAAATTTACATATTTATCGTAAACATGCCATAATGTATCAACGTTGTCTTCAGTAGAACTGTAATTAATATAATGAAAATTTTTCATCCCACATACAAGTTCAATAAACCATGCAAGGCCATCGAGGTCTGTATGTAGACCGTTTTGAAAACCGTGACGCATTGACTATTAACTATTGTATTCGTGATAGTTCATTATTTGTTTCGATAGCTGGCTAAACAAATATTTTTTTTTACATATTTAAATTTGGAACATTATACAACAATTCTACTTTTTTATATTTTTTTTTAATTAGACTCAGTAATGAATACTTACACTAAAAAAGTCTAATAGTTTCCCAATATTTTGCAATATAACTATCATGACTTGTTAATTATAATTTGTATCTGACAGAAGCTATTTTTATTTTTATAGATATTACTTATTATTACATTAGATATTTACTTCACAAAAAAGCTTAAGTACCCAATTCTATTATAAATAAATACATACATAAATAACAGTTGTCTGTACTCATAAATACAAGTAATTGTACTGTGTGGGTATCAAGCCTGAGACTATTATAAGGTGAAGCACTACATCAAGGCATAATACTTTTAAAATTTTAATCATACACGTGAGTACCTAAATTAGTTAGTGTAATCTTAAATACATACATTGTTATCATTCCCTAAAACAGGTAACCTTGTAATGATTGATCTAATGATTTACTGATAACTGATAATAATGATTTGCTAATTAGTAGTAACTTTACTAATGATATAGTCCTTTATGTTGGAAAGTAAAATTTTAACATCTTTAGAAAAACAAATAAGTTTTTTTGAGATAAAAATGGAATAATAACTTTGCACTAATAATATATGATAATACAGATATGCATATTTAGCTCTTAAATATTGCTGGCTTCGAACCATAGCCAATAAAAACAAAAATTTTGAAATGTTCCAAATTTAAAACAAATTTATATCTAACTTTAAATATACCATTATTATACAGAATGCATAATTGTAACATAAATGATATAGAAACTAGTGATTATGAATTATTTCTACAGAATATAAAATGTCTGCCAAGTTTTAAAACAAGACTTGAGGATTGTATTTGAGCAAGCTATTATCATCGTAATTTGCTTGTCTGGTTAGCATACTTATTTCTTTACATACCTAACAATTTTATAGTTTTATGTATATACTAGCGGCCAATCCCGGTGTCGCACAGGTGGATATTTTTACATTTTAAAAAATGGCCATTAAGGCTGCACATGCTACGGAAGCTTAAAAATGGAGTAACTTCTCCTGTTTTCCCAACATTTCCCTTCACTGCTCTGCTCCTATTGATTGTAGCGTGATGAAAAGTATACTATAACCTGCCCAGGAGTATGAAGAATAGTTGTATCTAGTTTCGTTTAAATCCGTCGAGTACTTTTTGTTTCTATAACGAACATACAGACAGATAGACAAAAATTTTACTGATTGCATTTTTGGCATCAGTATCAATCACTAATCACACCTCGATAGTTATTTTGGAAATATATTTCATATACAGAATTGACCTCTACAGATTTATTATAAGTATAGAGTATTTATTATAAGTAAATGAGTATATATTTGTATATATTTTAAGTAGATATATGTATGTATATTTAATAGAAAGTAGGTATTTAATAGTAATATGCATTTATATTATTGCATATATTTCATCTCTAAATGTATTTAAAATAACAAAATTTTCATCCTGCCTATGGTAAAACTATTTATAACTAGTCCTCTCCATCCAAAAGTTGCCTGGAAGAAACTGCTTTTAGCGATAAAATTGTCCATAGTTTTCTTAGTATAATTGTTTGTATCTATAATAAGTTTACTGTTGTAATCTTTTGGAGGAAACAATAAAGAGTATTTATCCATAAATATTTCAAAAATTACTTCTTTGCATATCCACATCTATGGTTTAAAAAACCATACAATATAGTGTTCAGTGGAATATTAAAAAAATAATATTTAAAATAATCATACACAGAATTTGAATCCATTGAGTAGAGCTAGTATATTAACATTTTTTTTTTTTAAATTGCTGGTATTCTCTACTATTTTTTTAAATCACAAAACACTATCAACTTAAATGTTTCAGTTTGAACTTTAAAAAGTTTAATTGACAGACCAGCCAATGTCTCATACTTCCAATTACGATCAATTGAAGCTATTGGTGCATGATATTATCAGTTACACTGTAGTATTGGACATTATTCAGTATGCTATTTCATTACAAATTAGCTCCCTGCTTATGGTTTCCGTAGAGACTATAATATAGGGTTTTTTTATGGGTGATAATGGAATGGTAACCACATCCTGCGAGACACCAGTAAGTGATGATAGGTGAGGATAAAACAGGTGATGTATTCAACAAAAATTTTGCCACTATGGTTTCTAGGAAGAACCATGTGGAAGTGACCTGATAAGGTACATTGCTAGCAATTTAAAATAGTCAAATCCCATTACTAACAATATTTTTCCTCCCAAACAATATAGGGTTTATTTATTTAGTATTACCAACATTTTTTTTTTTTGATGGGTGAAAATGGTACGGTTATTCCGCCTGTGCTTACGGTATATTACGGCGTAACTTACTTACGGCGGAGCACCAGTGAAAGGTGATAGATGAGAATGAAAACAGGCCAGTTAGCCCATCATGATGAATTCATCAGGAATTAACCATGATAGTTTCCAGGGAGAACCGTGAGGAGGTCAACCTGGTTGGGTATATTGCTAGCAATGGGATTTTCAGTCTCCATTACTAACAATCCCTTTCCCCCAGTATTACCAACGTTAGTTACAATTATATTTTGTTAAAGCAGTTACATTGTAATATAGGTTCTTCAAAAAGGGTGTATAGAGTTTTTTTCTGTGTGGCCAAGGCACACATGACGCCCCTACTGTTGCAGCTGTCCATAGGTTATAATGGGTGTACTATCAGACGAATTATATGCTCGATTGCCACCTTTGTGGTATAAAAAAAAAATCAGACACAAAGCAAACTAAAAAATTTAAAATTCAAATATGTTTAATTAAATGTGAAAAAGTCAAGTGTTACATTTTGTAGGTGACTTGCACATGCTTTAAATATTTCCACAATAAACTTAACTATATATATACCAACACTAGTCACATATTTTTGTTAAAGTATTACATATTTACACTTAAACACTATAATACAATTTATTTAAATATAGTATAAATATTAAATAAAGGCAGGGGACTACAGATATCTTAAACCGCGGGATATCGTTAAGGTAACACAAAGGATCTATGAAATGATGGTATAAGGCAGGGGGAAGCACAAAAAATCCCGATGGGTCGACGTGCAATAGCTTAGCTGACCCCATATGCGAATATAAGATAAATGAACGCAATGATAATAGTTGACAATTGTCTCTGACTACCCCATCTCGGATTACTGTAGTAAACATATTTATTCATCTATTTTTATAAAAACCCTTACTTAGGAACAAACTCTTTTGAAAATATTCTACAATTAGTCAATTTCAAAAAAAATATTTCCATATTTCTAATCCAGATTAATATCATGCAACTAAAAATAAAATATAAAATGATTGGTATATCTATAAGATGACTCTGTGTTTGTTAATTTCTTAATTAAAAAAAAATGTGTTTGCCCAATTATAAACTATACTTAATCATATAGGTCATTTGTATATCTATTCCAAGCATAAGAACGTCAGAGGTCTCTTTGTATAAGAGATATTTTTTATTTACATACGGAGGTTATCATTACCTGAATGTTTTCCGTGAACTTTGAATGCATTCATAAACAAGACGTACCTCTATAGTTAATGTTGTCATAATTATGCAAAACAATGGATGATATCACCGCAGTGTGTATGAAGTCATGCCTCATTAACTGTATACATTTATACTTGATTTTAAGAATTTTTGAAAAGCATGGAAGATACAAGATAGCCATGTGGTCTCTGCATAGAATTGGTCATCCCTTCCTTTCTTGTGCGTAGCGTTAGAGACGACTAAGGGAGAGCGAGGGATGGGCAGCAGCGACTCTCTTAAAACATCACTAAAGCCTAACTGCAGTTGCCAATCTGCTTGCCAAGCATGGGAACTACTGGCACAACCTCATCTCATAGGGAAGGTTTATGTTCAGCAGTGAACAGTTTAGGCTGATATGAGGATGATGATGATGATGGGAGATATTTAAGTAAAATCTATGTACCTTTTTTTTTTATACAACTTAGAATGGCAAACAAGCTGACGGCCCACCTAATGGAAAGTGGTAACCGTCGCCTATAGACATGAGCAGTACCATGGACATAACAGAGTATACTGTTTCGCTATGATACCCCCCATTCCTGAGGACTTGGGTGTTATATATATATATATATATATATATATTTCTTGATAGAATCCTTGTAAATAATTTTATTCCACATTTTAAATTCTTTGTATTTTGGAGGGGCGTGCCTTGTTATCGTAGTCAATCTATAATTACAATCTCTGTCAGCTACGCACCATGGTGCCCCGCGTGCAACGCGCTGGCGCCCGCGTGGCGGGAGCTGTCGACCCGGGCGTCCCGCAAGTCGCTCGCCATGCGGGCAGCAGCCGTCGACGTCACCAAGTCACCAGGCCTGAGCGGGCGCTTCGTGGTCACCGCATTGCCAACTATATTTCAGTAAGTTGACTTATTTTTGTCCGCCTGATAGAAATAATCTTCGCCTATAGACATGTACAGCATGATGGATAACATGGGTGCCATAAGGTACCCTTCACATAAATTACCGACTTGCCTGAATAATGCTGTTATGCCTCTGTACTGTGAGAGAAAGAGGTGAAAACATCATTGCCATATCTGAGAGAGAAAAGGCCTTAAGTACGAGCAAACGCAGTGTAGGACGATGGGGCATCGTCCTCCCCTCCAGTAGGTGGAGCGACTACCTCAAATGCATCACAGGGAGTCGAATGCAGGTGGCTTAGGACCTTTTCTTGTGGTAGTCTATGGGGTAGCCCTGTCCGACAGTAGACATAATGCTAAAGGCTGAGATGATGATGATCTATGGGAGAAAGAGACTTTATTTAAGTCGTCTACTTGGCTACCTCTGTCCCGTATAAAGTATGTCTTTGTAAAAACAGGACATGAATGAAATCACTATGTTTTTTCGTTTCCGACTATTGTTCATTAAACTCTCGTTTTTACGTAGAAGTTGAATAAAAATGAACATAAGCTTTAAAAACAAAAAAGTCTTTATAAAAATCGACTGTAATTTGCAGCGTAAAAGACGGTGAATTCCGCCAGTACAAGGGTCCGCGTGACGTGGACGCGATGCTGTCCTTCGTGGAGCAGCAGCGGTGGAAGCAGACTGAGCCGATCCCCAGCTGGAAGGCGCCGCATTCGCTGCAGATGAGCCTCGTCGCTGAGTTCTTCAAATTGAGCCAGGCGCTCAGGGTATGTGCTTTTTCTTTTAGACCTTGGGTACCTTCATTGTGTAATACAGGGGGGGGGGGGGGAGTTGTTAGTAATAAGATCTAATTTCCCCATAACTAACAATACACCCTATCAGGTCAACCTCCACGCGGTTCCCCCTGGTAACTATTGTGGTTAATTCTAGTGGAATTCGTCACGATAGGCTTGGACAGACAGGGATGGGATGGGACAGACTTGCTTTCATAGTCACCTATCTCACCTCACTGGTGCCCCGTCAGCGTATATTTAGCGGAGTTACCATTCCATTATTATCCATTTAAAGAACAGCTTAATATTGCTTTTCATTATGCTTGTAGATTCTATCTCTGCAGAATACATTTTTTTTTTTATTCATGAAAACTGTATGAAAATTAAATTTGAACTATACCTATGCGTCTCTGTAGCGTATATCAATACGTTAGGGGGCCAGTGAAGGATAATAGGTGATGATGAAATCTGCTCTGTTGACTAATAGTAATGAATAATTCATAGTAATTAACTATGATAATTTCCAAGAGTGCAGGTCAACCTTATAAAGTATATTGCTAGCAATGAGGCCACAGCTCCCCACCACTAAGAATCCTTTTCTTCATAGAGCTACACTAAGATTAGACGTGTAATGTAAAAACCCTAGTGATGTTATGTGTTAAGGGCTATCAATGTCACTATGGGCAATATAAATATCACCAAGATCATCAAATGATTCTCATCATCACATCAGCCATCAACTGTCCACTGCTGAACATAGGCCAATACTGCCAAAAGACCTTTACAGGTCTCCCTATTGAGGTCTTTTGGCAGCAGTTGCCATGGTTGGCAAGTGGATTGACAACTGCAGTTAGGCTTTAGTGATGTTTTAAGAGGCTCTCCTGCCCATCCCCCGACATTAAGTTCCCATAGTCGCATCTTACGACGCCCACGTGAAAAGAAGGGACGGCCCATTTTATACCAGGACCACACGAAAATCAAATAATTGGATAATAATTCAATTACATTTCGAGATTTCCTTACCACAGCTGACATAATATAAATATATGTTACAGAGTGTACACAACACGTTGATGGAGACCTATGGGTTGCCCACATGGGGCTCGTACCTCATCTTCGCCGTCGCTACAATATTCATTGGTGCTATACTCGGATTGGTGAGTATTTTTTGAAAATATATCAAAAACAATATCTATTCCGTCTGCGCTACGCAAACACACATATTTTGCCGACTAACTAGGACTAACTAGGCTAATTTTTTATTACTAGATCTTGGTGTGTATCATCGACCTGCTGTACCCGCCGCGACGCTCCGATAAAGTGCTCATCTCCCGTACAGAAGCAGAAAAGCTCGCCAAGGGAGACCAGAAGAAGCCTGATGATGTCCAGGTACTATCATCATTTCTGCCGTCAACTGTCCACTATTGAAGATAAACCTCCCCCATAGGGGGGAAATGGATTGTTACTAATGGAGTCGTAACTGATCCATTGCTAGCAATACATCTTATCAGGTCGACCTCCACGCGGGTCGCCCTGAAATACACCATGGTTAATTCTAGCGGAATTCGTCACTAACTGACCTGGGCCTCTAGACAAATGGCAAACGAATTCGTCGATGGAATCAACATCGCTAGCGAGTCTGTGAGATAGCAACGCTGGACGACTGGAGGGACAGGGATTGTTAGTAATGGAGACTAAGAATCCGATTGCTAGCAATATACCCAACCAGTTCAATCTCCTCTCGGTTCCCCCTGGAAACTACCATGGTTAATTCCTGATGAATTCATCATGATGGGCTAACTAGCCTGTTTTCATTCTCATCTATCACCCTTCACTGGTGCTTCGCCAGCGTATCCCGTTAGCGCAAGCGGGGTTACCATTTCATCCATTATAAAAAAACGCCGGATGACTCATTCCAACTTACGGACTCGCTAGCGATGTCGATTCCATCGACGAATTCGCTTGTCACTTGTCTAGAGGGCCTTGCTTTCATCCTCACCTATCATCTATCACTGGTGCCCCGCCAGCGTATACCGATAGCGCAGGGGGGGTTACCATTCCATTATCACCCATTAAAAACAAACCTCCCACATAGACTGCCACAAGGAATAGTCTTTAGCGACTTGAACAATTAATTTTAATCAATATGCCATCTATTATTTCCAGGAGCTACTGAACGACGACATCGTGGATGATGCTGAAAATGGCAACAGCGATGCTGAGAAGAACTCGCCCAGTGATGTAAGTATTGTTTGTTTTTACTTTTTAACTTGCTGTTTTTGCTCACTATTTCTTAGGCATGAATTTCAGAGGTAGAAAAACCAATTAAATAAAACACTCCTAGATAAAGTGTCGAGAGGAACCTTCAGGAATATCATTGAAAACCGCATCTGAGGGAGACTGTACAAAAGTCTATTGCTTGGGTACCTCTGTCCCATTCGTGTTTCAACCGTAAAGCAGCTGTGTTTGCATGGCTGTCTTTCGGTTTAAAGGGTGGGATATGGCGTCAATTTACAGGGTACAGAGGAATAACATCTGAGTCCTCAGGAATGATAACGCATGGGAGGTATTATGGGCGAAACAGTATATGGTACTCTGTTATGTCCATGGTACTGCTCATGTCTATAGGCGACGGTTACCACTTTCCATCGCGTGAACCGTCAGCTTGTTCGACATTCTAAGTTGCATAAAAAAATGATTCCCTTTCAGACATCGGACGAGGAAAAGGAGAAACCAGTGGAAGGGGGCGACGCGAAGGCCGAACAGAAGGACGAGAAGCCGAGCGAGGTCCGCAAGCGGAGGCCGAGGAAGGCCGATTAAGTACGGGAGGACGCAAAAATAAGTCCCGTCTCATATACAATTCGTTCCTAGCTAGGTGGCAAAAGAGTTTATCGATAGAGTCGTTGTCACTACCGAATAGAAGAGATAGGAGACAGCGACATCCGGTGTCTTATTCTTTCTCATGCGAATGCTGACCGGAACATATCTATTTATAAAATCTTTGTTGGTAACATGTTCATGAGGTTGCGACATCTGGTATCTTGTTGCGAAACCGTTATTTTATGAAACTCCATATCACTGGTTAGCTGTTTTGAATTATTTTGTTTAATTCTGCTACCGTTAGTATGCACTTGACAGCCAATAGTCGAAAATTGACTACTATAACCAGGGTTTCTACAATCTTCCTTAATAGTCATCCATCTCCGACTAGCGGTCGGAGTTGGATTGGAGATGGTTCCACGCACGTTCGTCCATTCGTAGTTTAGGTTTACCGCCAAACGGTTAACACTAAGTTCCAAGCAGCGATCTATTAATTTGCCTGAAGATGACGTTTAGAAGTGAAACACGTATCGCAAAACGTGCGTGAACGGAATGGCGGTCGGAGATCGATGGAAGGTTGTAAAACTTGTTGTATATGTATAGTATAATAATAGTAGACAATTTTAGAGTGTTGCCAGTCACACGCCTACTAGTACTAGCTAACCAGTGATTCTATAAATACATCTCCCAGAGGGAGACTTTGTACAAAAATCGATTGCTTGGGTACCTCTGTCCCATTCGTGTTCTAACCGTGAAGCAGTTGTGTTTGCATGGCTGTGTTTCGGTTTGAAGGGTGGGATATAGCGTGAATTTACTGGGTACAGAGGAATAACACCTGAGTTCTCCAGAATGGCAAGGCATGGGGGATATCATGGGCGAAACAGTATACTCTGTTATGTCCATGGTACTGCTCATGTCTATAGGCGACGGTTACCACTTTACATCAGGTGGGCCATCAGCTTGTTTGCCATTCTAAGTTGTATAAAAAAAATATAGATAGATGAATATTCTTTATTGTTGGTTACAAAAAAAAATTCAATAGTAAACTTAGATAGATAAATAGATTTATTTTGCCACTTATCTAGGACGGGTGGAGAGTTAAAAATCAATTTTGCAGAACCAACAGGTTTCACTTTACATAACCCGCTGAGTTTAATACCATATTTACATAAGCGAGTTACACGAGTTCTATTATGATACCTGGGCAATAATATTAAACCGCGGAATTAGATAACTGTACGAAAGCCTAATGACAATGTACGGATTGCATTTTTAATATGTTCCAACGAAATAGGATTATGACCTGAGGGCCTACCGTGAAATGTTTTCCGAAATTTCGGAGCTAAACGAAGCACAAATTTGATGTGAAAATTATATAATACATGCCGTTTGGAAATATTAAAAATGTTATGATATTGTTCCTTTGGACTTTTATGATAGGATGTATGACGAACGAAATGTTAAACTCCAGTTATTGGTCCGATTTTGGTATAAACAAAAACACGAAATTGAGTCCGAAATTTCGGAATTTCATGTCATGGTAGACCCGCTGTTTTTTTTTTCTTTCTTTGCATATTTAATAGACAATCTCAATTTTTTTTTTTACTGAAATTCGTTGTTGAAGAATGAGGTTGATTACATTTATGTATAATGAATTAACACAAAATTTTTGTGTACTAGCCAAAATACATTTTTTTTTTAGACCACGAATGTGGCAAATATATATAAAATGTATGCTTATAGACAGTTTGATTGTAAACGATTACTATAGCCAAGATATTAATACAAATCTAAGAAACATAAAAAATGGCGATTTGAAAAGTTAATAAAAAAGAGTTTTTTTAACTGTTAATTCTATTTTATGATTGATGACGACTCTATTATTAATTTTATGCATTATTTCAATAAAAAGATATAATTTTTACTTACTTTTACAAAAAAAAAACAGCATTTTTATTATTCCAGCGAATTGTCGATTATGTAGATGCTAGGTTAATGCAGATTTTTTTTTGTTCGTTAAATATTTTCAATGTATTCTATCTATCTATCCTATTTAAGAGCTGCACTCTTGTCGGTGGCGCTCTTGCCACTCACTACGATTTTCAGCGAGTCTCTTCACCTCTTGATACGACACGACACCAACTCCTTCCTGTATTATAATGAAATATTTAAATAAATATGAAAAACATATACTAATAATTAAAGTGTTGATATTGATAGAAAAAAAAGATTGAGATATATAATACCTTACTAACGTAATAAAATAAAACCCCTAAAACCTCGTATACACCTGTTGTAGGTAAATATTTTAAGGCTTATATAAAGAAATAATCCAAACATTGTCATTAGTAAATATAATGTATTAATGTGTCTCATAATACAATAATTTTCAAAATATACTCCAATATTCAAACTCAAAATGTTGAATTTATAGAAATTTCTTAAATACCTGAACGCGACTTATTTTTGTGGTAATTTTAGTGTTGAGAAGAAGGCTAGTGTCCGCTATAAAGGTACAACACTATGAAAAATTGAAATGCGTACAATGCGAACGCATCCTCATGTACGCATTTAAAATGTTTGTAACAAACTAGGATTTGAATGAATTTGGTCGAAATAGGATTTGATACCTTCCCAGTAGGTAGGGATATACCTAATGGCTTACTTAAAAATAATGCTCACAAGAAACTTCACCTTGCTTTGGCTAAGGTAAATCTGTGATGGGAGAGACCATAGCATGTTAATTTACACCGCGTGAGAGGGACACCTTAGATATAAATGTATTTGTGATGTGCATGGTACTGTTCATATCTATAGGTGACTGTTACCGATTTCCATCAGGTGGACCATACACTTTTGATAGAGTTTATGACCCGAAGTTAATGGGGCCGATTAAAAGACGCCATTCCCGTAAATCTATTACTAAAATTTAAATTGATAATAAGTACCATCAAGCAGTGGCGTAACTATACCATTTGGGGCATGTGGCAAATTCTTTTGATGGGGCTCTATCAGGAAAAAAAAACTTTTCAAGTAAAATAAAATGCTCAGGTACTAGGCCTATTGAGCCGGGGCCCTTTTGGGTCAGGGGCCCGTGGCTTTTTGCCAGCCCTGCCACCCTATTGTTACGCCACTGCCATCAAGAACTAAATTTAAAGTAATTCCGACAATTAAACTTCTTATTCGTAAAAACTACAATAGGAATGGATAATATATAGCAATATTTTAGTTACAATATATATATATATATATATATATATATATATATATATACCCTCCTTTGCATACTGGTGGAAGTTTCCATCATAACATTGAATACCTAAAACTCATATGAAAGACCAAGTTCACTTTAAGTTGATTGTGTCTGGATAATTTTTTAATGTCCATTGCAAAAAGAAAAAACATAGCTGTCAAATTTATAGGTTTAACCATTTTTCCTTTAATTTTAAACATGAATTATGTGACTTCGATTTCGCCAATAAAAAAAAATCATGCAAAGAAGGGTTAACATATTCGCAAATATATATCCGACCGATATGGACGATATGGAAATGGGCGATGGCCTTATTTCCACCATCAATGTACAGAGGTACCCAATATATAAATATCATATATGAACAGATTTAATATATTCGTTATTGCACCAGTATACAGATGTTGTAAGAAAATATATAGATGTTGTTATATATTAGCCACACCTATTCAGAATCGACCCCACTGCCTGTATAATCATTATTGTTAAAACACAGTTTTATCTTAAAATTATTCTGTATAAATATAGAAAGATAAAAGAGGGCACAATTGCTCTAATTTCTTGAGCAACTGCGTGATATCCGATATCTATATATTGAGTACTGAATATTGATGTTCACCCATTGCGATATCGCCCATACCAGTCGGATATCTATATTCATAACGAGCGAGTTCTTCATTTTGATATTACATATTAGAATAACCAATAGTTAATATATCTGTTATTGCATCAATATAGATATTGTAACTGCAATATATAGATATTTGTTATATATTACCCACACTTACAACTAGGTGTAAGATTACGACCCCTGATTATAAACGACGAACATAAACTATCGATTTTTTTTTTTTTTTTTTAATAATTAAAGTGATAAAAGACAGTAATGAAGCTTCAATGTTTTGCAGTTTTTATATATTTATTGGGTAGACAGACATTAATTTAATACTTTGATAGCATAAATGCGATAACTTTCATACGAGAAAACTGCCCGAGTTCCACTTGATTTTCTTCTCGTCCTCTAGAGTAGGTAGTAGTATCAAATTAAGTTTGGAATACCACTGAGTGAACTAAATAGAAGATATTCGTTAAACAGCCATTTTATTGTAATATAGTGCCAATTATTAAGACCTTTAGGTTTCTTTCAGTTTTCTAAAAGAATACCACGAAATAAATACTGTTAGAATATTAATGAAAATTGGGGTTTAGGTTCAAAACAATTTTTAAGTTGCATTTAAATATTTCTTCTGTTTGGTTCAACTCCTTTAAATTATGTAATAATTTATATTAGTTTCTTTTTGTTTGTTTTATGCTTTTGATACGCATTTATATTATATTTAGTTATTGTATTTACACGAGTGAAACTTTGTCGCACCAAATTTTAGTGTACGAACGAGGCTCGAGTTTAGATATTGAAGATATTTCCAATTAAGTTTTGCAATGTTTTTCCACACACACATAATACAAGGCTCTTCGTTTAATAGATTTAAAACTAATTTTCCATGTATGTACTATATTTAATAACTGCCTCAACTACCTCTATATTTTTTAATAATCAAAACAAAAAAAGTTCTAATTTTGAATTATGTGTATTATATAAATATATTGCTGGAAACTAACTTCAATATATAAATTTGAACTATTAAATTGATAATTTTTAGTTATAATCGTCCATTATTATTCTACGTTTGAAAGTATTATATCTCTTTGTACCTATTATAATTTAATAATTATTTTACGTTAATTGTAAGTTTATATTTTATTTCCGCAGAAATATTGAGAAATTTGAAGATAATTATGAAGCCAATGAATCATTGATAAAATACAATTGCACATTCCTTTTAAAGGCTCAATGATATAAATAACAATACGATACGTACTTACGACATTTGTATATGTATTTTATATATTTGTAATAAAATACTCAGTTATTAATTCGCTTATGTTTTAATTCAATAATCCATATTTTCCGCAAAATGATAATCACATACCACGTATTTAGTAAGAAATAAATAATACTATGCGAATTATTGAAATAAAAATTATCTCGTTGATAGTAAAAATAAATATAATTATAGAAATTAGATATATTTGTAGTTGCAAGATAATTTGACGACTTATCTTTTTTTTTTTATATAAATCCTACATTTCTAATCGGCGACAAATTTACAGCTGACGCTAACGTTTGAACTATAAATATATGTTTGTGAAACGTAGAATTTAAATATGTCAACCTTATATTATATAGATAGAGCATCGAGATTCAAAAACGAGTTAGTTTTTGTCAGCTAATTGTCAAAATAGCTCTTTTTTTATATTAGTGTTTACGTCAATGTATCTTGATGTATCTATATTTCATTACTTAATAAATACAATATTTTATTGCGCATTAAAAAGGTGCAGAATTAAAATTTATAAGACAATAAATATAGAAGTTATAAAAGAATCACTTATAACTATTTTTCACGCAAAATTGTATGAAAATTGGATCCGCTTTTCTTGAAACATTTGTATGGAGACTAATCTAAATGTCAGCATTCTATAATTAGATCTCGTAATTCTTACTGACTTGTATTCTTGGAAAGATTTAGTCTATCGTTCACAACAAAGGTCCTAAATGAATCCTAGAAAGATAATTTAATTCTAAAGTAATTTACTCAGATACACTAAATTGATGATTATTTATATTTGCTTAGCTAATATTGTTTACTATGGCATTACAAATACTAAAAATGGAAGTATGCAAAGAATAGTTCATAGCTTTCGGGATTGGTTGATTTACCAATTCTAGTATGGCGTGACATTCCAGCATTTCTAATGCATTGAAGGTTTTGATGCCATGACTAGGGTACAGATCTTGGTCATTGCACCAAATTTTTTATCCAAGGAACTTTTCCAAGGTATGGTTATTACATAGATCCTTCTGGAACGCGACATAAAGACGTCAATGTTAGCCAGCTGTAAGTTTGTCCATAATTTTTGATCATATTTCTATTTATTATTTTATAGTTACGTATAAAAGCAATGTATTCAATACACTGCAAGTGATTAACATACTGCTTTCTTTCAGCCCTCATCGATATTGTTAACACAAAATTGCCTTGTACAAAGACTTAAGATTGTTTTTAAGTGTTGCGTCTATATTAACTATAGACTTAGTGTCTTGCTGAATAAAATTGTATTTATACAAATTTGTTTCATTTCATAATGATTTCAATATTGACAAAAATATTATAAAACCAAGGTGGGGAGTAAGCTATTTCAATTGCAAGAAGTTTTTAAAATCGATATAAAACTAGCAGAATTTAGTATAATACATATGTGCGCACGCGCAGGCACACACGCACGTACGCACACCATAAGGATTGTAGATTTGTCATGTTTTTTTAAAGTTACTTGAAATATTTTTTTAAAGATACTAAAAAAAATCAATTATTCACTCCATATAATTAAGCCTATGTGTATCACGTTATATTTTGTTTGAGAAAATAAAGACAAAATTAAACAAACTATCCGCTACCTGCTCTAACACGTAGAACACGTAAAACAACCAAGACAAGTCATTCAGTTCTCGTATGGCGCCACTGTACCCTCACACCTGTATATGATAGCACAACTTAGAATAGCAATAAAGCCGATGGATGGCCCACCTGATGGAAAGTGGTAACCGTCGCCTATAGACATGAGCAGTACCATAGACATAACAGAGTATACTATTTCGCCCATGATACCCCCCCCCCCATGCGTTGCCATTCTTGAGTAGGTACTTAGTTATTATTCCTCTGTACCCTGTAAATTCACGCTATATCCCATCCTTCAAACCGAAACACAACTGCTTTACGGGTGAAAAACGAATGGTACAGAGGTACCCAAGCAAACGACTTTTGTACAAAGTCTCCCCCTGGTATGCTTATATTTGGGTGATTTTCAGCAAGTGCCAAGTCCAACTTTAATGAACCTTTCTGCATCTAGCCGCCAGAAAAGCCCTTTTCCCCGAAATATCCGGGAATCATTTAATAAAATACTTTTTGGGAACATTAACTTTTTTGAAGACTCAAAACAAAAAAAGTTCACCAAAATTAGACAGAAATCGCACTTGTAAAAAATAACTCAATTATCCTGAAGAAATAATGATTGTGAAAATGGATGATTTTACCAAATATTTAGAGGAGTCGTCAGTGATATAGCTACGTCATTCAAATAAAACAAATCTATTCATTCAAATGTTGTTTATTTAGATATTTACATAAAATAAGTGTTCAAGGTAATTTACGTAATAGCAATTTAATATTAGTCAATAATTTAAGATTTACATACAAATTATATGTAGGGTACAATTGTTAAATACAAGGAAGATATTACGAGACGCTAATACTTCTAGTTTCGTGTTATAAAACTTTATTCCCAACTGTTAACAAACGTAGATAAATACCAAACTATATTGGTATTAAACAGAGCTGGAATTTATCCACATTTGCTTTGAACAAAACTAGTGGTACCATTAAATAATATTCATTTATACAAAGCATAGATATTGCCATAAATGTTGCTAAATATTTGGATCGTTCAACACAGGTAGCGACATCTCCTTTACTGCAGTCACAAAATACCCGCCAAAAAAATGGCGGGAAATTTTAAAATGTATAATGTCAACTCCAGTGTTGAACGCTCTAGAAATAAACAAGCCCTTCAGAATCTGGAGGATCTAAAATTGACAGTCTGGTGATTGCTAATAAAAACCCAAAAATATTTGAATCTCTAACGAATCAAATAAAAATTTGTTATTTATTTTAGGAATGCATTAATAATCACCGGCGTGAATATTTAGACCCTCCATAATGCGCACTGTTATCAAATTCTACCTATAATAGCTAGAAATGAGCTCGTGTTGTTTTTGCACGCTGAACAATACTGAAGCATGCTTTCCTGCATGTATATACATAACTGGGAATGGGAATTAAACGCCACTATTATGCGCATCTCTAGCTATCTATAAAGATATTGTCGACAGATAAAGTAAACTCACAGCTGTAACGTGATCAAGCGAACTGTCGCTGACTATCTAGAATCTCTTAATTTTTTAAAGAAAATTTTATATTAAACATATATTATTTTAGTTTATTGATTTTAGTACAATTAACATAATATATTAATAAATAAGTATAATCAATACAATTCACAATAAAAATGTATAAGTATAAAATATATAAATTGGTTTGGTATATATATATATATATATACATATATAAGTAAATATTATGTTGAGGTTACAATCTATAGAGATTCTAAATATCCAACGACAAATATAATAATTCTCTTGATATATATGTATAATATACAATGCAAAAATTTCATATCAATTTAGCAAAATCTACACCTATCTTCGATCCGATACGATATTTTCGTTATTAAATACGTTTTAACAATAGTGTCTAGACTACGATATATGTATCAACAAATTTTGATTGTCACAATTATTAGGTTTCGGCCAATTTCATTCTTAGGTACATTGTTCTTCATAAATATATAAATACTAATAATATCAATTGACAATATAAATGCGTAGTGGTTGATCAGTAAACGCGTTATCGCGTCCAACGTTACTGCAATAAAATGCATTTGGAATGATAAACAAATGCTTCTAAACTGATATCATTTTTTAAGAACTGTAAATGATGTGATAGAAATAAGAATAGAAATTACTTCCCGCCATACTGTCATATCAAGCAGTAAAAAAAAAAAAGATTTAGTTCAATAGTTTTTTATTCTAAGTAGGAATGGGTAATATTAGTACCGAACCGATAACTATATATTGAGATCCTTTGGACATTGATCACGGAAAAAATGTCATCATTCATTTTAATATCACCGATATCAGTTGGATATAATACGCATTTCAATCTTCATTTTGATATTAAATATTTGATTTCCGACACTTAATAGATCCATTATCGAGGCAATATATACATATTATCTATAACTACAATATATAGATACTGCTATATATTACTCACCCCTAACTCTAAGACTTAACGTCCAAAGCCGTAAAAGCTAACTTAAAAAAAAAAAACTTTAATGACACAATGTAGAGAAGTCTATGTATGTTTAATTTTTTTATTCTGTCACTTAAATGACAGTAGACAAATCAAGATCTTTCTATTCTTATTTTGAATTTATTATATCATTTTATCACGGTCAAATGTTGGTATATAAATGCATCTATAGCTTTAGCACAGACTGCCAAATTGTAGATAACGTAGTAAACTCACATAATTGAATCACAAAATCCTGTTTTCTTAAAAAAAAAAGCAGTAAATTACTACAGGAGAGCAATCATGCACTAACAATAGCCTGGTCTGTAAGTAAAAAAAAAAAGGAATGTTATGTTTGTTGTATTGTTTCCTGAACGTAAAATATCAATTTATAAATTTCAAATATAATTTATAGTCAAGAATATATACGCTAATTTAAATAATAATAAAAGATCTAATAACCTCTTCGGCGCATTAATTGTTTCATACGTGTGACAGAAGTTACGAGAATTTATATAGAAATCTGTTTTAGATAGATACTATAAGATTCGATTTCGACGAAGATCTTTGGATTTCTTATAATATACATAGCGAAACACGTGTAAAATATAATTAGACATAATTCAAGATTGTGTTTAAAGAAAACGACTTCATTTTTACGTGATATAACCAGTTATTTTAATTTAAAAACTAAAATACTGCCCCGATTTTGATAAAAAAATTCTATGGGACCAATCTGTATCTTTTTTTAGATAAAGAAAAAAAAAATCCATATGGGTTTACAACTGACGGTGTAATGAGGTAAACAAACATAAAAACATACAATGGAATAAGGAATCTCCTTCTTTTTGAAGTCGGTTGAAAATGGAGCAAGTCTTTAAAGTACGGAACGTTACAATGATATTAAAATAAGAATCCGCGAATAAGGAGGGGGGGGGGGGGTGAAAGAGGAGGATAAGGAGGAGGATAAGTCGACCAATTAAATTATTCATGCTTAACCTTACACTTAATGACAATTTTTTTCTGTGTTTGAGTATTGAATTATGCACTACTATTTTGTTTTTTAACTAATAAATGATTTTTAAATAAACCTTGTACGATTTCAAAGTTATTTATCTCCCATAATAAAACTCCCCTCTTCCCCCGAACCCTTATCCACGGATCCATAGAAAAATAAACACATATTAACGAAAACTTACGAATATTGTGCAATTCGTTTGATCGTCGACACGAGCCGAGACCATTATACGCAGTACGACTCCCATTAAAGTATTAAGCTAAAATCTCTGTAGTCTCAACTAGACGAAACTAAATTAAAAACTAATTTTACATAAAAATACAAGGGACGAAACTAAACCAATAATACATTACGTTGTATAAACAAAAGACTAGATTGTTAAATAACGAATACATACATCACTCGCTTACAGTTAAACATACATCTCACCACTAATTAGTCGACATGAGAGAATAACACGTGATACAAAGAGTGCGACATCTCCTTTCAAAGTACAATAAGTGTTTATCTATTAAATATAGATAGATAGATACTCTTTATTGTTTCCTCCAAAAGATTACAATAGTAAACTTATTATAGATACAAACAATTACAAGAAATAATCACAATGAGAAAACAATGGGCGACCTTATCGCTAAGAGCGATCTCTTCCAGGCAACCTTTGGATGGAGAGGAGTAATTATAAACAATTTGGTGGGAGGCATGATGAAAAATGTATGCGATGAAAATAATTCAATACTTTGCATTCCTACTTGAAAACATGTTTATTATGCGAACACTTTACCCCAAAAACAAGTGACAGTCGAATGAAAGATCGAGTCGATGTCGATAGAACCATTATCGGTATCAATTCTGTGAGATAGAACGAGACAGCGATGTCTGGTGTCTTGTTTTTTTTTCTCGTGCGAGCGCTAAACGAAACGAACGTATCGATGGATTCATTTACCACTTATATAGAGTGAATTGGTCACCTAATATAGAGATGCCGTAATTCAGTGGTTACTACACTGCACCAATGTGATGATTTCACTGAAACCTTAAATATGAAAACATAATTTCTAGAGTATCTTTGACACCGTATTCGAATAGTGATGGCGCCAGCTGCACGTGTTTCCATAGTCAAATTTTTCAGTAAAATTCCACGCTATATGTATTATATGACATATATTATAACATAAAGTAAACGCTGAATTTTGACAAGCTTTAGTATGAATATTGAACTTTAGTAACTACCCACATAAGAGTTAATTTTATATTGAAATTTTTATAATTTTTTTTCGGACACCATACCCAAAAACACTACGTAGAAATACATGTCGCACAATTTGTACCAAGTTTAAGTGTACACAGCGATCAAAGCCATCCTCATGTATCATTTATTTTCAATGAATGCGAAATAAATCCATTACATTACTAGAGGACGACTATATCTTTAAAATAGGTAGGAATAACTTTTTTTTTCAATTTATAATCTGTGAGAGCAGAGATCTGTTACTGATATTGATTTTTTTTTTATAAATCTTGAAATGTACAACAAGTAATCGATTTATCCATTGAATTATCCATGGAAAATGGGACATAATAACCGTGGTCTATAGACAAGAAGACAAGAACGTCATTGGCATTAATTAGTTGTCAATTTACATCAGAAAGTCTGGCAGCTTGTTTCCATAAACTTTCTCGGCCATTGTCCGTCTACTGCTGAACATAGGCTTCCCCATAGACCGCCATAAGGAACACTCCAGAGCCATCTGCATCCATTGACTCCCTGCTTTGTATTTGAGGTCATAATCTAGTAGGGGGTCGCCACTCAAGAACTTTTCTTCTCTGTTTCTTGTTTCCATTGCAAGTTAGATAAAAAAAAAAGTCCTCACAATGAGTTAGCATTACCAAAGAAAATCAAATCTCCTCTTAAACATTATCGTCCTCTAGTTTTACAATTCTACAATAAACTTAAACTCAGCGAAGCGTCACTTGTGCTGTTACTAACATTAGAAGCGATAAAAATATGTATATTAAAATTAAATATACAATTAATATGTTTAGCTTAAATTAAACGTGACATTTTGGTAAAAAATATTAATAATAATATGTGTAAATATATTAATTACAAGGACAATAACATAACACATTGAGGCGATTAAATCAAACACAAAATAATACTGTATCCGATCCGCCAACGTACGTTATCGAAGTAATTTAAACATTTTTATGTATATTAAATTTGTAGAGCTGTACAAGTATTGATAGATCAAATATGACGTCACAAAATGGCGCCTACGCACTGTTGGGACAGACGTGTACGACTACCCTCTTTTTCATAAAAACTAAAAACAAACCCATTTTAACTATTACACTGTTTTGTCACTTTCTTTCAAGTTGGGAATTTAGTGAAAAAGAAAGAGACAAAACAGTTCAATAGCTAAAAATAGATTTATTTAGAAATCCAGTTTGACGTTTTTATGAGTGTTAAAGTGTAACCGTAGCTGCATCTATTTTGCGTGCCCATTTCTACACGTCAAAACGTGTACGCAGCGACAAAATATAACAAAACTCTCGCTTATCATCACCATCATCATTATCATCATCATCATGCAATACAATGCAGTTATAAGCGCATTCAGTTTAACACAACTATCAATAAGATGATTTATACTGTAAAACCAGCGAAGTCTATATTATTTGTCAAAATTTGAACATAACACGTCATGTTTTACACATTTCTTAATACCAATTTAAAAAGTTACTCTTTATTGTTCCCTCCAAAAGATTATAGTAGTAAATTTAGTAAAAAAAAAAAAAAAATACAAAAACCGCATATAAGATACCTAATCAATAATAATTCAAAACGTGTTCTTACAAGATTCGAAATAGAAATAATTTTTACTGATATAAAATTAATTTTATTCATCTTTAAATGCGATTTTTTATTATACTACTACCAAATTCGAGAAAAATAGTTTTAGTTAGAAAAATGACAACTTATATTAAAAAAAAAATATCGCGCCTCCCATCCTAACACTGTGCATTTTAGCTGTCAAGTTTTAACAGTATATGGGACTCAAATCTTTTTGTCATTTTTCGGGCTCGTTCCTTTAGGAAAAATAAAACAGTCCCCTAAAAAGATTCTAATGCATTGATTATTGATACTTTGTTTTGTTAGATTTCATCGGAGCGTATGTATTTATTCAACCGACGACAGCTCGTACAAATGACAGATTTGATAACAAATGCATTGGCATATTTAGAGTAGGGGGGGGGGGTTCCACCCTCTGGTACCCACCCTAAGCTTCACAAAGACATGAGAGTACATATAGGACTTTTTTAAAGGGGCAGGCCCCTCCTGACGAATACTTTTAAAATATGCCAACGCAAACATGTGGATACCGTAACGGGATGTCGCATCATAATGATATGTTGTCGCCCCACCATATTGTATATCAATTAATATAAATTTTACAATAGACTCGTGTTCTATTGGCATTGTACAGAGTGGGCATCGAACGGTATTGTTTCCAAGTTACAAACTCCTAACAAGTTCTTTATTATCATCTAAATTCGCGTGCTAGAAATACAATTGGACTTTTTTTTATTTAATGCTATATCTGAAACACAATACTAAAACTAGTAACACTTCTAGCAAAGAGATTCAATTTTAGAGAGTTACTTTTGCTGTCTTTTATAAATCTTAAAGAAAAAAAAAACAATTTATTTAATTTTCTTAAAATCTCTAAATAAATTTCCATTAATTAGACATTTTAGAAAAATTCTAGATATAATTTAAAATCCAATAAGAGAGCGTAATAAATTGAGAAGTTTTTCAAATTTATAAGTAGTCTCATTTTAGTGAAAATGGAGAATCTGACATTAAAAAATAAATCACAATTTGATCGATATAACTGGCCCTCTAGACTAGTGGCCAGCGAATTCGTAGATGGAATCGAAATCGCTAGCGAATCCGTGAGATAGAATGAGATAGCAACGACAGATGTCTATTTCTAACTCACGGACTCGCGAGCGATGTCGATCCATCGATGAATTCGCTTCTAGTCTAGAGGACCTAATTTCTCATCTGATATGTAACCAAACGAATTGAGGAATCAGACGAATCGAGAAACGGTCAAACTGTTGAATACTGATATAAAAGAGACGTATACATTGAAAACGATTACCATTCGATGCCCATCTGTTTGGTTACTCGGTGTTCACCCACGACGTACTCCAGTTATTTGCTATTTGTTATTTTTACAACTATTTATCTATCTAGCGCAAACATTAAACATAGTATTAGATATTATATAAAAGTCAACATTTAACTTTCACATCTAATATACAGTCGTAAATACAAAGTTACATTGTGTAATTGTCAAATTAACCCCTTTTGTACCCTTGTAAAGAGAGAGATCCTCACAAAGAGAGAGACCTTATAAAAGAGAGAGCCTATAAAAGAGAGAGACACTATAAAAGATAGACCGAGCAAAAAAAGAGAAGAACGATTAAGCACACACATAAATTATATGCTTGACTATTTGTAAAGACAAGTCCATAGGCAAAAAAAAAAAACTTTTACCTGTATTCAGATATTATGACTGTTTTTCATTTTTTTTATGGCTATACAACGCTTCTATTATGCCAGTCTCAATGAATTAATCTATGCCGTCTAAACTTTATCTATGGATTGGCAGTGGTCAGCCTTTAATGTTTACGCTAGTAAGGCAGTATATAAAACGGTTTATGTAAATAAATTTACAATTTTATATAATAAAAAAGAAACTTCTTACAATATAAAAAAAAATGAACGCCATTTCCTAAATACGTAAAATATATATATATTTATACATTAAATCGGCGGTGTCAGCAAAGAACAAAATGGCGTCCAGAGTATTTAACATAACGTATACTTAAAAGCAAATAAATACAATTTGGTTAATTACACTACAGCTATTATATTTATATATTTGTTATATTATATAAAAACCACGCGTTCTGCGATGTCGGGGCTAAATCACTGCGAAATATATTATAAATATAAAATTATACGATTGTCTATCTATTCGTGTGTCTGAACGAAATCACCGATTGTACTGGTGTTAAATAAAACTACCACAGTACGGTCGGCAACAAAAATCGACATCGACAAATTTCCAAAACCCATAGACAACCATAAACGTACTAAACAAGATCAAAATCACAACTGGATGAACATTGTATAAGACCTAAATTAGTTGAATATATACAATGGCATATGTACGCTTCGTGTGGGAGTTTTGACAATTTTAACATGTTCGTAGACTTTGGACGCTGACCGTACCGTCATCGTACGCAATACACTTCGCAGCGAGCCCCACGCAGCCGACACTAATTGACCTAAAAGTCACGTCTGTTTTACACCTAAGATATCCCATCATAATTATCATAATGGAAGGTATTGTGTCGTATAGTTTGATTAAATATATTGATATAAATATATTGCAAATTATAATTTTCATTTTATATTAGGAACCAAATTTTTAAATAAAATTTATTATGCGTACGTTATAATTAAATAGATTTTTTTTTATATAGATTTGACAGGTACTGAGTTTTTAATATTGCAAATTGATGCTTTTAATTGATTTTATACTACTACGTGTTTAGTATAAATCATGATTCGACATCTCTTTCTGCCTACTCCATAAAGAATTTACCGTGATAGACAGATAATTATGTAAATAAAAAGCCCTAACATTATTTTCGATAAAAAAAAAAAACAAATTTTCCAATACTGCCCTGGCCGTCTAGACAAATGGTAAGCGAATCTATTGATGAAATCGTAATCGCCAGCGTGTGGATGAGGTAGAATGAGATAGCAACGTCTTACGTCTCATTCTAACACATGGACTTGCTTGATGTAACGATTCCGTCAATGGATTCGCTTGCCACTTGTCTACAGGCCCTGTAACTGAACAAAATTGAAGGATGCATTACAAACGGTAATTCCACAAATATTGTAAATAACATTACCGAGATATTTTGGATGTTTGTTACTTTATCACATTTTAACGGCTGTACGGGTTTTAATGAGATTTAATACACGGATAGACTATATAGCCTAAATTAATACAACACAAAATTTCGAGAAAAATGTTATTTAGCAATGTTTAGAAAAAAAAATAAATGCATCACACACACACAAACAAATAGTATGAATATAACAAAACGGTGTTATTGATAAAGGCAAGCAAATAAATAAATAGTTATATTATATCTCAATAGTACTGGTTCAAATATTGCTCGCTTCGAAATTTTTCAATACATACTTGCATATACATATCTGTCACACCTGTTTCCCAATTTTTCAATTGCACAATAAATTACTAATATATGTTTATTTATATTTCAATGTATTAAAAACTCAGTCTATCAAAACGGTGACAAACGGACGCAATACATGTTGTACGGTCAGCAACAAAACTTCAATAAAACAACATTTAAAATAATAATCGTCGCAGCGTCTGCTGACCGTACACAATTTAGCCTCGTGCTCAATATGCCGCCGAGCAATAAAACATTAACAGAAGCAAGCGTAGAAACGGGACATGTCTATAGTCCAGTACGCGTTCAACTGGTTTCTGCAATTCAAAAAATATTTTATATATTTATTTATCGAATGTATATAAATTTAAAAACGTATATAGTAAACACTCCCATAAAGGGGAGGAGGGGAGGGGGAAGATTGCTAGTAGTTGTCACGCTTAGCAGGCGGGTAGGCAACGGCAGTTTGGCTTTCGGTGATGTTTAAGAAGGACGCTGCTACCCATCTCTCGACCTCCATTAATCCTCTTACGACACGCATGGAAAAGGAAGGGATGGCCTATTCTATACCGGGACCTATAACTTATATTACCCAATTCATAAAAGCCGTGTAGCTCCTGGCAGGCAGATTCGAAACCGCAGTTAGGCTTTAGAGATGTTTTAAGAGGGATGCTGCTACCCATCTCTCGCCCCATAGTCACCCCTTACGACACCCACGGGACATCCAGTATTATAGAAATCAATTACTACTATTGCCAATAACCATCACTTACCATCAGGGATCCATGGGGTGCGGCGGAGATGCGCCACAACTGCTGTCTTCAGAGTGGAGCCCCTCCCCCATGTCCGTACCCACCTGACCACAAATAATAGTACTTTTAATATACAGATACCCATAGTTGAAAGAAAAAAAAAAAGAAAACGTTTATTGCCAACAACAAAAAATATCAACCGTTAACTTTCCACTGCTAAACATAGGACTCCCCCATAAGGAGGGTTTTGCCAGTAGTTGCCACGCTTGGCAGACCTGTCAGCAACCACAGTTAGATGTTGATGAAAACGTGAAAATCGGTTCAGAATAATCGTGTTATATTTAAAAAAAAATGATAGAAAATGTTTTAATTTTAATTAATTTTTTTTATTTAAAAAAAAAAAAAAAAAAAACTAGACAAAACAATCGTAAACGAATATGTACTTGTTAGTGTGTAAACTGTACTTGATAGTGATTTTTTATAATTCAAATATGAAAGATGCAAGATCAAAATTGATAACTTAGGACGTATTAACACAGGTTTCATTTATCCTGGCTATTTGGAGAGGATAAATGAAGAATTACGGAATAGATTTATCGTACACGAATGGATGAAAAAGTCGGTAGAGGCAACCCTGGAGGGAAATATGTCGATCAAATAGTCGACGTGCTGAAGAAGGGCCACATTAAAAGTACCCGTAACCGACGAGATTGTACAAAAAGATTGATGAATGTGGAGGAAGCGAAAGAATTTGGCATTCCATTGTTTCTACCTATCCTATTGAGAGACAGGCGTGACTAATATGTATGTATATAATGAAATGAGTTTATTTGCATTAAACAGTTTAAAATTATAACAAGCCACGTGGTATTATTTTGGCACCTGTTTAACTGCCTTAAAAGATGTAGGCATGCAAATATTTAACATTTTATATAAAAAACCGATAAACAAAATAATAATATGTTAACAGAGCATGACTTGAAAAAGAAAAATAAAAGATGTTAATAACTTACACAAACCTTAAGTACATCGTGCAACGAGCTCATACTGCCGAGGCTGAGCGGAGTGATCGACCTCTCCAGCAGTAGAGAGCCGCTGCCTTGTGAACCGCCACCTATCGATCTGTAAGGGAAATTGTAATAGTAAACATACTGGAATTAGGAATCATACTGTGAAAACCGCATTGATTTTAGTGCAGTAGTTTTGGCGTGATGCTAAAACAAACATAGGAAAAAAAATTTAAAAGTTTTCTCTTACTAAAATAGAATAGTCTTTTTATATAACTTAGAATAGCAAACAAACTGACGGCCCACTGCCATATCCCACCCTTCAAACTGAAACACAGCCATGAAAGCACAAGTGTTTCACGGTAGAAACATGAATGTGACAGAGGTGAGCAAACAAACGACTTTAATACAAAGTCTCCCTCTGGTAATTAAAATAGAAATATTCTTTATTTGAAAGATTGTGATCATGAGCGAGTGAGTATGAGAGTATGCGAGTGAGTATGTGTGATTGTGCGTGTGCATGCGTGTGCGTGTATGCGTGTGTAGTGTGAATTCGTGCGAGTGTCAGCGAGTGTATACAATTGTGTACGAATTTGTGCGAGTGCATGCAGTGCGTGTGCGTACGTGCGTGCGTGCGTGCGTGCGTGCGTGCGTGCGTGTGCGTGCGTACCTCTCCATGGGGCGGTGGTGCGAGCCGGGCGACGGCGGCGCGTCGTCGCGCCCGCGCCCGCGCCACGACCCTGACAAGTACACGCACATTTATACACGCTGTCACAACGCTAGCATTTCAAGATAATTAAGTATAAACTAAAAAGTAATTGAAGTAATTGAAGATTAAAAATAAATAAAATAAGATAAAATATTTTTAGTAAAAAAAAATTGCTGTATCCCGTGGCATAGTCCGCATGAATTTATAAATGTATACTGTATTATCCAATATATTGGCTGCAATCAAATATCAAATTTCATTCTTATCTGTTCAACCGTTTAAGCCAATTGGGTGTCAAATATCAAAACATTTTAAAACTTTCACTCTGTATTATATTGTAATAACACATTAAGAAAATTATCTCATTCCCGAGTATGACGACCGTACTAACCATTATAGGAGCCGGTCCCGTGCGATATCGTAAGTGGTGACGTCCGCTTACTGCTCTCTCTACTGCTATATATTTGCTGCAACACACATTTCCCACTGTTAAATTGAGCAAACATTAAAAAAAAAATGTTTTCATCCAAAATATTAAATATACGACTGAAATTTTTATTAATTTTTACAAGAATACTTAATCAATAACTTTGAAAATGCAGAACAAACTTCAGTCTGGTAACGAAACAAATGAAAGCCTATTTTGCTCAGCAGAGTTACAGTTTTCAAGATACATAAAAAAAAGTAACAATAAATTATTCACAATCAAAAACTACTAACACGACATTAGGTTTTTTACTAAAATAGACCATTTTCTAATTAGTGGGCAAACAATCCCAAAAGTGGAACGTCCCAAGTACAAGTTGCAAATAAAAATGGGCACCTGCGGCAGTTCGTCGGCCGTCTCGAGGGTGGTGGGCAGGTCGAGCAGGCGCTGCGAGCGGATGCCGTCGCCGGGCCCCATGTGCGACAGGTGGGCGAAGTTCGTCGGCGCCGAGATCAGCCGCGACCGCCGCTCCGAGCTGTGTTTAAACTTGTTATTATAATCCTAACATCATTCACAGACTGGTATATGTTTCTATTTTATTATATAGGTAGATCCGGCTCGAAGGAGCCGCGACCGCCGCTCCGAGCTGTGTTTAAACTTGTTATTATAATCCTAACATCATTCACAGACTGGTATATGTTTCTATTTTATTATATAGGTAGATCCGGCTCGAAGGACCGAAAAGGTTTAAGGCCCAATATAGCAGTATTTATTTAGGCATAATACTCGTAATTAAGAGCGATCATTCTGAAGTCAGACAAGATTTTGCATTACCACCATTAAACCATGTTCGTTCAATCTCTATAACGATTCCTCTGGAGACCATCGTGGTTAATTCCAAAGGGATACGTCACAATGGACTAATTTTCCAGACTTTATCCTCAACTATCAACCCTTAAGGCTACCCTGACAGTACATACCTACAGCACAAACGATGTTACGATTTCACTGTAATTTGCTAACATTTAACAATTACATTATCCGCATTAAATGTTAATAAGTAACAAATCACTGCATTGTTTTTACGATGTACAGAAAAATTCAAATGTCGACTAATACACAAAGTAGTTAATAACTTGGATTTTAGTGTGATATTGACAAGTTGGTGTATCGTGGGAAGCTGGTGCATGATGGCATAGAACTCACAGGCGGTTGTGCGCCTCTACGGCCTGGTGAGACTGCTCGCGTACTGAGAAGCGCCGCTTAGTGCCCCACGACGACACATGCTCCGGAGCCAGTGGACCCTCTGTCGACATGGGCATAACACAAATTAATTAAATATTACATTACTATAACAATCGTCACTTGGGGGGGGGGGGGGTTTGTTAGTAATGCGGACTACCAGTCCCATTGCTAGCAAGGTCGACCTACACGTGGTCCCCCTGGATACCATCACGTTGAATCCTGGATGTATTCATCACGATGGGCTAACTGACCTGCTTTTTCATTCTCACCTGTCATCCTTCACTGGTTACTGTACTATTACTGCAACTGTTAGCGCGGACGGGGTTGCAATTCCATTATCATCCATTAAAAAAAAAACAATCATCACTTGCCCAAATGACGAGTTTTGTTTCGGCGTATTTAGTATAACAAATTACATGTAGTATACCTTCTATCTACTAATTTCGATGGCATGAATAGCTTAGGGGACGGTCACCGGTCACGTTACGCCATTTTAGAAGATTCTTGCGTGAAAAGAGTATAAGAATTTATTTCCTTAAACAAAATTAGCCTATGGTACAATATAGCTATGACCTCACACTAGGCAAAGCCTGTCTAGTCATCCATTCATCTTTACAAACTTTTATATTTACAATACAAACAGTATCTGATGGAGTTCCATCGAAGATACGTGACGTAACGTGACGCTAACCTAACATGATACTATCAATATACCCCATCAGGTCGACCTCCACGCAGTTTCCCCTGGAAACCATCATGACTAATTTATCGTTGAATTCGTCACGACGGGCTAACTGACCCGCTTTTATGCGCACCTATAATCCCTTACTGCTGCCCTGTCAATGTACACCGATAGCGCAGGCGGAGTTACCATTCCATTATCATCCATTAAAAACAAAAAAAAACCCTAACATGATATTGTGAGAACAAAACATACAAATATGTGTGTATTTTGAATGTAAGTATATAAAATAGTATATATTTATTATTTCTTGGTGGAAACAACCATACTGTTTCCATTTCTTATTGTAGACACACTGCCCGCTGGTGAGTCCCTCTCATTTCCACTCAGGGTTTGCTGGAAGAGAACTCTTACAGAGTTAAGCTCGCCTGTTGTACATCTTTATATAAAATAAATTATAACAATATACTTTTTGTGTACAATAAAGTGTTTATCGAAACAAAAATACGTATAAAAGCATTCTCACGGGTAGTAAGTGGACGCAGGTAGACGAGGAATGGTGCCGCATCGCTGGAGAAGGGGAAGCCGTTGGTGCCTCCGCCGCACAGCACCACCCACCCGCATTCGTCTAGTGGACGCGCGTTCGCTGGAAATGACCATAAAATATGGAGCTCGATACTAGGAAACTTATTGTGACGACCAGTGAACGGTGTGCCTAATATGTATTGTACAGAGGGAGAAGGGATAGTTAGTAATGGTGTCTAATTGACCCATTGCTAACAATACACCCTGTGAGGTTTTTTTTTATACAACTTAGAATGGCAAACAAGCTGACGGCCAACCTGATGGAAAGTGGTAACCGTCGCCTATAGACATGAGCAGTACCATGGACATAACAGAGTATACTGTTTCGCCCATGATACCCCCCATGCGTTGCCATTCCTGAGGACTCAGGTGTTATTCCTCTGTACCCTGTAAATTCACGCCATATCCCACCCTTCGAACCGAAACACAGCCATGCAAACACAGCTGCTTCACGGTAGAAACACGAATGAGACAGAGGTACCTAAGCAATCGACTTTTGTACAAACTCTCCCTCCCTATCTATATATTGGGTACCTCTGGACACTGATGGAGGAAAAAAGGTCATCACCCATTTCGATATCGCCCATATCAGTCGGATATCTATTTTCGAATATGTTAAAAATCTGTTATCCAATTTTAATTTTTGGATAATTAATAAAATAAATTAAGTCTAGATAGAAGGCATAATTCTACTCTATTTATCCCACTAGTGTCATCGAATTATGGACAAAATTCGTTCCTTTGGCGAGCTAGCAATAACTTTATTACTATTTGTAAAACTCTTAATATAGATCTATTTTCGAAAAATATAATATCAGTGAGAGACCAACTGAGTAGGCAATTTTTTATTCATAGTCAGTTTGAATAGCTATTGTATGGACAAGGCCATATTTTAATCAAATACTAGCAATTAATTTTACATCATTTTTTTTTGTTTTTGTTCCTTTTTTTGCCTTTCTGTATCTATATGCCTCGTTCGTTTGTATATCTATATGCTATATCTATATATCTTGTATCTATATTGTTGCTACTTGTGAAAACCTATTACTGGCTTATTTTGTGATCCTAAACTGTATCTTTTTGCTCTAGTGTAGCCCTGGTTTTCCAATGAATAAATAAATAAGTTCACTATTACAATGTTATGGAGTAAACAATAAAGAGTATCTATTTATTTATTAATTTTTTTTTATTACCTAAAAGTGATTAGTGAACATTGTTGGTGATGAGTCCAAGGACTTGTTTTTTCATATGAACCAATGTTACTTACGTATATTGATGGTCTGCACCCACTCCCCGGACTCTATGTCGTAGACATCAATATGGGTCGCGGTGAATATCAATAGGTGCGTTTCATTTATCGCTGAAACCACACAAACACGCACTTTGAAATAAGATTCAAAACTTGTACACGACAAAAATAGGTGTTTTTAAAAATACATATAAAATACAAAGAAAAGATTGTGTACCACAAAAGAAAAATACCGATTTCAATTGTAACAAAACCAGTAATTTTGATCTGAAAACTAAACTAATGAATCGATTAAAATTTAAAAATTTCAATGGGACCACTGTAACTGTAAGTAAATAAAAAATATAAATAAAAAAAAACTGCTTTAGAACTGACGGAGAAATAATTAAAAAAATACAACAAAATTAGAGAGTCTTATCATTTTTTAAGTCTATTAATAATAACATATGTACAGCGTTAGATTGAAAATATTACTATCTGTTTAAAAAAGAATTTAAAGAGTTGTGAAAACTGAAAAAATGTATAGTTTATCGAGCGAGCTGAACACCAGCAGCGAGTCTGCGCAGCGAGTAGCGAGTAGCGAGTAGCGACTGACCGTGGTGGGTGGGGTGCGCGGTGTACATGACTCCGTGTCGCGCGCGCGCAGGCCGGCGCGGTCGACGTAGATGGCGAGCGAGCTGAACACCAGCAGCGAGTCTGCGCAGCGAGTAGCGAGTAGCGAGTAGCGACTGACCGTGGTGGGTGGGGTGCGCGGTGTACATGAGCTCGGTGTCGCGCGCGCGCAGGCCGGCGCGGTCGACGTAGATGGCGAGCGAGCTGAACACCAGCAGCGAGTCTGCGCAGCGAGTAGCGAGTAGCGAGTAGCGACTGACCGTGGTGGGTGGGGTGCGCGGTGTACATGAGCTCGGTGTCGCGCGCGCGCAGGCCGGCGCGGTCGACGTAGATGGCGAGCGAGCTGAACACCAGCAGCGAGTCTGCGCAGCGAGTAGCGAGTAGCGAGTAGCGACTGACCGTGGTGGGTGGGGTGCGCGGTGTACATGAGCTCGGTGTCGCGCGCGCGCAGGCCGGCGCGGTCGACGTAGATGGCGAGCGAGCTGAACACCAGCAGCGAGTCTGCGCAGCGAGTAGCGAGTAGCGAGTAGCGACTGACCGTGGTGGGTGGGGTGCGCGGTGTACATGAGCTCGGTGTCGCGCGCGCGCAGGCCGGCGCGGTCGACGTAGATGGCGAGCGAGCTGAACACCAGCAGCGAGTCTGCGCAGCGAGTAGCGAGTAGCGAGTAGCGAGTAGCGACTGACCGTGGTGGGTGGGGTGCGCGGTGTACATGAGCTCGGTGTCGCGCGCGCGCAGGCCGGCGCGGTCGACGTAGATGGCGAGCGAGCTGAACACCAGCAGCGAGTCTGCGCAGCGAGTAGCGAGTAGCGAGTAGCGAGTAGCGACTGACCGTGGTGGGTGGGGTGCGCGGTGTACATGAGCTCGGTGTCGCGCGCGCGCAGGCCGGCGCGGTCGACGTAGATGGCGAGCGAGCTGAACACCAGCAGCGAGTCTGCGCAGCGAGTAGCGAGTAGCGAGTAGCGAGTAGCGACTGACCGTGGTGGGTGGGGTGCGCGGTGTACATGAGCTCGGTGTCGCGCGCGCGCAGGCCGGCGCGGTCGACGTAGATGGCGAGCGAGCTGAACACCAGCAGCGAGTCTGCGCAGCGAGTAGCGAGTAGCGAGTAGCGAGTAGCGACTGACCGTGGTGGGTGGGGTGCGCGGTGTACATGAGCTCGGTGTCGCGCGCGCGCAGGCCGGCGCGGTCGACGTAGATGGCGAGCGAGCTGAACACCAGCAGCGAGTCTGCGCAGCGAGTAGCGAGTAGCGAGTAGCGACTGACCGTGGTGGGTGGGGTGCGCGGTGTACATGAGCTCGGTGTCGCGCGCGCGCAGGCCGGCGCGGTCGACGTAGATGGCGAGCGAGCTGAACACCAGCAGCGAGTCTGCGCAGCGAGTAGCGAGTAGCGAGTAGCGAGTAGCGACTGACCGTGGTGGGTGGGGTGCGCGGTGTACATGAGCTCGGTGTCGCGCGCGCGCAGGCCGGCGCGGTCGACGTAGATGGCGAGCGAGCTGAACACCAGCAGCGAGTCTGCGCAGCGAGTAGCGAGTAGCGAGTAGCGACTGACCGTGGTGGGTGGGGTGCGCGGTGTACATGAGCTCGGTGTCGCGCGCGCGCAGGCCGGCGCGGTCGACGTAGATGGCGAGCGAGCTGAACACCAGCAGCGAGTCTGCGCAGCGAGTAGCGAGTAGCGAGTAGCGAGTAGCGACTGACCGTGGTGGGTGGGGTGCGCGGTGTACATGAGCTCGGTGTCGCGCGCGCGCAGGCCGGCGCGGTCGACGTAGATGGCGAGCGAGCTGAACACCAGCAGCGAGTCTGCGCAGCGAGTAGCGAGTAGCGAGTAGCGACTGACCGTGGTGGGTGGGGTGCGCGGTGTACATGAGCTCGGTGTCGCGCGCGCGCAGGCCGGCGCGGTCGACGTAGATGGCGAGCGAGCTGAACACCAGCAGCGAGTCTGCGCAGCGAGTAGCGAGTAGCGAGTAGCGACTGACCGTGGTGGGTGGGGTGCGCGGTGTACATGAGCTCGGTGTCGCGCGCGCGCAGGCCGGCGCGGTCGACGTAGATGGCGAGCGAGCTGAACACCAGCAGCGAGTCTGCGCAGCGAGTAGCGAGTAGCGAGTAGCGAGTAGCGACTGACCGTGGTGGGTGGGGTGCGCGGTGTACATGAGCTCGGTGTCGCGCGCGCGCAGGCCGGCGCGGTCGACGTAGATGGCGAGCGAGCTGAACACCAGCAGCGAGTCTGCGCAGCGAGTAGCGAGTAGCGAGTAGCGAGTAGCGACTGACCGTGGTGGGTGGGGTGCGCGGTGTACATGAGCTCGGTGTCGCGCGCGCGCAGGCCGGCGCGGTCGACGTAGATGGCGAGCGAGCTGAACACCAGCAGCGAGTCTGCGCAGCGAGTAGCGAGTAGCGAGTAGCGACTGACCGTGGTGGGTGGGGTGCGCGGTGTACATGAGCTCGGTGTCGCGCGCGCGCAGGCCGGCGCGGTCGACGTAGATGGCGAGCGAGCTGAACACCAGCAGCGAGTCTGCGCAGCGAGTAGCGAGTAGCGAGTAGCGAGTAGCGACTGACCGTGGTGGGTGGGGTGCGCGGTGTACATGAGCTCGGTGTCGCGCGCGCGCAGGCCGGCGCGGTCGACGTAGATGGCGAGCGAGCTGAACACCAGCAGCGAGTCTGCGCAGCGAGTAGCGAGTAGCGAGTAGCGAGTAGCGACTGACCGTGGTGGGTGGGGTGCGCGGTGTACATGAGCTCGGTGTCGCGCGCGCGCAGGCCGGCGCGGTCGACGTAGATGGCGAGCGAGCTGAACACCAGCAGCGAGTCTGCGCAGCGAGTAGCGAGTAGCGAGTAGCGACTGACCGTGGTGGGTGGGGTGCGCGGTGTACATGAGCTCGGTGTCGCGCGCGCGCAGGCCGGCGCGGTCGACGTAGATGGCGAGCGAGCTGAACACCAGCAGCGAGTCTGCGCAGCGAGTAGCGAGTAGCGAGTAGCGAGTAGCGACTGACCGTGGTGGGTGGGGTGCGCGGTGTACATGAGCTCGGTGTCGCGCGCGCGCAGGCCGGCGCGGTCGACGTAGATGGCGAGCGAGCTGAACACCAGCAGCGAGTCTGCGCAGCGAGTAGCGAGTAGCGAGTAGCGACTGACCGTGGTGGGTGGGGTGCGCGGTGTACATGAGCTCGGTGTCGCGCGCGCGCAGGCCGGCGCGGTCGACGTAGATGGCGAGCGAGCTGAACACCAGCAGCGAGTCTGCGCAGCGAGTAGCGAGTAGCGAGTAGCGAGTAGCGACTGACCGTGGTGGGTGGGGTGCGCGGTGTACATGAGCTCGGTGTCGCGCGCGCGCAGGCCGGCGCGGTCGACGTAGATGGCGAGCGAGCTGAACACCAGCAGCGAGTCTGCGCAGCGAGTAGCGAGTAGCGAGTAGCGACTGACCGTGGTGGGTGGGGTGCGCGGTGTACATGAGCTCGGTGTCGCGCGCGCGCAGGCCGGCGCGGTCGACGTAGATGGCGAGCGAGCTGAACACCAGCAGCGAGTCTGCGCAGCGAGTAGCGAGTAGCGAGTAGCGAGTAGCGACTGACCGTGGTGGGTGGGGTGCGCGGTGTACATGAGCTCGGTGTCGCGCGCGCGCAGGCCGGCGCGGTCGACGTAGATGGCGAGCGAGCTGAACACCAGCAGCGAGTCTGCGCAGCGCGGCACGCCCGCCACCGCCAGCGGCCGCGCGCCCGAGTGCGCCAGGAACACGCTCACTTGGTTCTCGGGGTGCACCACCGCTGCAAATGTTATATGCCCGTTTTCTACATAAACTGTGTCCAATATTAGTACATTACTGCAGCGGCCAACAACTGAGGCATTGATGGACGAACGTGCAAATGTGGGCCGAGGCGTAGCCGAGGCACACGTACGTGAGTCCATCAATGTCTAGTTGTGACCAAGGCTTGTATAGTACTTTTCTCAAACAATGCGCGGAAATCAAAAACACAATTTTACTTTTTAAGTTCAATGACGAATAACGAATAATAATAATTTTTCACGTGCCATAATGTTCCTTTTTTTTTTTTTCAATAAACAGCTTTCTATTTGCAAGCCAGTTAGAAATTTAAATAAAACCTTTTATTAGTTACCTCCTTGGTAGCCATGTTTCGAAGTAAAAGGTCGTTCCATTTTTAAATAACCGAACAGATATGAGTTTACATAGTAATTTATCTGGCCGCGACACGACAGATATGGATTTTCATACAACTTGCCGGCCGCTGCCCGCATGTATCTGGCCAGTACGGCAATTTTGATTTATCTCGAAAAAAAAATTGTTAAAATTATGCTTACATTTCCAAGCATGTTTGAGAAAATAATGTAGTAATTTAAAATTTGTCATTGACAAATAATTGACATATCAAACATTCTCTATTATTATTATATTTAAAAATAATTTGACGATGAAATTTCAAATTCATTTTTGAACCATTAAAAACTTATTGTTACTTGCTTTATGCTTTTAAAAATATATATCAAACTGTTTATAATTACTCCTCTGTATCCAAAAATTGCCTGGAAGAGATCGCTTCTAGCGATAAGGTCGCCCATTGTTTTCTCACTGTGATTATTTGTTATAATTGTTTGTATCTATAATAAGTTTACTATTGTAATCTTTTGAAGGAAACAATAAAGAGTATCTATCTTTATAATCTCTGACAACAGAGGATTTCTTTATAAAAATAGTAGTAGCAAGATACTATATTACACTAGGACAATGATACTGAAGTATGACTGTGGCAGTATCACAAGAGACGGCACTCACAGACGGCGGGCTGGTCGCTGCCGGGGCGGCGCGGGTCGGGCAGGCAGTGCGCCGCGAAGCCGCCGCGGTAGCCGAGCAGCAGGCGGCCGCGCGTCAGCTGCACGCAGTGCACGGCGCCCGGCGCCCGCAGCTCTGCGATGCGGCAGCGGCGGGCCGCCGTCCGCGTTATTTCGTACACGTTCACTACGTACGAGTTCTGACGACAATTCATAACAAATATTCTATACTAATACAACAACAGCCTGTATACAAAGGCAACTAAAGATCACTCTATATACAAAGGAATCTTATGGTCACCTGTATACAAAGGCAATTTAAGGTCAATCTATATACAAAGGCAACTTATGATTACTCTGTATACAAAGGCAACTTAAAATCAACCTATATACAAAGGCAATTTAAGGTCACCTGTATACAAAGGCAACTTATGGTTACTTTGTATACAAAGACATCTTAAGGTCACTCTGTATACAAAGACAACTTATGATTACTTTGTATATAAAATCAACCTATGGTCACTCTGTATACAAAGGCAGCTTATAGTCACTCTGTATACAAAGGCAGCTTATGGTCACTCTGTATACAAAGGCAACTTAAGGTCACTCTGTATACAAAGGCAACTTATGGTCACTCTGTATACAAAGACAACCTATGATCAACCTGTATATAAAATCAATTTATGGTCACTCTGTATACAAAGGCAGCTTATGGTCACTCTGTATACAAAGACAACTTATGATCACTCTGTATATAAAATCAACCTATGGTCACTCTGTATACAAAGGCAACTTATGGTTACTTTGTATACAAAGACATCTTAAGGTCACTCTATATACAAAGACAACTTATGATCACTTTGTATATAAAATCAACCTATGGTCACTCTGTATACAAAGGCAGCTCATGGTCACTCTGTATACAAAGGCAACTTAAGGTCACTCTGTATACAAAGGCAACTTAAGGTCACTCTGTATACAAAGACAACTTATGATCACTCTGTATATAAAATCAACGTATAGTCAACCTGTATATAAAAATAACTTATAATTATTCTGTATAAAAAAAAGACGTGTGGCAGTCGGGGACTGCCGCGGTAAAGCTATTGTATAGCATTTTTTATCAACTTATGCAATTTTATAATTATTTATTTATTTTATTTATGCAGTATTTTAACTATATGGGTGTGTGTTTATGTGTATAAAAGAGGGCTACTTTTAAAATCGCTCATTTCAAAATCCAAAATTTAGGTTATGTATTTTTATAGCAGTATTATATATAAATTCAAAAACAAAAACACTGCATTTGTGATAATAAATAAAATGTATTTATATAGAGTACTCACTCATTTTATTTCACTGTTTTTTCATTACTTTCTTCATTAATAAATGCACTTTGTTTATTCATATTTAACACTTTATACACAAATTTTATGCGTACAGCTATTCACTGTTGGACATAGATGATAGATACCTATATACATTCTCACAACAGCTGCTTACGTATTCGTCCAATTCCGGAGCAGCTCGCAAAAAGCACGCTGTCTCACCTAGCATTGTATCTAATAAAAGAGATAGAATCAGTTATGAGCAGTCAGCGGCTAGTCTACACGTATACGTCTACTCGCACGCACACAAACACCGTACCGAAGTCTGCCGAACTGAAACGACGTTAGACGATGCACGGCTTCCGTTCTCGCACCGCTCTGCCGCCGTAAGAGTGGGGGGTGTTAGGGTCCATTTCCGTTACGGAATTTTTACATTCGGTCTCCGCGCTCAAGGCCCGCGATAAAAGCTATACAATAGCTTAAAAATTAGTCTGATTTATGCAAAATCAATGGTGAACCTACCTATATACGAATATAGCTTATGGTCACCCTAACTATAAAGGCCTGTATATAAAGTATGTACCTGCCGCTTGCAGACGACAGCGAAACCCATGGTATTGCCCGTAAGTTCCCCGGTGGCGATGTCTACCGCACCTTTGGACTCCGCTAACTTGACGCACTCCACCTCGGAACATTCTAGAGCGCGGATGGGCACTAATCGCACGTGTCGTCCGCGACCAGCTATCACAACTGTGAACAGATACAACCGTTAATTAGAAACAAAAACTAGTTAAATCTAATTATTTTCACGAAACTAGTTTTAATAGCCTGAACATGTGAAAAATAGTAGTGATATAATTAACAGCATCTGAACAGATGGAATAACACAGCAACGTTTGGTATTTTGTTTTTATATATAATTTTTTTATTATTATTACAGAAACAGCAATGATAACGAAAAAATGTATTGTAACTATTTATGTCGGGTTTACTCATGTTTTAAATTCGGGGATACTTGGCTAGTTTCGTAATCATTGGGAGCCCTTATTCATGAGCTTGTATATATGTATTATGAATAAGAGATCCTATTAATTTTGAAACTAGTCGGGTATTTCCGCATTTAAAACATGAGTAAATTGGACATTAATAATTATAATACAGCATAATTCACGATTTTTAACAATTTCTTTTCGTCTTAGTTATTAATTGGTGGTAATTTATTATTATTAAATATAAAACTTTTTAAAGATCTAAATATTTATTTAGGGAGAAAGGGATCGTTAGTAATGGAGACTGAGAATCCTATTGCTAGCAACATACACAAATCTCATTGCGGTTCCCCTTGGAAACTATTATGGTTAATTCCTGATGAATTCATCATGATGGGCTAACTGGCCTGTTTTCATTCTCATCTATCATCCTTCACTGGTGCTTCGCCAGCGTATCCCGTTAGCGCAAGTGGAGTTACCGTTTCATTTTCACCCATCAAAAAAAAAAATATAAAAGTAAAATTGTACCGGTCTTTCAATAGCAACAACTTTAATACTATTTCTAAAACTCTTAATATAGATTTATTTTCGAAAAATATAATATCAGTGAGAGACCAACTGAGTAGGCAATTTTTAATTCATAGTCAGTTTGAATAGCTATTGTATGGACAAGGCCATATTTTAATCAAATTCTTGCAAATAATTTAACATAATTTTTTTTTTGTTTTCGTTCCTCTTGTTTGTTTGAATTTTTTTTTTTTATTGTTAACTCCTATTTTTGTTGCTTTGTATCTATATAGTTTCTAGTTGTGAGAAGCTATTGGTGGTTTATTTAGTGCTCGTAGTGTAGCGATTAACTACATGGGAGAGTTAAAGGTAACACTAGGCGTCATGTCGTATAGGGAGATAAAGGATATGGCCTGGGATAGAGGTGGCTGGAACCACCGACAAGTGCAAGTGGTGCGAGGTGTCGTGTGAGTGTGGTGTGGGTGTGTACGTACCGAGCAGGTGCTCGGCGGCGACGTAGCGCAGCGCGTGCACGGGCGCGAGGTGGCGGCGCGGCGTGAGGCTGGCGCGCTGCAGGTCGAGCAGCGCCAGCCCCGCGTCGCCGGCCACCACGACGCGCGCGCGCTCCAGCACGGCCGCCGCCGCCGCGCCGCGCAGCGCCGCCGCCGCCGCGCCGCCCTCCGCCACCACGCACGCGCTGTACACCTGCCGAGCGTCGCGTCCATACACACACACACACACACACACACACAATCTTAATATTTTTACACGCTGTTTACAATCAAAATATGCAAATAAATAGCCGAGATTTTATTTTTTATTTTTTTTTTAATTATCAGCTTTGTTAGTACGAAAAATGTGATCATTCAATTTTTTTTTAAATTTTATCGAGTAAAACAAAGAAACGGCTGAATGGATTAAATAGAAACTTTGTGGAAGTTTCGTGGGTATCTTGAACTGTAAGAGGCACACTTAACATTAGGGGTATCCTCAATATTTTCGATTTAGCCCTTTACTTTGCAAAAAACCACCAAAAGCCCTATTTTTGTTGCATTTTCAAAAACATGTCAAGAATGAAGAAAAAAATTTTTCAAAAAATAAAGGCTTATTCTTGTAGAAAATTTATTCAAGTTTCCAAAACCCATCTTCATCTTTCTATGCAATCATTAGTTACAAAAATATTGTTAATCAAAAACAAAATTATCCTTTTCCATTCAAAGTCCGATATCTCCGCGAAAAATGATGGTATCGAGGATTTAAAAAAAGGAATTTGAAGCTGAATAAACAAGTCCATAGAGTGATTATATAAAAACAAAAATTTAAAGACCATAGACGTAAAAAAAAATCAAAATTTTTTTTTAACTTTTTGGTCTGTGGTTTTTTCAAAATTATATATATATATCTATAATTATATTATAGATACAATACTATACATTTTAGATCCAAAAACTAGACACTTAGAGCTACAATTTGTATTTTTAAAAATGTTTCTACGATGATTTTTCTCTAAGTTACAGCCTATAACTCATTTAAAAATTTTAATTTTTTTTCGATCCTTTCATTTTTTTTTTATTAGTGTATTATATTATTTTGCGACTTTTGAACACGGGCATAATTGCATTTAAATAATTAATTAATAATAAACATCATATAAATAAATATAATAATAGTAATTTTTAATTATAACTATTTTTTATTCCCTGTATTATATCACACAATCACTCTAGTGAGTCGTATTTTGTAAGAAAATTTATATACCACATAAATTCAAAATCCTTTTCTAATAAAATAAATTGAGTAGTAGAGATTTTTTTTATACAACTTAGAATAGCAAACAAGCTGACGGCCCACCTGATGGAAAGTGATAACCTTCGCCTATAGACATCAGCAGTACCATGGACATAACAGAGTACTGTTTCGCCCATGATACCCCCCATGCATTGCCATTCCTGAGGACTCAGGTGTTATTCCTCTGTACCCTGTAAATTCACGCCATATCCCACCCTTCAAACCAAAACACAGCCATGGACACACAATTGCTTCACGGTAGAAACACGAATGAGACAGAGGTACCCAAGCAATCGACTTTTGTACAAAGTCTCGCTCTGGTGAAACAGCATATATCTATACAGCATTAAGCCCGCCATTTATACTTGACATGTTTTTGTAATGTGACCAGTAAAGAGTCGATAAATAAATATCTTACATATTTGTCTGGCAGATTATTCCTTTTGAGTATTCTATGCAGCTCGCTGAGGGCCACCACCCATTTTGTTTTCTCCGACTCCGATTCCGCCAGCATCAACGTGTGTGAACGCTTGCCGCCTTCCAATTGAGATGTTGATATCTGAATATTAATACAGAATTCGATTAAAAATATATTAACAAGAATATAAACCAAAATATAAAATAAATTAATCATAGTACGCATACAAATATATATTTTACACTACCGGCCCGTCCCGACTTCGTACGGATGGACATTTTTACAACATTTTAAAAAGTGGTTATTGTGACATAACGATAATAGTTGGACATATAGTATCGCTAAATTTTTTATAGTTATTGATATTTCATTGTAAAATTTCAAATAGATTGCGCGGCTTCAAAACTAAGAATCGTTAATTATATGGATGGTTGTGGTACATTTCCAGTGGGAAAATAATCTGCCATCTCATTCAGACTATTTATCTGAATCAGTTGTTTTCGTTTAGGCCAACCTGGCCATTTTCCACCCTGTAAATGTATATACTCACCCTAAATATGCACGGTATATCCCTTTTATTGGCGTGTATGACGTCAGACTCCTTGACTGACGTCACACTGAACTCGGGGTCACGCATGTCCAGTACTTGACTTACGCAAACCGATGGTAAAGCATTCCTGTACACAAGAACATACAGTTAAAAAGATCCTTTTAAGGGAGTATTCTAACAGTTAGACTAGTGGCGTAACCGGATGCATGTATGAGGGTAATTATAAAAATGAATGAGGCAAGAGATAGTAAGCTGGCAAGCAAACATAGCCTCGGAGATAATGCAACTATTAGAGAAATATTTTTTGATTGGTTTAGTAATTCCAGAAATTCCTTCGATTAATCAAAGGTTTGTTTCTAATCCGGCTCGAAGGACCAAAAAAATAGAACTATATTAATCACTATTTTTAACCATGTATTACACGTCAATAATGTCATATGTGTTAACTAATAAATTCTCACCTATCTTGTGATATATCGTACAAAAACAGTTTAAAGTCGCACACGACTACAAACTGTCTCATCCAACCTTTCTTCACACCTCCGGGTTTTGGTACCTAAAAACAGAAAAGATTAAATTTGTTTAAACTCAATAGTTTAAACAAATTATTCAATAGTTTAAACAAAAAACAACAGTAAATACTGTAGAGTTGTTGAATAAGAATGTATAAAAAAAAGATATTTTTCTGAGAGAGAGAGAGAGATTATATGGATATTAATTATTGTAATAATAATAATTTTTTTGCATATATAAAAATTTATCGATTGTGCAATTATGCAATTGTAAAAAACTATTTAAGAACTCAACATAGATGTAATTTGACTATGTATTGATTGAATGAGGCTGCACGTTTTGCTATAAAAATAAATACGTTCATATATTTATTCTATATAGATTAGAAAGAAATATTAGTCGATTATTACACTTGTAGTAAAATTGTTACGATGGGTGCATCTTAATCTATATCATCGCAGTGTTATTACTAGAACGGTCGCTATATATATATATATATATATATATATATATATCGAATTAGCGATGACGAGGTCCTGCTTAGGGTTAAAGAAAAAAGACAAATTATTAGAACTATTGAGGACAGAAGGGGAAAAATGATGAGACACTTGATACGACACGACGAACTTATGAACATTATAATAGAAGGTAAGATAGAAAGAAGGAGGGGAAGAGAGATACCGAGGCATAGTTACATCAGGCAGATCAAGGAAGGAGTTGGTGTCGTGTCGTATCATGAGGTGAAGAGACTCGCTGAAAATCGTAGTGAGTGGCAAGAGCTCCACCGACAATAGTGCAGCTCTTAAATAGAATATATATGTATATATAAGGTAATGTAATGTAAGGTATGCGAGGAGGATTACTTAGTAGATACTGTGAAGAAGGTGCGGAGGTACCTTGACGTAGCCCTCGTAGGCGGTGCCCTGCCCGCGCGCGGGGTCGATGCCCAGCGGGCGGCGCTCGCGCTCGGCCGGCAGCGGGCAGCGCGGCGCCACGCGCGCGCAGCAGCGCGTGTGCACGCACAGCCCGCACGTCTCGCACACCACGCCCTGCCGCGTCAGCCCGATCTGCGCCCGCCACACCGCCGCTACTCTCAGTGCGATCCAATTCAAACACTCCTACTTTCTTTTAAGTCGGTTGAAAACCCACTTTCAAACAATTGAACATTTCTTTTCACACAGAAATAATTGTATGGTATCGTATTGTTGTATGGTATCCGTTGTACAAGCGGTAGAACACGCGGTGTGAGGCAAAATCTCTCCTAAGATTAAGTCGTATCGGGTTCGATACTGCTTGCAAGTCTGGGATCATCGACAATTTTTATACTTCGTCGTTGCACTGAATCGATATTATTGATTTATTTCTACCAAATCGATCAGATAGTGACGACAAATTATAACGACTATTTTTATATTATTTATATATATTATACTATTATTATATTATTTATTGAGCTATTTGTACATTATCAAAATTCCCTTTATAACTAAGAAATAAATATTTTGATTTATTGCAACGACTCCATTTTTCTTTTACATCACAAGTATGTACTTGTAACTTATAAAGTGCTAGAGTTATTGGTATCCTCTATGAGTTATTAGACTGGAATGCAAAGGTAACCAGTAGAATGTATTTATTATTATCAATTCAGCCGTTAACCGTCCACTGCTGAACATAGGCCTCCGGGGGGGAAAGGGATTGTTAGTAATGGAGACTGAGAATCCTAATTACTAGCAATATGCCCAACCAGGTCGACCTCCTCGCGGTTCCCCCTGGAAACTATCATGGTTAATTTTTAATGAATTTATTATGATGGGCTAACTGGCCTGTTTTCATTCTCATCTATCACCCTTCACAGGTGCTCCGCCAGCGTATCCCGTTAGCGCAGGCGGGGTTACCATATCATTTTCATCCATCAAAAAAAAACATAGGCCTGCCCCATTAGTGGAGTTTCATCAGTAATTACCACACATAACAGTCGGATTGGCAACCGCAATTAGGCTTTGGTGATGTTTTTAGAGGGACGTTGCTGCCCATTCCTCGACCATTATGTTCCTTTAGTCGCCTGTTACGACACTCACAGGAAAAGAAGGGGTGGCCCAATCAATGCCGGGACCACATGATAATATATAAGCGTATTAGCTAGCGTAGTACCTATGTAAAAGCACATACCATAAGCGAAGTACAGTGGTTGCATTTGGTCGGACTGCTGAACGTTCTCACGAGGAATTGGTGAAGCTTCTGTTTGCCCGGCACGGCAGGACCTATTGATGGATCCTGTGGAATGTAAAATACAAATAATAATATTTATTAAACCTATTTTTTTATAGAATTTAAAATGACAAACAAGCTGACGGCCCACCTGATGGAAAGTGGTAACCGTCGCCTATAGACATGAGCAGTACCATGGACATAACAGAGTATACTGTTTCGCCCATGATATCCTATGATATCCATGATAATTTTTTTTTATTTTCATTCTTTTATCTCTTTTGCTGTGTATTATGTGTATATATTGTAATTTGTATGCTGTAAGTAATGTAAATAAATTATCTATCTATCTATTCATATCCGAGTGAGTAAGTATTGTATCACTCACTGTAGACATTTCGCTGGGCGAACTCTTGCTGGAGGCCGGAGAGGCAGCTCTCCCCTCCAACTCGTCTTGCGACTCTACCGACCCGCTTAAAGCCGCCGACTGCTGCGACCCGTACATCATCTGCAAACATATATACGAATACATTGACGAATGAATTAAACTTTATTATTATATAGATAAAACACATTAATTTACAATTTTAAAATAAGAAAAATTACACATTGCCAATTGCCAATGTGAACAACACTCGTCATTTTTTTAATACACATGCTGAGAATTGCTACGACGCTGGTATTGTGTTATTTATTTATTTATACGATCGCCAACATAGGATACAGCAAAACATTTCAATACAAAACACTAGTGGATTACACCTAAATGTTCTTATATTTAGAGGTAACCACAGCATTTTTTGTGTTTAACATAAAAAATATTAAAATAGAATCAAATTATTAAACTATTATATGTTATTAAATGAATAAAAATATTAATAATTTTCATTAATTTGATGACACCTAACATTTCAAATCACTTCTATTAAATTTAAATTAATTTAAAAATAAAACAAATAATAAAACTAATATATCACAATGATTGTTAAGATTTGTAATTTTTAATTGTCATTGTAAACAAACATAGCCAGTTGGGGTCACTAATATAGAAATGGCTATTTTAATAAATATATATATTGTAGTTACAATATGTATGTACTGGCCCAACAATAGATATACGAAGAACTCGAACGAAATAAATATATACATTTGACGGGTATGGGCTATATAGAAATATTTATAACCTTTCTTTAGCCCTCAATATCGAGGAACTTAATATACAGGTTATAAGGGGCAATTTGGCAAAAACTATAACAGTGAATTCAGACCATTATTCTGAATATAAAAAATCTGAAAATCCAATAGATATACTTTTCAATATTTTAAATTTCAATATTTTTTTCTGATTTTTTTTTCATTTAAAATTATGTAAACTACGACATTGTCATAATATAAAGAAATATTAATATTTTAGAATGAAATACTATGAAATACCGAAACAAACAATAATGCAATAATTTTACTAAAATCCTACCGCGAAACGCGGAATCAGCCAAGGTCAACGTCATAAGCGTACGAAAACTACCTACGACGAAGCGCTATTGAGCCCGCATTGTAGTAAAATTTCGAATACATTGCGCGGCGTCAAAACTAAGAATCGTTAATTATATGGCTGGTTGTGGTGCATTCCCGGTGAGAAAATAATCTGCCATCTGATTCAGACCATTCATCTGAATCAGCTGTTTTCGTTTTGGCCAACCTGTCCCCTTCCACCCTGTATAAATATCAGGGCGATACTGATCTTACATCTGTCCAAGAGACAGCTTGACTTATTACATTTTAAAAGACGAGATGTTTACTGTTACTTAATAAATTAATTATTTAATAAAATAAATTAAGTATAAGTTTTATCTAAACGGAAACGTCGAAATCGCAAGATATGATTTGTTACTAATGAATGCAAATGTGTTGAAAGATTAAAAGAAAATGTTAAAAGTTAACACAGAAAAGCAAATTAAAAAGCGTAAATAAAAATAAAATTAAAACAAACCTTAGCATTGCAACAATACTGCGCATTTCTGTAACGATACTGCGGCGACATCTGTGCGGGAAACAGAAAATTTCGCAAAAAAAAAAGAAACAAAAGCAAAATGACGTACTGTTATTTTACATAGCGAAGAAATACATCAATTAATTTATATCACGTTTATACTTTCTAAATTACCTAACAGGTATTAGTCAATATTATTTTTCTTTATTTGAAATCTGATAAGTCACTGCATGAAATGTGGTAGCGAACTATCTCAAACGTAAATAATTAAAAATTTTGCCACAGAAATAAGAAAGCAACTTCAATTGTGACAAAACCAGTTATTTAGACCTTTAAATTAAACTACTGAACAGATTTTTGTAAAATTTATCAATATTTACAAATTTACAATCTGTAAGTATTTCCTTTCAGATAAAAAAAAGATTTTTTTCAAATCGGCTTACAACTGACGGAGTTATGAGGTAGCAATCATAAAAAAAATATACAACCGAATTGAGAACCTCCTCTTTTGGAAGTCGGTTTAAAATACACTGGACTTTACAGAGTAAATTATTATCTCCATCTCACTCGTGTTTCTGCCAACGTATATATATATATATATATATGTTTGTAAGGCTGTTTCAATTTGAATAATGAAATGTAACAGTGAAATTAATAAATATAGGGGCATTAATCCATAAAGGATTGTTGGGGATCTAACATGCCCTCTTATCAGGTTGACCTCCATGTGGATTATCTTGGAAACTATCGTGGTTAATTCTTGAATTCATCACGATTGGCCAACTGACCTGCTTTCATCTTCATCTATCATCTCTTACTGGTGCTCTTCGTCAGACTCCTGTGACATTTTTAGTACTGTACATGCCCGTAGGGGACGGTTTCTTTTATTGGATAATAATGGGATTATAGCGCAACCTACGCTAACAGTAAACAATAGCGGGGCACCAGTGAAGGATGATAGGTGAGGATGAAGCAAGTCAGTTAGCCCATCATGATGAATTCAACAATAAATCAATCGTGACGGTTTCCAGGAGGATCTGGATAGAGGTCGACCTAACAGGACACATAACCAACAATAGGGCCTAATTATTAACAGCCCCCCCCCCTCCCGTAGACGACGGCTACTATTTATAGTAAGGTGGACTGTAATTTCAAGTTATATAAAAAAAAAATTACAGTTTCTTTTGACACAAAACCAAAATATAAAAACAAAAATTAATTGATGTATTCTTACACTAATTTGTTACATGAAATAAATGTCCTATTACCATGATTAGTGACATTAAAAATTTAAACCTTCACACCACTTACGCGTACAGCAACATTTAAAACTGAACACAACCGTTTAATTCACAAAAGAATCTGACACATTTTGTACGTAGAAAAATTATAAGTCTCTATACAAGTTAGTGAACAAATATCAGAATACTTTTTTTTTTAAATTTATTTCAAGTAAATAGTTACACAGACAATAAATATTCTTAGTGCCAACTGCTTTACACTTTGTCTGCAGTTAAAATGCTTAATTAAATAATTTTTTTATGCAACTTAGAATGGCAAACAAGCTGACGGCCCACTGATAGAAAGTGGTAACCGTCACCTATAAACATGAGAAGTACCATGGACATAACAGAGTATACTGTTTTGCCCATGATACCCCCCATGCGTTGCCATTCCTGAGGACTCAAGTGTTATAGGCGTGTATATATATACATATATTAGGTATTTAGAGCAAGACGGAAGCTGTCATTTGAACCTAAAATACCTTTTGTTCGTTGTTGATCGACGGCACGTTGTCGTAGTGTCGTTCCGTCGGCGCTTCTTTGAGGAACTGGTCGAGATAACTCATCTGCGACGACGGCCGATCCAAGACTGAAATTAGATATGTGATTTTAAAGATAACCATTTGAAATTTGATTTTAAACTAAAATATTTTTAGCATTCCGTACGAAATTGTGGACGTTATATACTACCAAATTACTTCACAAAATTACAAATATAAATACATTAGAAAAAAAGACAAAATTTGATTCGGATGTTACGTAAATACTAACGGAATAAAAAAAACTCATTTCCTTTATTATATTTGGTATACTTATCTATATTTTTAATACAGTATAGAAATAATGAATAAATTACGAATTAATTACAAGTACACGTACGGAACACTAACATGAAAAAATAAATATAATTCATAACAGGTATAAATACAACAGTTCAGAGCATTCAACACTGAACAATTTACAAACGACTGCCCAAATTTTTCATACACGAGAGACCGATCGCAACAAATTTGTCATAAGTGACTCTAAATACAGGCCAATCGCAACAAATTTGTCATAAATGACTGAGAATAGAGGCCAATCGCAACAAATTTGTTGTAAGTGACTGAGAATAGAGGCCAATCGCAACAAATTTGTCATGACTGAAAATAGAGGCCAATCGCAACAAATTTGTCATAAATGACTGAGAATAGAGACCAATCGCAACAAATTTGTTATAAACGTCTGAGAATAGAGGATTGGTCTCTACAACAACAAATTTGTCATAAATGACTGAGAATAGAGGCCAAATGCAACAAATTTTTCATATGCGACTCTGTTTAAAGACCAATCACAATTTTGATAAACGTTACAGTGTTGAATGCATCTAAGTAAAACGGGGTGACAACCCATTACCCAACCTCAACCGAAACCACATCACAAAACAATGTACAAAAGGTGGGTACAATTAATATAAGAACATAATAGACAGGTGCAAAAGGGCTACAATTATATATTGAATAATTGAAGAAAATTCAATAATATACATATAGACGCATATAAAAAAAAATACTTATTCTCTCTCAACAAAATCACCCACCCTTTTAAGTGAAAGTGCAACATGAAAGTGTCCCTGTCAGGGTAGACAAAAAATTTAATATACACTTTCCTATCAATTAATGTCGAAGCCATAATCATTTAATCACAAATTATAAAACACTCATAATAGTCTATTTTATATCTTAGCCTTATGGTTCCAGAATGGAATAGGCAACCCCTTTCTTTCCCGTAGGTGTCTTAAGAGGCGACTAAGGGAAATTAAATGTCGAGGGATGGACAGCAGCGTCGCCTCTTAAATTGTAACCAAAGCCAAACTACGGTTGCCAACCCGCCAACTACTGATAAACCCGCCCAAGAGGGAAGTCTATATTCTGTTGTGGACAGTTAACGGCTAATATCACAGTGATAATAAATAGTCTATTGAGTACAATGGTTTTAGAATAAAAAAAAAATATTAAACATATATAAACAGTTAAATTTTGATACTATTTATTAACATAGTTTAAAGATTACAATAAAATATTTAAATTGAATCGATTGTCAATCTTGAGATTTGTCTATTTCACTTTTGCAACTGTCTATTGCACAAAGCAATATTTTAGTCAAGAAAATCTGGGACTTACATGCAATGGACGCTTACAAGTGACTATACTAACTAAGCCCTTATTTCACGAGCCAACATTATCACAACATACTTTATAAACCTATAACTACTGTTTTCTTACTCTTGCTGGCAGCTAATAGAAAAATACCCTTTTTTTTATTAAAAATAATGTTGCATTTCTTAAATAGAACACAGTAGAATCTCAATTATCCGAACATCGATTATCCGAATATTCGATTATCCGGACTTATTTGTCACGTCTCTAATTAGCAATTTAGAAATAGCATTATGTATTAAGTAATGGAATATCTTTATATCTCATAATTTTTATCTAAATGACATCATGTAAAACACTTTACATAAAAAAAAAAAATATAAAAAAAAATATTGTTTTGACTCTGAAATCGATTATCCGGATTTTCGATTAAACGGAATATCCCTAGTTTTATTTAATTTGGATAATCAAAATTCTACTAAGTATATTGTTTTATTAATTATGAATTCTCACAATTAACAATAAATTCATAGCTAATAAAACTTATTTAACAACAAAATCATCGCAATCATAACTGGCCATATAAAAAAAAGTAAAAGGAAGCGTAGAATAAAGGGGGAAAAAAAACAAAACGCTGCGTTAATGTTGCGACTCGCTGTACTAGTATTACAGTACAATGGTACGTAGGGTTTACAATAAAACTGATTAGTCAACCTATGTGCGTATACAAACAAGTGTTAAAGAAAACCATGTCGCTCAGCGCATAATGTGGCGTTATGAATGGACATTTCCATACTTTTTTTTTGTCTACTATTTATTTGTTCCATTTATTTTTTCTTTTTCACTGTCACATCCATACCACCCCAAACAAGCTCAAGCAGAAGCGAAGCGATTTACAGAAAAAAAAGAAACGCTCTTGAAAATATTAAATCGCCAAATTGCCAGCGACCATCACTGTTTTGGAGTATGTTTTAACATTGATTAGTTACAATTTATAATAACAATAAAAAAAAAAACACTGTTGGGAACAGATATCTTCTCGTAAAAGAAAGATATTAGAAAAAAGTTATACTATCTTAAGTAATAAATTAAGAAAATATATCAAACCATAAAAACAATGGAAAACCACCTAAAATATTCTATTTTGTTAGTAAAACATTATAAAAATACAATATCTCGTTACATATAGATGTTCCATACCCGCAAAACAGTGATACCGCAATGTCATAAAAAGTCCAATTTTTCCTTGACACTTGCTCGTATTTACAATAAAATTTCAATTATCAACGGAAAATGTGTTATACTAAGAACGCAGCACATAAATGGGTAATTAAATTCATGAAAACTTACACCTCTTTGATATTGTAACATTGTCTTCTGTAATCTGTAATATTTCATAATTATGGAACAATTTTCTATGAAGTGAATGTTACTTACAAGTATTATTAGATGCCTCTGACCATCTTGGGAGCTAAGTCTCACAATCAGAGTTCCCAATATAGGTTTAACACAAATTTATTTTACTAGCTGTTATTACATTAGCTATAAATCCATGTATAATTATGTATATTGAACACATTAAAAGATTGAATATACAATGGCGGACTTATCCCATAGAGGGATCTGTTACAGTCAACCTGTGAAAAGAAAACGATAAAATGTTCAAGGGTAAAAACCGTACACGTTTTATTATTATGTATGTAAATAATACAAATCTTCACAACTATTACGAAGTCGTCATTACGTTATATATATTGCATGATATATGCTTATACCATAAAAACAGATCTTTGGCAGTCAGTTAATACTTCAAATTAATTTTTTGAAATAAAGTATAGTTGTCTTATTTATTTATTTAAACCAATCATTCATTGGGCGACAAGCCGAGAAATAAATTGTTCTATTTTTTCTTAATTTTATCTATACAAAAGACAATGTTACAAGGACAAACAAAACGCACAATCACATACGATAACTACTAAGTCTATTTGAAGTAAAAGACACGAACCATTCTCTTCTTTGCCGCTCCAATATGTCGACGATTTGGTGGATCCTTGCCTCGCTGCTTGCGCATAACTTACTACTTTAATGCTCAAAATTGTTTGAATATCCGATATGTAACATTTATTATCCAATATGTAATATCTAAATAATGCCTAATGTTAATAATATAAAAAAGACTTGAACACTTTGAATTAGAACTCTGTATATCTTCTATTATAATTAAAAATATAAGGAATCCCACTTGATACTAGACCTCTTCCCCACTACTCAATAAATCAAAAAAATTTGCAAAAAATATTTGGACGAATAAAAATAAAATATAAAAAACTAATACAATATAAAAAAATAATAATTTTGAATACAAAAACAAAAGATTTAAAAAAATTAAAAAAATACATCACAACCAGAACTCTATTTTTACTAAATATATAAAGAATTCCAGACCAGTTCGCTTCGATATTCACATTAAAAACAATATTTAGTTCAATATATTATATGATGTGTTGGAAAGGGTAAAAACTAAAAATAAATATACCCACATAAATTAACAGAATTTAATAACTTATGTACAAATGTACTGTACAAAAAGTTGACAAAGTTACAACAGTGAAATGTATAACTTACAGATAAAACATAAATGCAGAGTAAATGTGCCGGAAATAGCTTAAAAATAAGTAAATAAAATCAGATTTTAAAATCCTAGATTATGGAAAAATATAGGGTCCGGTGTTCAGATTGAGAATAAATTAATTTCAAAATAGTTGTTTTTTATATCAATATAAATAACAAGTATTTTTTATATATATATTTTTAACTCCTAGTATTTAAATTATTTCAAATCAAAAACACCGGATCAAAAGTAACTTTAAAACAAAATAAAATATAAACTAATAAATAAAACATTAGAAGGAAACACTGAGATTCTAAACCCGCTCTAAAAAACAAAAATAAAAAAAAACTTAAAATCTATTAAAATAAATACATAAAATTATTTATTCCTGCATTGTGTTTTAAATAATCTTTTAATACATTTTATTTATTATTCATTACTTTTGTGTGATCTTTTATTACCAGTTAAAAGATAAAAATGAAATTACAAATAATTATAATAAATAAATTTGTAACAGATATTATATTTCATTAACTGATCATTGTGTTTAAAAATAATAAGATTTTTATTTAAATAAACCGATAAATTAATTATGTCTAAAATTGTTTAGTATTTTATTTAATAATTCAATACATAAGAGCATATAATATTGCTGTATCTTGTCATTCAACACACAAAAATTATGAATTGATAATTCGTAAACATTAATAAATTCTAATGACTAGTACGAATGGTCGAGTATTATTGATTGTTCTTTTTTCTTTTTTTTTTTTTAATTAAAAATCTTTGGTAAAACTTTAGACTAGACTGACACATGGAGACTAGAAAATATTTAAACACATTTGGTGATTATCGTCGGGTGCTGTCAAAGTTATGACATCATATGAACATTACATTTTTCATAAAAAAAAAGGTAATATTTAAATCTGTATAAACGAGATTACACTATATTCGAATCTTTATTACATATACATTGTAATACGTACTCTAATAATTGAGACTAAATCCTCCCATATAAGACTTAATAACCGCATTGTTTATATATGTATATTTTATAAGATATTTACAATAAAACAGCGGTGGTGTATTTTTATACTACTTTGGTGGCAAACACGTTTACGGCACGTCTGATGTTAAACGGGGTTACCGTAGCCTATAGACGTCTGTAACACCAATAGTCTCTAGGGAAAACCTCGGCAGAAAAATCATTCCACGACCAAAACTGTGGGAGGAAACTCTTCTAAAACCGCACTATGTATGACCATTCTGGTTCTAAGATGTAAGAATGGATTCCCTGCCGATGGCGAGCGGTACAATGGTATAAAACGTAGTTAGTACCGTTGGTACATTATTTTCCTATATTTATTATAAATTTACGTTACTAAATTTATATTACGTACCAGAGAAAACTACAATCAATCGTTTATTTGATGGTACACAAGAATAGCTACACCCCATAAGCATGACGTTACACCAATGAACAGCGGTATGTACGGTCTCAACCAAGTTCGGACTGTCATACGAATATTAAAAACACAACACAGGAAGATAGTAAAAAAAAATAGCACAAGAACATAAATAAACCGCGTACCAGGCCGCGTTAAATAAATGCCACAGATAATACATGATCGTTGTACCACAGGTATTCAAAATATTGAACGATTTTAACAAAACCAATGCAACATATTTTTTTTTTTTGTATAATTTCAAAACAGCCAACAATAACAATTTGGAATAACGCATCACAGTTCCAATTTCAAAATTTCACAGATTAAAAATATAAACACGTTTTAATGTCCATAGTGAATGCCGTGCATAGGCAAATAGATAAATTCATATAGATTTATTTTCGTTTTTTCCGACGTGGACGACGTTGGACTTTGTGGTGGGAGCCCAGAATCCATTCGACATTAGGGCGGTAAGATACGTGCGTATTGTGACGTCACATAGGGGTAACGTTTCGTTTTTGTTTTGGATGAGATTGTGCGGACACATGTAACGAAAACAAAAAGAAAAAGTGCACTAAATAAAAATATTATAAACTAAGATGTAATGTGCGCTGTAATAGTGTAGCAGTTAATATTATTAACACTATAAATTGTATATGTGTAATATTAAAAATAGTACTTATTTATAATATCAATAAGATTGTTTTTAAAATAAATATACTATTAAATTATATTTTAAGTGCATAAGATACAAATAACATAAATTAATGTTTAGAATTTCAAGTGCAATTGAAAAATCTGTAAAAAAAATGTGATGTCGTCTGTCTGTTTATACATAGAGCAATAATACACATAATATTTTTATTACTTAAATGAAATAATAATAAAGTAATGGAGGTATTTTAGAATATAAGCAAGCGAATGAATTTGAGCATTGCTTAGAGAAAATAAAAAAAAAAGTAATTATAATCATAAAATATCTATTTATGTCCCGTTATAGTGAATTTTGTAATACTTGGAACTTCATATGTGGAATGCAATATAACTCAATTGTAAAAATTTTTAACCACTTTTCAAACATAATTAAACCAGATATTTGTCAATTGATAGTAATTCATTTATGAGAACAGAAAAGGTACAGGAAAAATGGTATACAATGTAAATAGAATATAAATAAAATAAACATAATCAATAATAATATATAATGTATGTGTATGCGTGTGCGTGCGTGGTGGTGCGTGGTGGTGCGTGGTGGTGCGTGGTGGTGCGTGTGCGTGCGTGGTGGTGCGTGCGCGTGCGTACTCACAGGAGTTGCCGGGCTGGTGCGGCGCGTCGAGGCGCGCCTGCATGTCGCGGATGTGCTGCTCCTTGCGCTTCAGGTCGTGCGCCAGCGCCTCCAGCCGCTGCCGGCTCTCCAGCAGCTCTCTGTCGACACCGCCAACATTTTATAAATACAATACAATACATGGTTATTCAGGCAGACTTATTTACATGCATTTTAAATGACCAAATAAATGAAGGTAAAATTTATAGGTTTTATGTGTGAGCATTTTATTCCACCATATGCTTGAAAATGCTTTTCTAAATGCTTGATCGTTATAATTCTTATATCATCTCGAATGACGCTGCTCCAATATATATTTTTTTAAATAGTTCATTTATTAAAAGGGCAGTTTTTTTTTTCAATTTATAAAGTAAAATGTGCACGGTTATGATTATACTGTTGGATTCAGGATGTTATCTCTAGAAAAGAACATACATACATATCAGTCATGACTGTCTCCCATTGTTATGTAGACACAAATATGAAGTGTCAAATGCTTTGATAGGGGGGAAAGGATTGTTAGTAATACAGACTGGAAATCCTATTGCTAGCAATATACCCAACCTGGTCGACTTCCTAGCGGTTCCCCCTGGAAACTATCATGATTAATTCCTGATGAATTCATCATGATGGGCTAACTGGCCTGTTTTCCTCCTCATCAATCACCATTCACTGGTGCCCCGCCAGCGTATCCCGTTAGCGCAGGCGGGGTTACCATACCATTTTCACCCATCAAAAAATGTTATGATACACAAAGACCTCTTTCGCTTCCTTCACATTCATTAATCTAGGTAATAATTACCGGTACTTTTAATATGACTGTTGTTCTAAAACTCGTCTATTTAGATGAAATCCACTTAGGGCGGCTATTACCGACATCTCCATTCATTCATGTTGAATAAACCTCTTTCTGTATTTTTCTTTTATTTATTCCTTTAAATGGCCAAATAATTTCAATTTCCTTATGTATAAAATAATTTTATTTCTTGCTATCTTAAATCATATAGATAGAGCGTCGAGCCTCAAAACTGAACAGGATTCAGTGCTCAAGTAGAGAATCAGAATTTAACTAACTTTTTATATTACTTTTCTATACACTTATGCATAAAATGTATTTTGTCGTATACCAAGTAAAATGAGTGTTTACGCAAAAAGTGCAAAAATTTATAAGACAAAAAAGAAGTATAAAGGAAACACTTAAAACTATTTATCACGCAAAATTGTATGAAAAAGTTGAGCCGTTTCTCTATGCATTTGCATGGAGAGCGTGTATGCAGGAGTACAGGGAGTAGAGGGAGTACAGAATGTAAGGGCGGCACCTCTGGCTGGCCAGCAGCTCGGCGCGCGTGCGGCTGAGCTCCTCGCCGACGGCCTGCTTGGCCTGTATCTCGGAGTGCAGCGACGACTGCAGCGTGAGGATCTCCATCTTGTCGAGCTTCTGCGAGCGGCGGTTGCGCCAGCCGCCCGCGCCGCCCGCGCCGCCAGCGCCGCCGGCGCCCGCCGCGGCCGGCGGCGGCGACGGGGCGCCTGCCGCGCGGGGACCACTCGCTACGGACCAACGTTGTCCATCTTAATACAAGTTCTCGGGGGAAGGGATTGTTAGTAATTTGAAGATTACTCCCCATTACTACCAATATACGGCTATATACGGCGGTTCCCCTGGAAACTATCGTGACTCGTGTATCGTTGAATTCGTCACGATGGGCTAACTGACCTGCCTTTTCATCCTCACCTAATCACCATCACTGATATCACATCAGTGTATACTGATAGCGCAGACGGGGTTTCCATGCCATTTACACCCATTAAAAAAATAGAAGTTCAGTCACACGTACTACGACCCAAATGAGAGGTTTAGTGCGGAAATGAGTTTTACAATTTATGTTAAAGATTTTCGTGTATTCTCAAAGCTTTTTTTAATTTATTATTTAGCCTACTGTTTGTTGGTTTAAATATATCTTGTAAGCTATATTAAGACCGATTTCTCGATTTTACTGAAATTACATATTGCATACATTTCTATCCTTGTAACAATACTGTATAATCCGTATTAAGTAAAATTCTGTAACTATGAAAACAACAAAAAATACTCCTCAGGACTCCACTAGATGGAGTTATTATTTTAGTATATGTGTGTGCTACTACGCTATGATAAAATTTTCTAACATGTGTATGTAAGCTCAGGAATATATTGAACAAAAAAAAAAATCTTATTTGGTATATAGTAATCACTCTATTTCTATAAGCTGGCGACATTATTCGCTCACCTCGTTTCAAATAATCCAGCTCTTCCGTCATCTTAGTGGCGAGCGCCTGCAAATAGCCTCTTGCTTCCTTCTCATCCGCAACCCATCGTATTATGTCAGCAATCTGTAATATAGACACATTATTTATAATTTTACATACACTACTATCCCGCCCATATGGGTCCCCCCATAAGTCCCTCTAATTTTTTGTTCTTTCGAGTCGGATATGAGTTAGCTGTATTTATGTTATTTGCTGTAAATTTTCGTTTATACTATATATATAAAACTTGGTCCTTTGCTTTTTAGTCCTTCGAGCCGGATATTAACTAAGTATATTCTTAAATTAGCAACCCGCCATGGCAACGTGTGGCTGTTTTTATAAATAAAAGAGAGCCCATGTTACTCACTGATAATATAGCTTTTCATAAATTGAAATATTTTAAAAATCAGTTACAGTAAACAGATTTTTGTTTATCCATATCGAAACAAAAAAATAATATAAAACATACAAAAAATTAAACGTTTTCGTTTTGTAATATTAGTTCAGACAAAGGATTTATTCGACTACAATAGTACATTAAACACGTAATTGTACCTGAGTCTCCCAGTGCTGCATGGTGTCGCGTTTAGCTCTCAGTTCTTCTAATTCCATCTCCATTTGCCGCCGCTCCGACTGCCACCGCCGTCCATTCTCAGCCATCTGTACATCAAATAAAATGTTATTATGTATTTGTTCAATTAGACTCAAGATAAAAATCTTTAATCCATATGAATTTTAAAGCCTAGGATCATAATAAATGGTGATGTTAATTCCATTTTCATCCATTAAAAATACTATTATACTAGTAGTACTTTAATAGAAGGAGAGTCATATGAGGGCATACCGCATCAAGATCCTTGGCTAGTTTTCTGTTCTCGTTAATGAGCATCTGCTTATCCTCTGTGTCTGATAGCTGCTCAAGACGGCGGCTCTCAAGCTTCTCTTTGGATGTTTGTAGCTGTTAAACATATAATAATTCAATTAATGGTATGTACTTGTCTGTTATATTAACCAACTTTAAAAAGAAGGAGATTATCAATTTGGTTGTATTATTTTTTTGCTGAATATTAGGCTTGCCATAAGAAGCGGCTCTGGGACACCTGCATCCACTAGCTTCCTGCAATGGATTTGAAGTAATCGCTTCGTTAAGTAAGGGGTCGTGCTATGCTGCTTGTGTGTCTCGGTTAAAAGGGTGAGTTATGGCAATGAAATTATAGGGTACAGAGACATAACAACTTAGTCCTGGGGAATAGCAATGCATGGGGAGTATCATGAGTGGCACACTATACTTTGTTATGTCCATGGTTCATGTCTATAGGTGATGGTTATGCTTTGATTCAAAGTTGCATTTTTTTTATACAACTTAGAATGGCAAACAAGCTAACGTCGCACCTGATGGAAAGTGGTAACCGACGCCTATCGACATGAGCAGTACCATGTACATAACAGAGTATATATATTGTTTCGCCCATGATACCCCCCCCCCCCCCCCATGCTGGTGTTAATATTCTGTACCCTGTAAATTCACTGCCATATCCCACCCTTCAAACCGAAACACGGTCATACAACACAACTGCTTCACATTGGACATAACAGAGTATACTGTTTCGCTCATGATACCCCCCATGCGTTGCCATTCCTGAGGACTAAGGTGTTATTCTGTACCCAGTAAATTCACGCCATATCCCACCCTTCAAACCGAAACACAGCCATGCAAACACAACTGCTTCACGATTGAAACACGAATGGGACAGAGGTACCTAAGCAATCGACTTTTGTACAAAGTCTCCCTCTGGTAAGAATAAATAAAGAAAAAAGAATAAAGAAAAAATAGAAAAACGATTACCACAGTATATACTATGATATACATGGTGAATGTTCATGTCTATAGCAAACACCATTGATAAGTATTTGTCATTATGAATTGAAAGTTTTCATGGTGTTCAGGCTAGTTTCCACATCTAGCATCAGTGAGGGATGACAAGTAAGGATGAAAAGGTAGCTCAGTTAGCACATTATGATGAATACCCTTAGGATACAGCACAATGGTTTCTATGGGGGACCGCATGGAGGTCGATTTAACAGGATATATTGCTAGTAACAATCCCTCCCCCCGGTGGTAGACGTAGGAAGCGAAGCTAGGGTCCGTACCTCCCTGCTGAGCACGTTCCGCAGCGCGTCGCCCTCGACGAGCTGGTCGCGCAGCGCCGCCAGCTCGGCGCCGTAGCGCGCCTGCTGCTGCGACAGCGACTCCGCGTACTGCATCTGCGGCCACACGGTACAATAGCAATCCTAACTAATATGAGCTGGGGGGAAAGGGATTGTTAGTAATGGACACTAAAAATCCCATTGCTAGCAATATACCTAACCAGATCGACCTCTACGCGGTTCCCCCTGGAAACTATCATGGTTAATTCCTGATGAATTCATCATGATGGGCTACCTAGCCTATTTTCATTCTCATAGATCACCCTTCACTGGTGCTCCGCCAGCGTATCCCGTTAGCGCAGGCGGGGTTACCAATCCATTTTCATTTAACAAAAAAAAAAACAATATAAACTAGCTTTTAATCGCTACTTTGTCCGCGTGACGGTGACATGTCCACTAACCTGGATAAAAAGTAGCCTACGTCATATTTATTTAGTAAAGATATGAAAATGAATTTGTTATTTTATGATACTAGTAAATAATTTTTGTAACGAACGTTGTATTAATTTTATATTATTTTTTTCTTTTTAACGCGGCACATTGCGTACTCCTTGTTGTGACAGAATATGTATATTACAAATTTACCAGAGGAAAACTTCATACACAAGTCGTTTGCTTGGCCATCTCTGTTCCATTCATACTTCTACCGTGAAGCAGTTGTGTTTGCATGGCCGTGTTTCAGTTTGAAAGGTGGGATATGGCAGTGAATTTACAGGGTACAGAATATTAACACCAGCATGGGGGGGGGGGGGGTATCATGGGCGAAACAGTATATATACTCTGTTATGTCCACGGCACTGCTCATGTGTATAGGCGACGATTGCCACTTTCCGTCAGGTGGGCCGTCAGCTTGTTTGTCGTTCTAAGTTGTTTAAAAGAAATCACCGTCGGGTGCGTCAGCTCAGTGTGGCAGGCGCTAGAGTGCGGGAGAGTAGGATGTATGCGAGCGGTACCTCGAGCGCCTCGACCTCGTGCTGCAGGCGCGCCACCTCGGCCGCGGCGCCGGCCGTCACTCCCGCCGCGGCCGTCACTCCCGCCGCACTAGCCGCGCCGCCCGCCTCCGCCCGCGCGCCGCGCAGCGTCTCCTCGCGCAGCTTGCGCTCCTGCGACAAACACCGCGCAAACATTCAATAAAATTCATAGAAATCATAACGCTACAGTAATTGATTCAACCAATTTTGATGTAAGTAAATAAAACATATTTTTATTTATGTAAATTTAGGAGTATTTAATTTTAAAGTTGTTTCCATTTTATAAAGATCTTAATAACCAATTTGAAGTTGCAATTTAATATAAACATTAAATGCCTTACGCTTTCAATAATTTAGCAATTGAATAATAAAATAAATAATAGTAGTAAATAATAGTATCAGTTATTCAATAAAGAATCATTCCTATTCATGCACTCTTACGAAAAACCCAAAAGAACATCAACGACAGACATGTTGTTTACTTCAATGTGACGTCATCATACTTTCCAGATCGTTTTCAATCACGTGGTAATAAATAAAAAAAATGTGATAATTTTTTAAGGGTTCCTATGTATAATTAACAATATATTTTCAATCAAATTAACACACACCGCTTTTAAAACCCCTAGACTATGTTAATAGCTTTAAATAAGGCATTATTTTTTACATAGCCAAATAGACTATTGAAAACAAGCTGACGGAAACTGCGCACCGAAACCATAACATATACCCCCTTATAGAGGAAGTCAATGTTCTGCAATGGACAGTGAATAGCTAATATGATAAGGATATAGGATAAAAAATGCTATTTACCTTCGTAGCTTCAGCGATAGCGGTGTCGAGCCTCGCCTCGAGCTCGCGTCGTCCCTTCTCAGCGCGCCGGATGTCCTGGCGCAGTGCATCGATCTTCTGCATGGCCACTTCTAGTTCTTCCTCTTTGTCGCGGACCTGTATTGGAAAATGCACTTTCCATGTCATTTACTTAGACTGTATAAATATTGAGAACTTAAAAGCACCAAAAGACCGGCTACTTAAATACACTTTGCTTCAAAACATATACATAAACTCTCTCGTATCAAGCTGCCCAATTATGGAACAATCTCCCTTCCCACATACAAGAGAGCCCTTCAATTACCTCTTTCAAGAAAAAGTTGAAGTTACATTTTCTTTCGTTTTTCTTTTGTTTTACAATTGAACTGTCAAACCTTAAAATCATTTAACTAAATTTCTATTGTTGGTAGTATATTAATTTATTTTAACATCTATTGTATAAGTAGGTAGGTATTATATTTATTTATAGTACATGTATTTATGTAATATTTTATTATGTATCTTAATATTTTATTTAACTGTATATTTGTTTATGTACACTAAATATTAAAAGTTGTAGCACTTCAGCTGCCCGCTAACAACATGTTTTCTAACTGCATTGGGTTGACTGGAAGAGATCTCTGTCAGAGATAAGTCCACCCTTGCTCACAATATTTATAAATGCATTAACAATGTAATTTACAAGTGCTATAAAGAATATAATAAATAAACATTACGATTTGACGATGTGGATAATTGCTGTAAGTATAAAAAAAATCTGTACAGAGTAATCTACTTTACAGAAACATCTAGATACCAGTAATTGAGGGGAAAGGATTGTTAGTAATAGAGTGTAACAACCATTGCTAGCAATATACCCTATCAGGTCGACTTACACGTGTTTCCCCATAGAAACCGTACTGGTTAATCCTTGAATTCATCACAATTGCTAACTGACCCATTTTCAACCTCAACTAATCACTCATAATGCCCCGCCAGCCGTATACCGATAGCACAGTCGGAGCTACCATTTAGTTTTAACCCTAAAGAGTCTTTATTACCACAGTATTACGGTACACTGGTATACATACAATCTCTTATTGTAGCAGACGTCCATAGGCTACTGTGACCGTTTACCATCATACGGACCAAATGTGTATATATAAAAAAAAAATAAAAAAAAAATCCCACACTTACTTGCTGCGACAACTTCTGCTTCTGCCGCCTCAGTTCTGACAGCTTGTCGGACACCTCGTTGTACTCGGTCATGGCCAGCTTACGTTGCGACAGCGCATCCTTCAGTTCTTTATCCTGGTTAGAACATACATTCCATGAATCTTTCATAAATGAGAATAGGCATAATTAATGACACACAAGGCCGGCAACGCACAAGTAACTCCTCTCTTATATTATTCTAGAAAAAGTAGTGCCTAATTCAAATAAAAAATACTTTCTTATAAATGAAGAATTTAGTGCAAAAGAGAAAGACAAAACAGTCCAATAGCTAAAATAGGTTTATTTCTTTCAGACCCAAGATTTTTTCTTTCAGATTAAATATATTTTCGTGTTTTGGAGCCAAGCCATCTTGCCGGCGCGCACAACACTACTGCACCACTTAACCGCTAAAATGATTTCTTATTGGCTGGTTTAGAATCTCACTATCATGTTATTTCAGCTTCGTGCATAAAAATGAATTGCGCGCGATTTTAGATTTTTTTTATTTTTTTAAGTTCGTTCAGGTCTGAAAGGGTTATGAGAAGTTTGACATTTCTATGAATTGTTGTATCAGCCTTGAAATGTCCACAGCTGAACATAACCCCCCCCCCCCCCCCCCCCCCCCCCAGGAGAGTTTGTCACTAGTTGCCACGCTTGACAAGGAATGTTTGCAACAGCAGTTTGGCTTTTGGTGATATTTTAAAAGATGCTGCTGTCCAGCCCTCTACCATAATCTCCCTTAGTCGCCCCTTACGGCACCCACGAGAAAGGAAAGGCTGGTCTATTCTATATTAGCACCTAGACGGCTTTTATAAATTGGGTAGGAGTAAAATATAACTCCACGCACCTGCAGCGTCAATTTCTCCAGCGTATCCATTTTGTCCTTCACCAATTCCTCTTTCTCCGCGGTGAGATTGTTGATCAACGTTTCCATCTCCCGTAACCGCGCCGCCGTCTCCTGCGGTACGCCAGTTATTGCTTGCACGTCCTGGGTGAGTGAGAAAGAGAATTTAGAATCATTCTTTACCTCTCTGTTTACATGTAGATTTTAGATGAAGATTTTGGGTGTACATTCGAAAAAAAATAACTACAGACAAATCAGAATTTCTTCCACGAAGTGACCTATAAATCTATATTTTACAATAATAATTGTTGTAGCTAATTATGGTATATTGTTCATAAAGATAAAGATATTTCTTTATTTATCTTGTTAAAATTTATATCATTATATTTAATAATTAAATATTAACATACAGTTCACACACCAATCCATTCTAATATACCACACACAAACACACAAACACACAACACGCCGTCAACTATCGTTTTATAATATAAGTATTAGTAAAAAGGGATTGTTACTTCAGTTCGCAATAAAACAATGTAGTAAGAAGACGACAATAGTATAGAAACCAAAAATAGAATTGATAAAAATCTGTTTTTCGACTTCAATTGTGACCAAACAAGTTATTTTGATTGAAAAACTTGACTACTGTAACGATTTTGATAAAATTTCCATTGGGACAAATCTATAAGTATAACCTTTTAGATAAAAAAAAGACTTACAAATCAGATAAGAAATGACGGAGTTATGAGGAAACTAATTAAAAAAACAGAATCGAATTGAGAACACTTCTCTATGGTTGCCTGGGAGAGAATGCTTTTAGAATTAAGTCTGAAATGTACACATATATGTACTAATTAATAAATAAAAAATAAACCTCTTTTTTAAGTCGGTTGAAAATTAATAATTCTTTTTTATTTTTTTTTATTTTATTGAAACCGCTTAGGTTTCAATACAATAAAAAAAGATTTTTTCAATTCAGTTGACAACTGACGGAGTTATGAGATAATAACAAGATTTTTTTTAATTTTTTGTACATATCTCTTTTTTTTCTTTTTTCATTGTGCATTTGTGTCTGTTGCTGTTTGTATGCTGTAAGTAATGCAAATAAATTATCTATCCATCTATCTAAATACAACCGAACTGAGAACCTCGTTCTTTCTGAAGTCAATTAAAAAATTTACACCACACCACCTTTTATGAAATCGGTCTAGTACCTGTGCCGTGATGCCGCTGTTCAGTTGCTCGTAACACCTGATCTGCGCCTCCAGGTCCGCGTTCCTCTTGGTCACCGTCGCTAGTTCCTCCTTCAGTTGGATCACATCATCTGTTCAATAAAGATTCCACACTCAACACCTATAGTCCAATAGATCTATTAAACTGTAATATCCTTACCTACAGGGAATATCTTAGAGAAGTTACCTACACCTAATTATGTATTTGTAGTTACATAATTCCCTTATCTCTGCCATATTGTCTTACTTTAATTATAGAGGGGTATCGTTTTTAATTTGCATGTATCACAATCGATTTAGTAATTATTCACTGTATATCTTGGAGATGGATCTCTGGTCACTCAAATATTCATGGAAATGAAATAGCTAATCAATTAGCAAAGGAAGAGGCAAAGAATGCCCAAACAGGGCCAGAAACTTATAGCGACATACTTCGAAGCCTAAAGTTCAGACATCCAAACTTAAAAGCTTAGAAGCAGCAAACAATATCTGGCTCCTGTTGCCAGGTTTAAATCACTCAAAAGTTCTGGGTTTTCAGCAAATTTCTCTAAGAAATTAGTTCTTTTGAGTAACAATAATATGTGTATTAACAAGGGCTTTCATGGACACTGCAAACTAAACAAGTATTAGAGCCCAGTTGAGGCTTATGTCAAAAAAGTTTTCGCAGATTTTGTCACAACGAGAAAAATACGCCGCAGCATTTAATATGTAGCTGTAGCCCACTCATGCATAAACAATATATATCCTTTAGAAACCATACTTTATATCCTGAGGAAATAAAAAAAATCTTATAGCCCAACATCATGGAAGGTCGCAGTGTCACAAAAACATTGTAATAAATAAATATCCATTGCGTTACTTACCACTAGAGGGCTCCCCGCCGGCCCGCAACTCGGCGATAGTCTGAGCGAGCAGCGCGTTCTCACGCTCGAGCGCTTTAAGCGCTGCCCGATCACCAGCATTGCTCGGCACCTAAAAATATTAATATTTCAATTCATTACACATTTTGTTTTTTTATTTCGATTGTATTTCATATACATTTCATATTATTGGAGCGATGTAGCGTAGTGTGGTGCGGTGTAGTATAGTGTGGTGCGGTGTAGCGTAGTGTGGTGCGGTGTGACGTAGTGTGGTGCAATGTAGCATAGCGTAGTGTAGTGTAGTGTAGTGTAGTGCAGCGACCTGGCGTGGCGCGTTCTTGGCGGGGCTGAGCGGCTGCGCGGGCGCGCCGCGGTCGCAGAGGCGCGAGCCGGCCGTGAAGGTGAAGCGTAGTGTGGTGCAGTGTAGCATAGTGTAGTGTAGTGTAGTGTAGTGTAGTGCAGCGACCTGGCGCGGCGCATTCTTGGCGGGGCTGAGCGGCTGCGCGGGCGCGCCGCGGTCGCAGAGGCGCGAGCCGGCCGTGAAGGTGAAGCGTAGTGTGGTGCAGTGTAGCATAGTGTAGTGTAGTGTAGTGTAGTGCAGCGACCTGGCGTGGCGCGTTCTTGGCGGGGCTGAGCGGCTGCGCGGGCGCGCCGCGGTCGCAGAGGCGCGAGCCGGCCGTGAAGGTGAAGCGTAGTGTGGTGCAGTGTAGCATAGTGTAGTGTAGTGTAGTGTAGTGCAGCGACCTGGCGTGGCGCGTTCTTGGCGGGGCTGAGCGGCTGCGCGGGCGCGCCGCGGTCGCAGAGGCGCGAGCCGGCCGTGAAGGTGAAGCGTAGTGTGGTGCAGTGTAGCATAGTGTAGTGTAGTGTAGTGTAGTGCAGCGACCTGGCGTGGCGCGTTCTTGGCGGGGCTGAGCGGCTGCGCGGGCGCGCCGCGGTCGCAGAGGCGCGAGCCGGCCGTGAAGGTGAAGCGTAGTGTGGTGCAGTGTAGCATAGTGTAGTGTAGTGTAGTGTAGTGCAGCGACCTGGCGTGGCGCGTTCTTGGCGGGGCTGAGCGGCTGCGCGGGCGCGCCGCGGTCGCAGAGGCGCGAGCCGGCCGTGAAGGTGAAGCGTAGTGTGGTGCAGTGTAGCATAGTGTAGTGTAGTGTAGTGTAGTGCAGCGACCTGGCGTGGCGCGTTCTTGGCGGGGCTGAGCGGCTGCGCGGGCGCGCCGCGGTCGCAGAGGCGCGAGCCGGCCGTGAAGGTGAAGCGTAGTGTGGTGCAGTGTAGCATAGTGTAGTGTAGTGTAGTGTAGTGCAGCGACCTGGCGTGGCGCGTTCTTGGCGGGGCTGAGCGGCTGCGCGGGCGCGCCGCGGTCGCAGAGGCGCGAGCCGGCCGTGAAGGTGAAGCGTAGTGTGGTGCAGTGTAGCATAGTGTAGTGTAGTGTAGTGTAGTGCAGCGACCTGGCGTGGCGCGTTCTTGGCGGGGCTGAGCGGCTGCGCGGGCGCGCCGCGGTCGCAGAGGCGCGAGCCGGCCGTGAAGGTGAAGCGTAGTGTGGTGCAGTGTAGCATAGTGTAGTGTAGTGTAGTGTAGTGCAGCGACCTGGCGTGGCGCGTTCTTGGCGGGGCTGAGCGGCTGCGCGGGCGCGCCGCGGTCGCAGAGGCGCGAGCCGGCCGTGAAGGTGAAGCGTAGTGTGGTGCAGTGTAGCATAGTGTAGTGTAGTGTAGTGTAGTGCAGCGACCTGGCGTGGCGCGTTCTTGGCGGGGCTGAGCGGTTGCGCGGGCGCGCCGCGGTCGCAGAGGCGCGAGCCGGCCGTGAAGGTGAAGCGTAGTGTGGTGCAGTGTAGCATAGTGTAGTGTAGTGTAGTGTAGTGCAGCGACCTGGCGTGGCGCGTTCTTGGCGGGGCTGAGCGGTTGCGCGGGCGCGCCGCGGTCGCAGAGGCGCGAGCCGGCCGTGAAGGTGAAGCCCACGAAGGGCAGGTGCAGCCCCGAGAACGCCGCGCTCGCGCTCGGCGGCGGCACCGCGCCCGACACCCTGCAACACGACACACACCACCCACGTCAACAACAACAGACTTGAACTCTCCATTACTAACGTTCAAATAAATCTTTCACGCAGCTTACACCTGAGATTACATTATCATATGTTTGCTAAGAGAATGAATGGACAATATCATTATACTCGCTTGAGAGGAAAATTATTTCGAATATCGAAATTTTTGAAATTTTGAAACTCATTCGTTTTAATGTAAATTCCTTTTTAAAAAATGTTTCATATTCATGTAGGAACACGTCCACTAAGGTAAATCAGAATACTTGACTAAACGTGTTTTAGTTATTTTTGTCTTGCACTCTCAAAAAATAATTTGTAACCAAATCGTAGAACAACAAAATACCCTAGAAATAAAAAGCTTTTTATTCAATTGAATTTTAATTTAAGTATTTTTAAAGTCATTTTTATTACTCTACCACCCAAACCGAAAATTAACTTCAGAGAAGAAAAATGGGCAAGAAATATAACTACGATTATTTTTAATTAAAAATAAATTTTTACAAAATTATTAAGTTACTTATACAAACCACCAATAAGCAAAAAAATAATAAAAAAACTAAAAATTTTATTAGAGCAATGTAATAAAATAATTCATAATACAGGGAATATACAAATTATGGAGACAAACACCATAATCTATATAATGGCAATGCTAGAAGGATATCATAGGAATCATAACGTATTCTGTGATAGCTAAAATGCTGTTCACGCCTATAGGCGACGATTAGTATTTTCTAAAAGGTGAGCCATCAGCTTGATCGCCATTCAAGTAAACCACAATTACCTGATGTCTGTGTCATCAACGTCGAAATTGGATGTGTCCGTTGGACTCGACACGTCCGGTACAAACGGCGCTTGCATTTCGCGTAGATTATCCCAATCGAGACCCGCAAACCATGGATGGCTCTGTAAATAATTGTCTTTTATAAATTTTTCTTTATTTTTTTAAATTTAGAATTAAAATATAGATAAATTAGACTATAATAGAAGGAAATTTTATTTACGACGATCTTGTGCGTCATCTTCAGTCAACCGAGGGTTGATCGAGAGCGAACCGATAACCGGATTTATACACACATACCTATGTGGATACAGTAGAATTCATTCCTAATGATTTTTATCTAAATGATACCTGTTACATAATGTAATCGTCTATGATATCTATCGTATCGTATAGTAAATGTCGTAATACTGATGTCAGTCAGTCAGTCAGTCAATAAAGTATGTACAATACAAGACTGGTTCTCTTTTTCTATAAAATATATAACAATACATTCACAGAATAAACAAGGGACGAAGAAACAAAATACTCTAAATATTATTCCTTTATAATAACATACAGATATAGAGACTCACCTTAAAATCTTGTAAGCCATTCTTCCCTAATCGATTTTCAGATGAACAAATCAATCTTTGGATGAGATCTATTGCCTCTTCAGAGACCTGCAAAATAATAAAAACAATTCTCGTTATTAATCCACATACAGTAAGATATATATTGATATAGCTAGTGTAATATGACGATGTTTAGTGCGGCGACATGTGGATGTAGTGTAATAACATGAAATGTAGTGTAGTAAAGTGCAATAAAGTGTAATTTAATATGACGAGGAATGGCGTGTCGTAGCGTAGTATAAAAAAAAAAACTGTTTGATCACCGCGCGTGATTTATTATGTACCTACGGTGTGGCACAGATAGTGTGATGAGTTCATGTAGATATTGTGTCATGAAGTGTCATGCAATGATGTGAAATGCAGTATAGTGTAGTGTAGTGGTGTAGTGTAGTGGTGTAGTGTAGTGGTGTAGTGTAGTGGTATAGTGTTGTGTAGTGTAGTGTTGTGTTGTGGTAGTGTAGTGTAGTGTAGTGTAAATACACTATACTACACCTCAATAGGTGTGATTTAATGTGTTGAAAATTAGTGTTATGGTATTGTAGTGTGATGGATAATGTTACCTGCGCTGCGTGTTCGTCTGGCGGCGGACAGTGGAAGGAGCGTGCGTGGTTCATAATCTTGCCGTACGTCTCTACCAACGACTCCGCATAGAATGGCGTTTCGCCGAACAGCATCTCGTACATGCATACGCCTGGATATATATACATGTATTTATTTAAGTAATTTTTTCATAATATAGTAGTGTGTTAATAACAATATAGCTCTTATGAAATTTATAACATATTTTACTGGATAAATTATTGTAATAAGATGGTTTTTGTTTAAACCGAAGTTACTAAGTCAGAAAAGTTAGTCGACAATATATTTGAATTCTTTGAACAGTCATAGAATAAAAGAGAGGACTCACCGAGCGACCACCAGTCACACTCGGGTCCATATCGACCCTGGCCGTCCTCCATAGCGCGCAGGATTTCAGGCGAAATGTAGTCAGGGGTGCCAACCGCCACGTTACTTTGTACCTGATAATACATTAAAATACATACATTTTTTCTTTCTTTTTCTCTTTTCTTATTTTTGCACTCCATAATTACTTGTCTCGTTATTGTGTGTAAATTAATTGTGTATATATATATATATATATATATATATATATATATATATATATATATATATATATATATAATATTACAATATGGCTGATGCAATGCTACACAGTAAGCCAGTGTATCGGGGAGCTGGTCTGATTCCCAGACGTCTAATGTTCCTCCCAACACTCTATCCAAGTCTGTATGTGTTCATAAATTAAAACTAATATATAAGTAAATGTATGTTATATATTTTATATATTTATTTATGTAATATATATTATTATAAATATTTAGGTGTATGAGTATGTATGGTATTCATATGATTATTTGCATGTTTTTATTAACATGAACGTTTTTTTAAAAGATGTACTTTTTGCGCTAAATAGTATTTTTCTTTTCTTCTCTACCCAACGGTTGTCTAAAAGAGATTGCTTCGACAATAATACCGCCTTTTGTACTTCATTTGTGTAATATAAAAATATATTTATATTATTTTTAAATGGTACAATATAGAATAAATAAATAAAACAACCATTGTTAAATCTGTCAAGCTGCCCTAGACGAGATACGAATGAATCTAATATATCGATAGAATCATTTCTATTAGCGCTAACATAAACAAAAAAACAAGACAGCATCATCCTCATATTCTACTTCCACTGGCTAGCAATAACGATTCTACCTATAGACTCGTTTGTACTTTATCTAAGAGGGCTGTGTCCAAAACTTCATGTTTGATAAGGAACAAATGGTCAAAACGAAGCTATGATCATTTATTATAAAGTATAGCAATTTTATTTATTTCCTAGAGTGACAAAGCATAAATAGACTAGCTAGACTGTACACTAAGAATAAGAGACAAATAATTTAATTACCATTAGACAATTTAAAAAAAAAAATAAACTTACCTTTCCATCATCACCTAACCGCAAACATGATCCAAAATCAGCCAACCTAATGTGTCCGCTAGCGTCCAATAACACGTTATCTGGCTTGATATCTCTGCAAAACCATTTTATATGAAATAAATTATATATCTATCTACATTATAATTTGATTACAATTACATTGCATATATAACTAGCTTTTACCCGCGACTTCGTCCGCGTAACGAGATATATTCACTGACTGACGGGAGAAAAAGTAGCTTATAACTGTCTCCAGGGTCCCATCTATCTCTACCAAAATTCATCTTCATCGATTCAGCGGTTTAGACTTGATAGCGTAATAAAGAAACTCACTTTTGTATTTACAATATTAGTTAAAAATTACAATTACAATAAAATAACTCTAATATTACGTTACAATAACTTTAATATTAACCACCTGCCAATCATGGCAACTACTGGCAAAACTTCCCTTATGGGAAAGGCCTGCTGAACAAGCAGTGGACAGTTAGTTACCAGAGGGAGACTTTGAACAAAAGTCGTTTGCTTGGGTTCCTCTGTCCCATTCGTATTTCTACCGTGAATCAATTGTTTGCATGGATGTGTTTTGGTTTGAAGGGTGGAATATGGCAATGAATTTACAGGGTATAGAGGTATAACACTTGAGTCCTAAGGAATGGCAACGCATGGGGGATATCATGAACAAAACAGTATACTCTGTTATGTCCATAATACTTCTTATGTTTATAGGCGATGGTTACCACTTTCCATCAGGTGGGCCATCAGCTCGTTTGTCATTACAAGTTGCATAAAAAAAGTTAACTGCTGATATAATAAATATTACATTACAATTAAAGTAACATTACAATTATACTAATATTACATTACAATTACACGAATATTACATTACACACATCACATAACCTTCAATCTTTGACTCACCTGTGTACATATCTGAGCTCGTGCACACTCTGTATAGCGAGCACCATCTCCGCAATGTAGAACTTGGCCATATCCTCGGGCAGACGGTCCTCAAACTTGGACAATAGCGTCAGCAGGTCCCCACCGCAATAGTAATCCATTACCAGGTACTGGAAAACAATTTTTTTATGATATTTACAAATGTGAACAAGCTGAAGGTAGTAACCGTCGCCTATAAACATGAACAGCACTCTGAACATTCTGTGACCACGTGGTATTCCCTCATGTGTTACATAAACTCATGCTTTTTAGTTATCAGAGAACTTTTTACACCACAACGATGGAGCAAAAAGGAGCGTTATTAAATAATCCTTAAAATGTAAAAAAATGAAAAATTATTTTTGAAAATTGACACATAATTGCTTGATTTGATTGAACGCTTTAATAATGTACATTTTTTTATACATTAATCAAAAAGTAATGCTACTAATGTTATTAATTTACATGTAATATACGAAATGATTGTGCAATATGCTTGAATATCATTTTAATTAGGAAGACTTATGTATTTTTAACTACCTTGAACAAAAAACAACAATAAAATAAAAAAAAAAAAACCAAAAATGGTAAAATTTAAGCTAAATAAGCTTACATGGATGATATTTTCACCACATTTTGAAAACAAAGCATAACTTAATAACAACAAGACCTAGGACTATAAATTTTAGTATTTTTGTGAGATAATAAGTCTAACTACCCCCATAATCTGTTGGTCCACTACTTACGGGACACTTGTATACCAGTTTCTATATATTACAATATGTATATATTGGGCAAATAATGGAGATAAATTTCATTTATATAATATGTAATGACAAAATTAAGAACACTATATAAATAAATATAAATGTAGGACTGGTATGTGCGATATTGAATCGAGTGATGACCTTTTTTCGCCTTCAATGTTCAAAGGAAACTAATATATAGATATCAAAGCGATACCGATATTACCCATGCCGGTTACTTACCAAATTGTGTTCGTCTTGAAAGGCATAATGTAAGTTTGTGATCCATCTCCTATCGCCGAACACTAGCACATCTCGTTCCTCTTGGAAACACGCGGTTTCCGCCCTCTGTAACAGATGGGATGAACGATTTACTACTACAATCTTTACCCGTGACTACGTTCGCGTGACCGGCATATGTATATTCACTGGAATAAAAACAAGGCTATGTCCTTTTTGAAATATGAGAATCTTTTGGTATAAAGGTAAAAATTAGTTTATAATATGTAGATTTTGACCTACATTTTTACCTTTACACTACAGTTATTGAGATATTTCAAAACTTCGAAACAGGTGGAATTTGAACTTACACCTTCCATGCTATGATGCGATGCGATTACCACAGTTAGCGTTATCAATCAAATAACTAATTAATAAAAAAAAAAAAAAAAAAAAAAACTAAAAAATAAACACTTCAATTGTAATAAAACCAGTTATTTTGATCTAAACTACTGAAGCGATTTTGATAAAATCTTTACGGAACCAATCTGTAAGTCCTTTCAGATAAAAAAAAAAAATTTTCTGAATCGATTCAGAACTGACGGAGTTATCAGATAACAAATATAAAAAAACAAATACAACCATAACGAGAACCTACTTCTTTTTGAAGTTGGTTAAAAATTAACTCGTGTAAATAGATCACATAACACACGATCTGACCTTGAGCATTTCCCATTTGTTCAAAATCTTCATAGCGTACACCCTTTCGCCCGTCGTCGTCGATACTGTGCCGTCCGCCACCGGCATGTTGACACCGCCGTCTGTTCCCTGTACAGTTACAAAAAAAATATTATGTGTATACAAGGTGCACGAAATTGAACATTTCTTTAAAGAAAATTTTTTTTTTACAATCGAAAATACATAACATTTTTTGGAACACTGATTGTTCCTTACACTGTTGGATGCTGTGTAAAAAAAAAAAACATTTTTTTATGCAACAATGCTACTCGATATACAGGGTGCACGAAATTGAACATTTCTTTAAAGAAAATTTTTTTTTTACAATCGAAAATACATAACATTTTTTGGAACACTGATTGTTCCTTACACTGTTGGATGCTGTGTAAAAAAAAAAAAAACATTTTTTTATGCAACAATGCTACTCGATATACAGGATGGAAGGGGACAGATTGGCCAAAACTAAAACAGCTGATTCAGATGAATAGTCTGAATCAGATGGCAGATTATGTTCCCATCGGAAATGCACCACAACCATATAATTAACGATTTTTAGTTTTGACGCCGCGCAATGTATTTGAAATTTTACGATCCACACGACGCGTTAACCCTAAAACGTGTGCTTCTTCGTAAGTAGTTTTCGTATGCTTGGGGCGTTGACCTTACACAGCTGATTTCGCGGGTCGCGGTAAAATTTTAATATGTGTATTACATTGCTGTTTTTTGTTATTTCATAGTGAAAGATCACTAAAAAAATATTATTATTTCTTCATGTTATGACACATCATAGATTACATGACTTTATATGAAAAAAAGCAAAAAAAAAAATACAATAAAATATCCGGAAAGAATTTACACTTATTTTCAGTTCAGAATAATGGTCTGAATTCACTGTTTCAGTTTTTGCCAACCTGTCCCTTACGCCCTGTATAAAAATGTTTGTTTAAGTAATAGGAGAGTTCTTTAGGCTAGTACTACATTCTGCGTATTTTCAGTCGTGTGAATAAATAGCAACGCGACAATCAAAGTGAACCGTCAGCCAAGTGACACATCACGTACAATCGTGGTTGCCGATCTTCCGCCAGTGGAAGATCCACACCGTAATGTTCTGCGGCGTATGACCTAGAGTAGCGTAGTAGGGGGGAGAGGGATAGTTAGTAATGGGGTCTAATTGACCATTGCCAGTAATACATCCTATCAGGTCGACCTCCAAGTAGTTTCACCTGGAAACCATCGTGGTTAATTCTAGTGGAATTCGTCACAATGGGCTAACTGACCTGCTTTCATCGTCACGTATCATCCCTCACTGGTGCCCCGCCAGTGTATACCGATAGCGCAGGCGGGGTTACCATTCCATTATCGCTCATAAAAAAAACCTAGAGTAGCAAATTGTGTACAATTTGACGTGTTGACGTTCTGTCGCGGATAATCGGCGACCGAAAATCGGCCTTATGTAATGCTAGCCTTAGACTGTGCCCATTCTCAATTAGTACTGACCTGCATAAAAGACGCTCGCACAACGCACACTTCGCCGAACGCGCCGCGACCTATCACCTTGACGAGTTCGAAGTCATCGCGCGACAGTCGCAGTCGCTTCAGTGCTGTGGCTACTGGTTTTACTGCAATAAATCCAAGTGGGAGTATATGCGTTATAAATATGTCAAAATTATGTTTTTAAATTTATTAAGACATTTTTATTTATTATCAAGACTAGTTTGTTACCATTCCCATATCATCCATTGGAGGGGAAAGAGATTGTTAGTAATGGAGACTGAGAACCCTAGCAATATACCCAACCAGGTCGACCTCCTCGCGGTTTTCCCTGGAAACTATCATGCTTAATTCCTGATGAATTCATCCTGATGGACTAACTGGCCTGTTTTATTTTTCATCTATAACCCTTCACTGGTGCTCCGCCAGCGTATCCCATTAGCGCAGGTGGGGTTACCATACCATTTTCACCCATCAAAAAAAAATATCATCCATTGAAAAAAAGGCAGGGTGAATGACCTTACATACAGCACACTGGTTACTGATTATCGCTTCTTTCACTCTTCCATAAATTATGACGCTCCATTTATCTTTTTTCTATGCAAATTGATTCGGGCTGCTAATGGACAACTAAGCTACAATAAGGGAGGAGGGGATTTTTAGTAGTCAGCTATAGCAACCCCTTTGTTAGGGGGGAAAGGGGTTGTTAGTAATGGAGACTAAAAATTCCATTGCTAGCAATATACCCAACCAGGTCGACCTCCTCACAGTTCTCTCTGGAAACTATCATGCTTAATTCCTGATGAATTCATCATGATGGGCTAACTGGCCTGTTTTCATTCTCATCTATCACCCTTCACTGGTACTCCGCCAGCGTATACCGTTAGCGCAGGCGGGGTTACCATTCCATTTTCACCCATAAAAAACCCCCTTTGTTAATAACACATCTCATCAACCGACGTCTACACGGTTCCCTTGGCAACTATCATGGTTATTTATTGTTAACTTCAGCACAATAAGCCAACAGATCTCCTTTCATCATCACCTCACCTGTTATTTCTCACTGGTGCCCTAATAGTACACACCAACAGCAAAGGTTTTTTTACAACACAGGGGGCAAACGAGCATGCGGCTCACCTGATGGTAAGTGACTACTGCCGCTCATGATCACCCACAACACCAACGGCATTGCAGGTGTGCTGCCGGCCTTTTAAAAGGGAATATACTCTTTTCTTGAAGGCTATGTTGTCGTATCGGTTCGGAAACACTGCTGCTGAAAGTTGATTCCAAAGAGTGGTTGTGCGTGGGAGAAAGTGCCTTGAAAAACGCACGGTGGAGGATCGTCACTCGTCCAGATGGTTGGGATGAAATTTTAGTTTATGGCGGGTTGTACGATGATGAAAATCAGCAGCAGGTATCAATCCGAACAATTCCTCAGAGCACTCCCCATGATAAATTAAGTAGAAGATGCACCGAGATGCAACATTTCTACGCAGTTTCAATGGGTCGAGTCGGACAGTTCGTTCATGTTATCCATCGTTAACTGTCCACTGCTAACATAGGCCTCCTCCTTTTTGCCAGTAATTGCCACCATAGTTATCTTTTGGTGACGTTTTAAGAGGGACGCTGCTACCCCTCCCTATTAAGTTCCCTTTACTATTAAGTTCCCTTAGTCACGTCTTATGATACCCACAGGAGAGGAAGAGCGGTCAAATCTATGCTGGGACTTCACGACAAGCGAGGTAATAATTCCATTATCATACATTAAAAAAAACCACTCACCGTACTGTATGAAGTCGGCAACCGCCTTCTCCCTGCGGAGGCTGCTGTTGCAGCACTCGTCGTACAGCACGAGCAGCACGTCGAGCAGCGTCTCCACGCTCAGCCCGTGGCTGCGCGGGATCTGAACGCGCCGCGACAGGAACATCGTCTCCATCTGCTTCAGACGCTTCAAGCCCAGCACTGCAATGGAATAGTTGGGATATCAATAAATTGAATTCATATATTTTTATATCGTTCGTGTTCAACATATATACACAGCAAATTATAACACAGTATATTAGTATAAGCTTTTAACCGCGACTTCGCCCGCGTGACCATCCGGTCATGTGTTTGGTGACTGCGATAAAAAGGGGCCTATGTCCCAAGGATATGTTCCGCAAATAGCTTCAATTATGACCGCAGTGATAAACAAACACTGTAATTATTTAAAGTTCTCTATAAAGACAAAACATCAGCCACAATAGTTATAAAACAAATATGAGGGTCTCATACGAGAGTAAAGTACTGGGAGGAGAAGACACTCCTAGCTGAAGAACCTGCGGGAATGATTTGGGTGTAGCATCACCTCTTTCTTCAGAGCGGCAGCAAATTCTAATAAAAAATTAGAATTGGCCTTATGTTGTCCAACCTTCGATAGGAGTGGAACTCGAAGAAGAAGACGGAAGTAAATCTTAACGACTGTGAAAGGAATTATCAAAATCGGTTCAAAAGTGGCAAGACAATTACATAACAACATACACAAGAATACATCCTTACTAATATTATAAATGTGAAACTATGTTTGTTGTTACCTTACGGCGCTTTGACGACTTAACCAATCACTATGGACATTTGATATACACGTATTATATGGAATGGAGAAGGATATAGGCTGCTTTTTACACTGGTCTGTAAACATATGCCAGTCACGTGAACGAAATCGAGGGTAAAAACTAGTTTTTCTTTTATACAACTTAGAATGGCAAACAAGGTGACAGCCCACCTGATGGAAAGTGGTAACCGTCACCTATAGACATGAGCAGTACCATGGACATAACAGAATATATATTTATATATTATGTTTCGCCCCATGCGTTGCCATTCCTGAGGACTCAGGTGTTATTCCTCTGTACTCTGTAAATTCACGCCATATCCCACCCTTCAAACCGAAACACAGCCATGCAAACATAACTGCTTCACGGTTAAAACACGAATGGAACAGAGGTACCCAAGCAATCGACTTTTGTACAAAGTCTCCCTCTGGTATAAAATAAATATCTTCTTTTGAACATCACTTAATATTTTTAAATTAAAAGTGGTAAACTTTTACTTGTCATTCTCGAACGCACAGAAAAAAATAATAATAAAGGAATTAGAAGAAGTTCTACATAACGATATAGACTTCAGAGGATATAAGCCAGTCGTCTCTTCTATCTTATCAGCCCTCTAAGATGGTGAGATGAAGTAAAATAAATAATAAGGTAAACTTTGATAAACTATTTGCTTGTCAAATCTAATCATATCATGAGATAATGTAACGGATATTTCAGGGGACTTCCCCATGTTTCAGAATAAGTTAACTGTTCTCGATAAATGCGGCTTGGGTATTGGTGTTGGGTTTATGATAATAAAAATCTAGGTGACCCAGATATAGCGTTGGTGAAGAAGTGTTGTTAAGTTACTGATATAAGTATCGGTAGGGGGGGGGGGGGGACATTGACTGTAATGCGGAATACCAAGTGTGCTACCAACCATTGCTAGCAATATACCATGCCAAGTCGATATACAAGTGGACCCTCATGGAGACCATTTTGGTTAACTCCCACTCAGCCATATTCCAGTAATCGATGATTACCCATATTAATTTTCTGTCGTTACATATGGAACAAATCCCGTCTCTTACTCGAGTATAATATAAAGAAAAAACTATTTAATGACAAATATCCCGTGTTCTAAATTCAAATAAAAATGATTCTAATATGTCTATGAAACAGGGAGGTTCCTAACTACGAAGCTATTAGGCAGGTGCTAGTAGGGAGCCGGTCTAATTCCTTGCCATCAGATATGTTGAAGTGTAAAGCAATCATATATGATAGGGCAAGTAACGCGCGCGTGACAACCCTGGTGTTACAGGAGTCCATAAGCTACGGTAACTCCGTTTACCGTCAGACAGGCCATTTGCTTGTTTGTCACCGTAGTAGATTTTTTTTTTGATGGGTGAAAATTGTAAGGTAACCCCGCCTGCGCTAATGGGATACGCTGGTGGAGCACCAGTGAAGGGTGATAGATGAGAATGAAAACAGGCCAGTTAGCCCATCATGATGAATTCATCAGGAATTAACCATGATAGTTTCCAGGGGGAACCGCAAAGAGGTCGACCTGGTTGGGTATATTGCTAGCAATAGGATTCTCAGTCTCCATTACTAACAATCCCTTTCTCCCCCTCCGTAGTAGATTAAAAAAATGTATAATGTAAAATATTGTCTATCTATGAAACTCGTTCTCCATAAATGCATTTTATTCGTTTTGAAATAAGAACAGCAAGATTACTAGTACAAAAAACATTTTTTTTCATGGGTGATAATGGAATGGCAACCCCACCCGCGCTATCGGTATACACCGGCGGGGCACCAGTGAAGGACGAATTCAATAAGAATTGTTCACGATGGTTTCCAGAGGGAACCACGTGCAGGTCGACCTAATAGGGTATATTGCTAACAACAGGGCTGTCAAACTCCATTGCTAACAATCCCTTTCCCCCCTACAAAAAACATATATCACGTCTAAGTTTTTTTTTAAAGCAAAATCTACTACACTACTAAATAATGTTGGGACGATTATAGTTAAAAATTTACAGAGACCAAAGTTAATTAAAAACAATAATAACGATACATAGATGACAATAGCCAGCTCTATTAATATGGAATAAGCAGGAAATCGCTTACTAATATATTGTCTTCCTTCCCTTTACCAAATATAGTCGAACGTACAACGATCGATTGTACATAATCTGTTTCAATAAATATATATTATATAAAGACTGTGTTCTAAAAAAAAACGACTCCAGTAGTAACAAAACCAGTTTATTTTAATTTAAAAACCAAACTACCATATTTATTTTGACAAAATTTTATCTTTAGCTGTACGGTTTTTACCCTTGTACATTCAACAGTTTTCTTTCAGCTTCTCAAAGGTTGACTGTAAGAGATCCTTTTATGGGATAAGTCCGCCATTGTACTTATTAAATATTTTACTGTATTTAGTACAAATTATGTGCAATAAAAATTTTACAATACAATTACAAAATATCTTTCGGATCAATCTATAATTTTTTTTTATACAACTTAGAATGGCAAACAAGCTGACGGTCCACCTGATGGGAAGTGGTAACCGTCGCCTATAGACATGTGCAGTACCATGGATATAACAGAGTATACTGTTTCGCCCATGATACCCCCCATGCGTTGCCATTCCTGAGGACTCAGGTGTTATTCCTCTGTACCCAGTAAATTCACACCATATCCCACCCTTCAAACCGAAACACAGCCATGCAAACACAACTGCTTCACGGTTGAAACACGAATAGGATAGAGGTATCCAAGCAATCGGCTTTTGTACAAACTCTCCCTCTGGTATACTCTATCAGACAAAAAAGAATTTTCTAAATTTTTCAAACAACTGACGGATACATTAAGTTACAAAAAAAAAACCCAACCGAATTGAGAACCCGGAGGTCTACCATGAATTAAAATTCTGTATTTTCGGATTCAATTTCGTGTTCATACCTAAATTGGCCGAGTAAATGGAGCTTAACATTTCGTTCGCCATAAATCCTATATCGTAACAATTCAAAGAAATTATATTTTAACATTTTTGATGTTTTTAAACGGTATGTATTATGTAATTTTAACATCAAATTTTTCCTTCGTTCGGCCCCGAAATTTCGGAAAACATTTCATGGTAGGCCCTGTGCTTGTTTTCGAAGTCGTTGAAAAAACTAATGAAGTTTTGTTGAAACTATTACAGAAACACTCTCTACTTGAAATTGTAACAATTCGTTACGTTCAATCAATTAATTGACTTTTGATTTGTACTACTATTTGGACATCAGCGGACTGTTGTATGGTTCGGTCAATTATTCCTTTGTTAATATTGTCATTACGTATTGAAACAGAATATACTAGCTATTGCGCGCAACTTCGTACGCGTCGATTTTACAAATACTTAACTATTTCTAGAATTCGTCGCAAGATAAAACAAGTATGCACTAAATAATTTAGTTTTCTTTATGTATCAAACATACATATGTTTGGTTATATATTTATATGTATGTATTCAACATCATCATATCAGTCTTTAACTGTCCACTGCTGAACATAAGCCTCCCCCTTGAAGGGTTTTGCCATTAATTGCCACGCTTAGCAGGCGAATTGGCAACGGCAGTTAGGTTTTGGAGATATTTTAAAAGTGGCTGCCCATAACTCGCCCTCTTTTATTCGCCTCTTACGACAGCCACGGGAAAGGAAGGGCTGGTCTATTCTATGCTGGGACCACACGATAATGCTAATACAATATTTTTTGAAAATTTTGTCTGTAAGTTTGTTCCGACATCAAAGAAAAGCTACTCATACTAGTTTACAAAATTGGATGCAGTTTTCATAGTTGTATTCCTAAAGGTTTAACTTAAAATTAGGTGTCTTTTATCTTAACACTCCATCTTTTTTTATGCAACTTAGAGTGACAAACAAGCTGACGGCCCACCTAATGGAAAGTGGTAACCGTCGCTTATAAACATGAGCAGTACCATGAACATAACAGAGACATGTGTCACCTATGATACCCCCTATGCGTTGTCATTCCCGAGAACTAAGATATTATAGCTCTGTATCCTGTAAATTTACTGCTATACCACACCTTTCAAACCGAAACACAGCCATTCAAACACAAATTCTTCACGGTAGAAACACAAGTGGGACAGAGGTGCCCAAGCAAACGACTTTTGTACAAAGTCTCTCTCTGGTGATCTACAAGTGCTCTATTTCATCGGTTTTCTTACTTTTGAAAACCACGCGAACGAAGTAGCGGGCAACAAGTTAGTTATGTACGTATACAAATAAAGTTTTTCCTCAATAAATCAACACACGTAGCTACACATGGGGGAAATCTATACCAATAATGCATATGAAGGAAGAGGTAACATTATGTTTGTTTTTATTTATTTATTTAATTATACTTTATTATTCAAAATGATAATACATAAAAACGTGACAGAAGTAATCAAATGTACAAAGGCGAGCCTAACTCTAAAAGAGTTCTCTCCAAACAAAATAGTGGAATGGAACATCATTTGTTTGTATATGTATGTTTTATTTTTTTCTTCTAAGGCACACAATAATCCATCTAATGTAAACTTGGGCTGGATGTCTTTTTATGGAAATAACATTGTATAAAATGAATAAATCACTAAAATTTTTATTTAATTACTAGCTGACTCGGCAAACGTTGTTTTACCATTTTTTTTTATACCACTGAGCTGGCAAACAAGCATACGGCCCACCTGATGGTAAGTGGTTACCGTAGCCTATGAACACCTGCAATACCAGAGGTATTACGCGTTGCCGACCCTGAAGAAACCTCTTTACCCCCCTTTAGAAGAACCTCATGCTGTAGTCTCTTGGGAAAACCTCGGCAACAATAAAACAAAAATACATTATTTCTAGAACTATACATGAACATTTATCGTACTACAATTATTATATTCGATTGTCATCTTGCAACCCTATTGCAGAATATAAAAATTGCGATTAAAAAACAGAGGTTGATCGTAAAACCGTGAAAATTTGAATTTGTATGTATTTTTCAATGCTAAATCATAATAAAATAAAAATAAAAAAATTGTTAAAAAAATAAAAAATAAATATTTAGGGATGGGTCACCCTTATTATTGAGGGGTATGAAAAATAGATGATGGCTGATTCTCAGACCTACTCGATATGCACACAAAATTTCATAAAAATCGGTAAAGCCGTTTCGGAGGAGTTTGGTAAAAAAACACCGCGACACGAGAATTTTATATATTAAATTATAAATATTTTTTATTTAAATAAATTTGGTAAACCGCTATGGTTTACAGGGATGACTTCGACGCAGTCTCTACTAGAAACTAGCATTTGGGGTCTAACAGTTACATTGCTACTAATGGAACTAGTAGCTACCCCACTAGTATCCTATCGGTAATATGTATATATAGTAGTCCGTAAAGTCTTCCTCCATACACCCCCCCCCCCCATAAAACAATTATGGTCAATGTCTGATTACTTACCCATGATGGTCTAACTTCATCCCCATCTATCTTCACTTATCATTACCCCCATGGGACTACCATTCCATTTTCATCTAATAAAAAATGGGACAAAACAAACGGTTACTACTGGAAAAGACATACCTGGTACATTGTTGGTGGGCGCCAGGGCGCGGTCAGGCGATGAGTCCTCCTCGTCCGACATGTTTCACTACACACACACACACACACTTCAATGATCACACATGTCCAACACACTCACACTTATGTCCTATGAGATTCGTAAAAAATCTACTTTAAAAAAATTAAGGCATGCAGTAGTTTATTGTGGCCGTCTTTTGTTTGAGTTCCATTGTCGTCAATCTGAAAAAAAAAAACGCCTTGGTTAGGTAAGAATGTGCTCATTTTTACCATGTGCTCCCCCCCTCGTAAAAGGCAACTAAGGGAACTTAACGGTCAAGGGATGAGCAGTAGACCTCCCTCTTAAAAACATCAGCGAAACCTAACTACAGTTGCCAGGGAGGAAAGGGATGGTAATGGAAACTGACAATCCCATTGCTAGCAATATACACAGCCAGGTCGACCTCCTCGCGGTTCTCCCTAGAAACTTTCATGGTTTTTGTTTTATGGGTGAAAATGGTATGGTAACCCTGCCTGCGCTAACAGGATACGCTGGAGGAGCACTAGTGAACGGTGACAGATGAGAATTAAAACAGGCCAGTTAGCCCATCATAATGAATTCATCAGGAATTAACCATGACAGTTTACAGGGACAAATAAATCTAAATGGTTACCAACCTAGCAGACAGGTTGGCAACTACCTTTAGGAGGGAGACCTATGTTCAGCTGTGGACAGTTAATGACAGCTTATTGATAACGATGAATGTGCTATTGGTGGCGAGGGACGGGGGGGGGGGGGGGGGGGGTTATTAACAATGAAGACTAGCAGGACCATTGGGTATAGAGGCAATAGAGTCTACCGTATAGGTATGGCGATATTTTAAAAGGTATTCCCATCCCTCGACCATTAAATCCCTCAGTCACTTCTTACAACACCCATGGGAAATAAAGGAATGGTCTATTCTATACTGGGACCACACAGCAATGACATAACAATAGTATAAAATAGGATAGTAGTAAACTTTCATAATCTTGTGAAAATTATTTACTTCTGAATACACATTCAATTTTTATTATGCTATATTCTTTATATAACAATTTTCCTTACATTACATATTAATGAATAAATGGTAAAAAAAAAAAATATATTAAAACATTAACATCAATTGTGGATGAGTAACTTCTTCCTTATTACCTACTTCAAATTAATTATAATAGAAAGTACATTTCTTTGTGCTAAGACTAAGTAAGTGTGCCTCATGTTCTGTATCTGTGGCATTAATTATTTAAATCACTTTCATATTAAAGTATAATTAATAGATTAGACATACTCAAGTCACAGATAAATTAAACTTAAAATATTTCCAAAGCCTAAACTGCAGTTGCCAACCAGCCAGCCAAGCTTGGTGACTATTGGTAAACCCTCTCTTATGGGAAAGGTCCATGCCCAGCAGTGGCCGTTAACTAACGGCCGAAATAAATAATATAAAGTCACTGATAATATTGTATGTATATAAAACATAGTTTTAAAATATTAATTGTTTATCAATTATTATTTAAAAACTATGTTTTATATACAAAATTGTGTAAAATTATACAATATTGTGTAAAGTATATAAGACAAAAAATACCTTTTTTAACTTGATAAATTTAATAATAATAAGTATTTTATTAAACTAACAAATCATAAAATTTACAAATACCTACCTAGAATAAAAGGATTTCAATGTTAATGATGTATTAGTGTTTAACCTATTTAAAAAATATCATCATCATCATCATCATTTTAGCCCTTAACTGTCCACTGGTAAACATGCCATTGGCATACTTGGCAGGTGGGTCGGTAACCACAGTTAAACTTTGGTGATGTTTAGGAGGGATATTGCATTCCATAACCAATTATTAATTAAAAAATAATAAATGTAAAGATTATCTATTAAACATGTTAAGTATCAAAAAATAGATAATAATAAATTCATAGGTGTATTAAAAAGTTTGCCAAATGGGCCCTGTCCACTGCAAAATCGTCTGGTCTCATCCCAGAATACAAATAAAGATTTTAACTATGTCCAAACACATTTCAAAGTATGTAATGTGCCTTTTATAGGTGCCAACTATCCCCTTGAAAAATAATCTTAAATATGTTAATGACTAAATTATTATTATAAAGTATAAATATCTCCGACATGAAAAGCACATTTAAATTAAAAAAAAAATTACTAGTGTGTTGTTTATGAGAAGCAAAATAAAATTGTCTGGTTCAAGAAAGGTTGTTTCTAAAGATATCCATTCAGACTGTCTAATATAATGAAGGGCATAACAGTTAGAATCTCACTGAAACAAGCTAAATAACTAGTCTTATAAGAATATTGGTGTAGTTCTAATTGGTATAACCTTCTGAAATAACAAACAACACACATTATATGACACTAACTGGAATAAAAAAGTGCAAAAGGCACACCTTCTCCCAGTATAGTCAATATTATAACTCCATTATCAATTTTTTTTTTATTGAACTATTCCTTATGACAGCCTATGAGGGAGTCCTATGTTCTATGTTTATTTATTTATTTATTAACAATTTAACAGATATAAAACTAGTCTATATATAAAATGCTACTGATAAAATTACTCAATAAGTAACATGAAAGGTATCAACTATAAAGTTGGCAAAAGGGACTCTATTTAGTAATACATAATGTGTATTTCTTATTTGGCGTTAAATGTCAAATTAAGTAATCACTGATTAGTAAATAGCGTGATTTGGAACTACCTACTTATAGGGGTTTGTTTACAGTTCATTGATTTAGTTAGATTAAGTGAACTATAAGAAAAATGTGTGTGAATAACAAATATAATCTACAGCACGACTGTAGCAAAACGTGATATAATTATTTATTTTAATATTTAATAATAAATAAGATCAGCATTTCCATTCAGGGTGGCGATAAATTGTCAGTGTAGTCACAACTAGCCAGCGGCAGGAAATCGACTAATTTCCCCATTGTCTATCTATTGAATAGGCAACTAATGCTTTCTATTCGTTTATTACAAGGTTGCGGGTGTCATTCAATACTGGAGCTCTTTCGCAACCCTTCCAATGAACTTTTATACCTACATTTCACTCCCAAAAAAACTAACAGAACCAATGACATATCGATATATGCGTTTCCGTATTGATACTATAAATAAACAATAACATGTACTTGCGTGGGACGGAAATATGATCCGGCACAGATTTTAGTTATCTAGTTAATAATGTATTGTTCCGAATACAATAGCGAAGATCTTAACCTAAATATATTCTATCGATTGTTATGCAAAAACATTGGGATGAGTCATCGTTGGCACTGTAGTCACACAACACACATTTTATATTATGATATTCACCTGATTATTTCGTAACTATTAATTGATTTCAATTATGAATTGTATTTCATTGTACAAAAATTATTTTTCAAGTCTTTCAAAGCAGACATTTTTACACTCAAAGGGGGTAGTGGGGGCATTAACAGTGTTGCCAGTTTATTTAATAAATAACTACGATATTAAAATAGAAGTGGTATTATTGGTAATTTATTTATTTTTTATTAAAAGAATATTATCATTATTAATTCCATAATACAAGTTAAATCGATTTTTTAATTTACACAAATTTATTAATAAATATTTGTAAAACAAATAAATAGATAAAAAAATTATTTGTATATCCTACGTTTTCACTAAAGATGCGAATAAACTATTTATCTACATAACAATAAAAAATAAAACAATATCTCATAGAATTACATATAGGTACACATTATACTTATGTTTTGTATTATTTCGTGAAACGCATACTCATTTTTTATTATATAAATATTGCTAAATTCGGTAGTCGTCAAACTTGCAACGTTGCCACACCGGAAACATCATTAAATTTTAAAATAAATTTATAACTTTCTAGTTTTTCTGCGATTAAATTATTAAATCATGAAAAAGGAATTTTTATGTACATATTATAAATTATAATTTATTTTATTTTGTACAATATTATTATTACTTTAATTGTTTTTATGAGATATCTTTGAAATTCCGATCTTATAAGTATATCATTTGATAGAGCGTCATGTAGGTAATGGAGTCGATGTTCGATTCGTCAATTAAAATAATTATCTTTATTTTATGAAATATCACATAAAACTGTTTATAATTGTGTCTATCTGGATTGCGGTGAATGATTTTAGTTTATTTACGAAATTCGACTGCGGGAATGTATCCAAACAACCTTGTTCTGTCAATGGTATGTATGCCATCATAATATTTTGGAAAGTTCATTGAAAATCCCAATTATATTATTATTTCACTTTATATTTGACTGATATAAGTTGAATCTAACTTCATTACAGTAGGATTTAATCACCATCTCACTGTACCATGTCATAATCAGCTAAAAATACGAAAGCTTTGTCGCCCGCGTAATTGGGTAGCTAAATTGAAAGGTCACGCATTCATATTCTCTTTATTCTTTCCAGTATGATGACTGCAGCGGTATAAGAAATGTTTATGATTTAAAAAAGCAACAAGCAAACGAACAACGCAAAATATAGTTCTGTTTCGGTGGATCCGAGTTAATGGTTTGGAGGGAGCAACAATATTGTGGACCATCAGATGAAACTATGGCATCAGATCAACCCGTGAAAAAGAAGCAGCGGATCGACGCCCCAGACATAGATGATGGTAGTGACAGGTCTGCAGAGGATGTCCTAACAGATATATTTGATTCTGAGACCCCTGCTGAGACATCAGAGGCATTTCCAGCCAGGAATGGGGAGTCTCCTGACAGTGGCACTGTAAGTGAGGATGCTGTAGACTGCTCAGCCATCCTCAGACTTCCCAACAATTCTAGTGTGGAAATTATACCAACATGCTCAAAACCACTTTGGAGTTCTGAAGATGATAAACTGCTCTCTGAGTTACGAATATTACAAGATGCCCTTGTTAGCCAGTGCCTGTGTAGATTTGATGAAAATATTGTCCTAAATCTGTTCGATAGACGTCTGAACATAGTATCATGGCCATTAACATGTTCTCTAACATATTTATCTACAATGCAACTTATGTTTGACATTTATTTAAAACAAAACAACACAGGCACCATATGTTCAAAGTTAATGCAAGCCTGTGACATATTTGTTAGGAACAGACATGATTGGATCACTGAGGTTATAGATTTGGCTGATCATCACAGTAGATTTGTGATTTTTGTGGCCAGCAGGGTTTTAGCAAGTTTCCTTATTGTTTCAAAAGATACGGTGGATGAGAACTGGTTGCACCAGATAGCAGAAAATATATATTCATTTGAAAGCATAAATAGAATAACAGTACAAAAGATTAACTTCAGTTTAGATATAATAAAAAGGATAGTAGAATGGAAGGATGTGGAGCAGCATCCTTTAGAAGATAGCAATTATATAAACACAGCAGGGACCATGCATGTTCAAGAAGATAACCCATTCAGAAGTAGTATTGGATATGGTAATAGCAGCAGTACAGAAATACCTTCATCTAGCTCTCAAAGCAATAACTTGCACAGTGCATTCTCTAATTTACAAACTCATAGTGCATCATCGTCTTCAGGAGAGAGACATTCAGAAGATAAATCAACAACATTCAGACTTCATGAACCAGTGTTAAAGTTCCCAATGCAGCAGCCCATAGAAGATATAGAGCAGCCTGGCTCTCCTGAGCGTCCTCCATCGAGGATAGAGAGAGTTAATGAGCATGGTTGTGTGACAATTTTATTAAGAGACTCTGAATCTTTCGACACATCCCACATAAAGTGCTTAACAATCAAAACATTGGAACATAACTGGCCAGACTTGGTGAAAAACATGAAACTCCTCCTACACACGTACCTGAACTTAGCTAATGTTGAAAACTGCATACTCACATTTTTCTCCTTGTGGGAGAACATTATAAGTGTCAAAGCAAATCTCTCAGTGATTGATACCAAACCTTTTTATGAAGATCTGCAGAGTTTTGTGGATTTACTCAGAAATACAACCTTACCAACACTAATTTACACTCAATTGTTGAGTTTATTCAATGAAGTGCTTTGCTATGGTTCAACACTAGCATTACAAGACATTTTACCTGAAGAGATTTGCTGTCTTGCTCACTCTATAGTTAGATTTGTGAAAGACTATAGATTGTTAAGTGACATTCGTGTGCAGAATAGCCGCAGTGGTTTTGGATTTTTAGGGCATGAATGTAAGGTGATAAGAGACTATTCACTAGGACCCGAGGTAGTGCCTTTATCATCTTCAATACAATTGGTAGACCAGAGTTATGGTGAAGATGATAATGATGATTCATCTCAGTCAAGGAGTGAAGTGGATAAAACAATGCTGCAAAGAATGTCTCTGTTGGTTCTTAAATCAATAGCTGTCACTGTGAAGGAGATGCGTTGTGATTCCTCGGACAGTTCAATAGATTCATCAGATTATAACGCAATACAAGACATGCAAATTGTTGAGAGATCCATCAGAGATGTATTGAAGAAGCTGGATGTTTTCATCAGGAATAGTTTAGAGTTCCATCCTGAGACTGCTTTTACTAAGATGCTAATACATTTGTTCAGTGAACAAGATGATTACCTCATAGAATCTATGGTGTGTACTCTGGATATCACGGTCGGTATTGTTTATAGGAATTCTATGTACCCAGACCTGGTACCGATGTTAAATCCTGTATCCTCATTCATAGAGTTCTTAAAAGTTGTCTCGCATGACAGTGATGTCTTATTAGACTACCTGGTAAGTAATGAAACTTGTTTTCTATTGTACTTGCTACGATTTCTAAAACATGTGCGAAGGAACTGGCCTAAGTTTCTAGAGACATGTCAACAGGAGGATTATGGGGGCACACGAGGTTTAGAGGATACAATGCGGGTTTTAATAAGGTTGCGTTTGCAAATAAGTAGATTGGTGTCCAGATCGCTATTCCCATATAACATCAGTCCAGTACTGAGGTTGTTGGATGTTTGCGAAAGCTTGTATGAAGGTAATGAGTTCAGCTGAGTTTTAAAAACCTCTGGTTTTGTGTATTGTTCAAGCCATATTATTCATTGTGCTTATGAATGTCTCAGAACAAAAAGCAAGCACAACATATAGATTTGTGTTTTATCAAACATGTAATTATGAAATATATATATATGTAACATTAATAATAAATTCAAAGATTTTTGTTTTCATTAATGTATAAAATAACATTTTAGGTTCATTCCCATTTTTCACACTACAAAGACTGCCAATCCTTAATTTACATTCCAAATTATCTATATTCATATATTATAATTAATAATAATTAAGTTAATTTATGTTCACTGTAGATTTTTATAATAATTTAAATAATGGCATTGTAATTAATTAGACTAAGTAATTTGTTATATTGTCTTCCTTTAAGAATAATCATAGGAATACATTATTACTATATCATTATAGAAGTTTAGTGATGCACAGTGCCACTTTTGATAACATTTGTAATAAAAAAAAAAAACTCCTATCGCCTGCTCGATATAAAGGTTTTTTTTATTATCATTTTAAATATGACATTCTAAAATTTATCTTTACTGACTACTAAATGTCCTATTTTGACTTTAACACGTTCACGCCAGGGCCGACTTTAATGTTTTTGCTGCGAGGCGGCGCTCTAATTGATGCTACGCTTCATGATCGAATACGTACCACCGGTGGTACGCGCCGCCAGAAAAGACAGTCTAGTGCGGGCCACCGGTGGTACGCGCTGCCAGATAAGACAGTCTATTGCGTACCGCCGGTGGTACGCGCCGTCCAATGAGACAGTCTAGCGCGGGCCACCGTTGGCCCGCGCCGGCGGAAACGTGTTAAAATATGTCTCATTTTAAAGATGAATTGCAAATTTTGGAATATTGTCGAAAAAAAAAAAATAAAAGAAGGAAAAAGATAATTTCATAGTTTTCAAAATTGAGGTCATTATTAAATAATTTGTATTGAAACATTGAATAGGATTTTGTTATAACTGTATATAAAATCTATCAGTTACGTATTCAATGTAAAATGATAATAATAAAACTAATAGAAAATTTGACAGCTCGCGAAATGACGAGATGCGAGAAATACATCTTTAACCCTCCGCCAACCGTATAGGACGATATCGTCCGCGCCAAGTTTCGACCTGATGCATATCTTTGTACGAAACCCTTTTTTTCGCTGGCTTCGGACCCCTCTGTAAAAAAACTTATACACGCGCGTACCCCACAGGCACAAGCACGTCAGTATCCGTTGCAACATCATTGAGTATGAATGTGTGCAAGTTTGCAGGTGGACGATATCGTCCTGTACGGTTGATGACGTAACTTTTACGAATATTTAGGCATACATACATACATACATACATATCTGTCACGCCTGTCTCCCATTAGGGTAGGCAGAAACAATGGAACGCCAAATGCTTCGATTCAAACAAACCTCTTTCGTTTAGGCATATGAAATATAAATATTTTTCATTGCATTATCAGTGTTCTGAATGAAAATTTAGTGTAATAATTGTTAGATGTAATTTTTTCAGAATTTTCATTTGTTATTATGGCTGAAGCCTTACACGAACATCAGTATTATCTACTAGTGAATCGGAATCTGAAATTGCATGTAAAAGTGAACATCACTCCTCCGATAACCAAGAAATTGAGGGGGGAAAGGGATTGTTAGTAATGAGATTTAACAGCCCCATTACTAGTAATACACCAGGTCGACCTCCACGCGGTTCTCCCTGGAAACCATAGTGGGTCAATCTTGTTCAATTGGTCACTATGGGCCAACTGACCTGCCTTCATCCTCACCTGTCACCCTTCACTGGTACTCCGCCAGCGTATATCGATAGTGCAGACGGAGCCACCGTTCCATCTTCACTCATTAAAAAAAAAACAAGAAATTGAAGAGGAAGGTGAATCTAATCCTGATCAACCTCCACCAGCGAAACTTATTTAAATACTCTTTTTTTTTTCTGTTATTCTCATATTATATTGTAATTTAAAAACCAATTTTGTATTAATTTCTTAATAATAATTATATTTTATATATAATTATTATTAAGAAAATACTAATCCAATAAAATACTTATTTTCTTGAAAAACGTTCCTTTTAAAAATATACCATTTTCGGGTGTTAAAATAAATATATTTTTTTGAGTGGTGTAAGAGCTTATATGAAGAATAAATCTTCAAAACATTACTTCTTAATACTAATTTATATCCAAGGTATCGATTTTTGAATGAAATCTTGGAAATTACGGTTTTTGCAGAGATTACAAAATTTTATTTCATCAGGGGGTAAAGTATTCAAGTCAAAAACTATGGAAACAGAAAAAAGAAATCTAGAGCATATTCCCCGATTTTTTTGGAATTTTTCCCTACCTTGAAGTAGGTTATATTATCGTCTAGGACGATATCGTCCGTGCCGGTTGACGGTGTGCAAAAAAAAACATATGGTTGGCGGAGGGTTAAATATATTTGATACTCAGTTATGTAATAGTTTTAGAAAACTTTGAGGCTGTTGTTATGTATAAAAAATACAATTTGATAGCAAAATATGTTTAACTGTCTGTGCGTTGCTATAATATTCTAAAAAAAAATCTTCAAAATAGTGCCTTACAATCGAATGGGTGCTTGTTAAAAAAAAAAATGCGTTAATGCAACTATTTATAATAAAATTAGTCGCCATTTACTTTAAATATAATATATCAAAAGATTAATTGTACTTATATTTAGATTTTAGACAAATTAGAATTTATTTATTATAAAACATTGGTTGTATTATACATTGTAGTTAGTTTTGTGTTGCATATATGAAAAGCGGGTCTAAATGTCTTACTAAATTATGTTTCATGCCACAATGTAAATATCGCCATCAATTACCATAGTACACATAAGTAATGTAATCAGTATTAATACAATATCCTAATTTATATGAAGGTCTAATTGTAATGACACATCTTGGTGAACTTATTAAGGCCCATGATCTAAACGTTTTTTCAAAAATCCTCACATTTAAATGTATGTAATAATAATCAAATTATAAAAAGGTTATAAATATGGGGTGTATTCAAAATTATTAGCTTTTTTGTTGTTTTTTTTCCTAAGAATAAATCTGAACATTTTTTTACAAAAAAGGTCAGGAAAAACAAATGTCAATGTATGATTCTCCGAGAAAGTATCGTATGTTTAGTTTCACCGGAGAACAATATCATTCTCCATGACTTTAATTTCACCCAGTTTATTTAGTAACTATTCGAAAAAAATATCACTTGAATAACATACATACCATGGGGTCGTTAATAAGTTTGCCAAGACAACAAATTAAATTCAGTTACGGGATCTATTTGCGATGTAAGTTAGCTTTAAGTTAGTAAATCGCGACAGACTGTTAAATATTCTGCGAGTAGATATCGGTTTGTTATTCGTTAGCGGTAAGCTGTTGATTTTCCATTATAACCTTATTGTCATAAAAATAAATAACTGAATAGAAGTGACACTGCTGGAAATAATATTCATACTTGGTTCATATCCGGCTCGAAGGACCATAAGGCCTGTTAATCTATAACCTAAGGTACAATTCTCAAAGTGTGTACTCCTAATTATTTTATTAATAAAAAACTGCAGGAAAGTTGCACTAAGCTGCACGTACGAAGTGACAACACGATACTTTATCTTATAAATTTAAAACAACCCTAGTACAAAACTGTATTAGATCGTAACATTAAAAACTACAAGCATGCGCCTTTAAATCTTTACTGCACAAAAGAGAATGGAAAATAGATAATAGAAAAAATATAAAAAGTTCTAAACAGGAACAAGTCTATTCAGAATACAGTATCTAAAAGGAAGAAGTGTAGGTACATTTTGCCGCCAATGCTGCACTGGTAAAGTTCATCAGTGTCACTTTTATCTGGATATTTATTCTTGTAGTTATGTTGAATCTCAATCTGGAATTGTTAGTCATCATTGGACTCAATTTTTACATATAAGTTGGTATATTTGAGGCAGATTCTGATGTCATTCTCTAAAACTATCTCTATTCCAATGAACATTGATTTTTTATGATATGATTGTCTCCTTTAGTCTTTCTCTCTATTCTCGTCTCTTCTTCCGTTCTATCTATAGAGATACTGTTTTTTTTTTTAATATTAGTAAACTATTACAGCAATCTTCATGTATTTTTACGCATTAAAAGTCTGTAACTGTGTTTGCGTCATAATAAAATAAATTCGAACAGCCAATGTGCTGCCAAGGACATGCATCAGAGAAAGACATTAATTGTCGATCTATTAAGCTATTAATTGAACATTATCGTTTCATATGTATCTAATTTCTTTTTTACAAAATATAATTGAATGGGATTTTGAGAATAATTTTAGAGAATGAATTAATTATACAGGTAGATAAACTGAATTTCACTGCAATAGTGCAAATTAAAAAAAATATTTCAACACTTAACATCTCCGTCATAAATTATACAGGGTTAGTTGTAATACCTTACTTATCAAACCAAACTCCGATGATAATTCCTAAAACTTGAACAAACACCTCTCAAGAAACGTTACGCTAGCACAAATCTCAAAATTATTTATTTAACTTTTCACAAAGTCGCTATTTTACGTTTCCGAAATAGACAAAAAGTTCCAAAAACAATTTTGCTTTTATTTAGTTTCATAAATAGGTAGATACTAACCCTGGTTTTGGAATTGGTATTCTCATTACAATAACAGAACTATCTTAACCATACATTTAATATTTAATAACTATTGTACTGTCTTTTTTTTTCATATCTGAAAGTGTTAATAGGCAAAAAGGAATTCTCAATGGATTCGGTTATAATGCACTTTAGCTGTTGCTAAATGAGATCCTGTTTGCTATTTATTTTCATGTTTACCTCTAGGTATAATTCTCATGATTTAAGTTTCCACTAAAGTAACCTTTACTAACAGAGATAGATCTTGCCAATAAAATGTTAACTATTTCTCATATATTATACTTATACATAAATACCTCTATAATGTACAGCTAAAAGTTGTAATAAAATTAACGTTCTTGCAAAATAACAATAAGTTAAACTATGGTATTATCGATTCTATTGTGAAAATATGCATAATTAATATTTTTAATTTCAATTTATTGGAGTCGATTCTGTAAGAGTGGGTAATATATAGCAATATCTACATTTTAGTTACAATATCTATATAATGGTCCAATAACGAATATGTTAAAGGACTGTTGTCCAAAAAATATTGTATAACAGTCTTTAAATATATTGGAAAATAGATATCCGACCGATATAGGCAATATCCAAAGGAATGATGACTTTTTCGGCCATTAAGTCCAGAGAACCCGTCCCGAAATGTCCGAAGGAATTAAAATTTCAATTTGATATTACAGCGAAATCCGGGCCATTGTGAACTAATTTTATAATAATTTCGCGAAATAATAAAATTTAAATATTAGGTTTATAGAATTGTCGTCTCAAAATCGTATATTTTGTATTGCCCCAACTAATTACACAGTCTTATTAATGGATTTGTAATTAAATATTCATCTTCACATAAATTCCCACTAGTCATGACTAGTTTTTGGAATGTTTGTTTTAGGCTTAAATAATAAAGCGAGCGGTCGTGACGAACAGTTGGAACGACAAGCTATTTATACTATTGTTCATAAATATTAAAGCCAACAAAACTAGGTTTTGTCACTTCATTTTCGAAAAAAATACTGTTCGGAAAAAACAAATCTCTGATTAGGGACGACAAAACTTAGTCCAGTTTAACCCCTATAAGACAGAAGTTTGCGGGGTCACCGCTAAAAAATCCTTTTGCTCCACAATTCTAGGGCACGTCTCTTAACATTTCTTAAAGCATTGATATTCTTGGTGTCGACATCTCTAGTGACGTACAGTTCCGTGGCCACCTCGAAGATAAGGTCAAGCTGGCATCCAAAAAATTCGGTGTGCCTAATAGAGCGAAGCATTACTTCACGCCGAATCAATGATTAATACTCTACAAATCGCAAATCTGGCCCCACATGGAGTATTGCTGTCACTTATGGGCGGGAGCACCTAGATACCAGCTTGAACCCTTCGAGTCAGGGCAACGACGAGCTATGAGAATTGTCGATGATTTCAGACTTACAAGCGGTATCGAATCCTTAAGTCTTAGGAGATATTTTGTCCACTCTGCGTGTTCTACCGCTTGTACAACAGATTGTGCTCAGAGGAATTCTTCAATATGATGTCCACGGCCACTTTCTACCATTGTACGGCTTGCCATCGACAGGAAGTTTACCCTCACACCCTAGATAGTCGCTTACAACGCGCTTTCAGAGATGTTTTCTCCCACGAACATTCAGATTATGGAATTAACTCCCTGCTTAGGTTTTTCTAAGAGATTACAGCATGTCGTTATTCAAAAGGGGAGTAAAGAGGTTTCTTCAGGGTCGGCAACGTGCATGTATTGCAGACGTTCATAGACTATGGTAACCGTTTACCATCAAGTGGGCTGTATAATTTTTGTCATATATCATTTATAGTATCAATGGTATAAAAAATAGCCGAAATATTTTTATACGCAACATTTTTATATTTTACTAAAGATATTTATTTTATGAATTATGCTAAACGGCGTGTAAGCACTTGCATCTCTGTCTAGCAAAATGTCTGGGTGATTAAATTAACCACTTTATACTATTATAATATGATTATTATTGGATTACTATTGTTTATTTAACAGAGTTTAAATGTCTTATATAGAAATGTATGTAATAGGTCTCTAAACGTACTTAGTTTTAAGTACCTACGTGTAGAATCGATAATATTGTAGCCAAACTGTAATTAAGATAATCATAAGCATTGTTATTGTTAATATTAAGTAACAATAATTAATTTGATAACGAAACAATAAAACGAAATATTTTTGTACATGGTAAATTATTTTTTATTTACTCCCTTGGTGTCATTTTGATTCTAATAAAAAAAATTGAATATCTATCATCATACATGAGCTCTTGTTTAGGTTATATTAATTTGGAGGTTTTCTCTATCGTCTACAAAATATTTTACTACTAGCCTATAATATTTGTTGGTGTAACTTGTTCAACGCATTTTAGTAAGGCTGGTATTTTGGCGTGTGTGAAAGTATTGCACTAATATTCTCTAAGATTTTAAAATGAACTGTCTGGTTAGCAATTTGTTGTGCGCGTGTTTATATAGTTCCTCCTACGGCCCGCTTAATATATTCGCATGGCCAGCGTCAGCATATCGGCCAGAGTCAACGTAATACGTTGATTCCAAATCATTGGGATAAGGATAGCAAGACAATAATGGGTAAAACATTACATTTATTCGAGAGGGTTATTTCTGAAATACGAAAGCCTGAGTTATTTATGAAGGTATACTATATTTTCCTTTGAACAAGAGCAGTATAAAAATTATATTTGCCATGATCCAAGAAATGAGACTCGGATTTTCTCTTCCCTATTATAACACTTAGCTTACGTAATTAATGGACTTCCTATTACTTTATATATATCCTAATAATGTAATAAATGCAAAAGTTGGAATGGATGAATCGATGTTTGTTACTTTTTCACGCAAAAACTACTTAATAAATTTGAATAAAATCTGGTATACAGGGAAATTATATCCTAACTTAGCACATACTTTATGTATTGACTCACGTGAGCGAAGCCGCGGTGTACAGCATTAAAAATTTGAATCAAAATTTGATATACAGGTAAGTTATATCCTAACTTAGGATATAGGATACTTTATGTATTAACTCATGCAATCGATCCACGGTATACAGCCTTAATAAATTTGAATGAAATTTGGTATACAGGTAAGTTATATCCTAGCTTAGCACATAGGATACTTTATGTATTGATCCACGCGAGCGAAGCCGCGGTATATAGCTTTAACAAATTTGAATGAAATTTGGTATACAAGTAAGTTATATCCTAACTTAGCAAATAGGATTCTTTATGTATTGATTCAGCCGCAGGATACAGCTATTAAGACAATTAAAACATTAAGCTCTTTTCAATGTTTTTGTTGAATACAAAATGTGAACTCGCACAATCACTCAAAACAACTTTGTACCATCACTAACATTAAATATTTATACATAAACACTACACATTTAACCGCACATATAGGAATACACGGCTCACCGCTCACGTATTCTAGATTTAGCCCCTTATTCATAAAAACATCGAACCTCTCTGTCTCACATAAACCTGTTTTAGCCTTTAAAGTGTTTTGCCCTTTTCTTTTACACTAATTTCTCATTTTGAAAAACTGCAACAGTAAAAATATGTTTGTAAGACGTTTCAGTTTTTATGAATAAGGGGTTAGATTATATAGATAGAGTGTTTCCTTACAAAACGCATCATTAATAACACATCAACTGTTTTATCCATTTTGCGTGAACAGAGTTGCCATATTGTACATTTACTACTTACTATATAGGAGAAATTATGTTATAAAATTAAAATGAATTGAAAAATTGATGCAAAATTTGATTAAAAATGGTCATAATTTGAATAATACATGTATATTAATGTGTTACCAATGCAAATATAGTTATTATTATATAATATGAAAAGAAATAGTTCCCAGTTTAAATTACAAAAATAGACTTGGGGAAATTTTTAATCTAATTACTTGCAACTGAATAACTGGCATGTATTGATTTAAAAAAATATGTGACAAATTGAGTCTCGGCCAATTTCGCTGGCAAATATTACCACGTTTTTAACACTCGATGCTCTATCTATATAATCTAATATAATAAATTGTAACTAGTATAATGTGTTGTTTGCGGTAGAAAATAATTTTATTACACATTGCACGTGACTTTATCCAGAATGAGTGAATTTGGCGCGAAACCTTAATTCCAAGGCGATAAAATGACAGCTAATAATGTACTTCTGCAAATTTGCTCATGTCTGGCCAATGTAATTAGGTACAGGTCTTCTAGAGGGAGTTGAGGCGAATCAATTGATATTTCTTACATACTACATGTTCTGGTGATTAACACAGCTTCATCACGAATATTGTGATATTTTCGGGACACATGGTGTGTACAACATTAGTCATTTATTCAAAAAACAATGTATATTGCGTCTGAAATTATATATGATCTTACAAAAAGCATTAAATTGAATATTAGAAGTATTGAATAACAATAGTAAATATATTACACAATCAACAATATCAACTTCAACTATAATATATATGTCAAATTTATTTTTTAATTCTAGTATTAACGTTAATCACCAGTAAGTCTATAATGGAGTAATAGCATTTTTCCCATAAAAGGGATCATAGTTTAATGGTATGCTTTTATAATAATGGGGTCGATTCTGGAGCACCATTTCTCTGATCCTATCTCTAAAATAAAATTACGATTCGGTATCACAGCGACATCTTTGTTGTAAGGATAAATATTAACAAATTTTATAACAGAATGAGTGAGTGAGTATACTTTATTTGCATTACAAAACGATACAGTTGTATAACTGTAATAAGGCGGTCTTATTGCTGACAGAGCAATCTTAGAAGTCAAAATGATCCGTAAAATAGTGAATTCGCAAAATTACCAAATTAAAATATTACGATTTAGTAAGAGATAAGTATAGAAAAATGGTATCTCAGAACTAGCCCGGCTATCTAATCTTCACATTTAAAAAGTGATTATTTAAAATGAATGTCATACAAATAAAATTCTTTAATACTATATTATTCCTTGCACTCTAGACAAGTGACAAAGGAATACGTCGATGGAATTGACATCACTAATGAGTCCATGAGTTTGAATAAGACATCCGACATTGCTATCTCATTCTATCTCACGGATTCGCTAGTGATGTCCCTTGCCACCTATCTAGAGGGCCTTAATTGATTTAAACAGACATGGTCTTTATAAGACTCGATATCTTCCGGAATGTCTCCTATAGTGTAAAAAGTTTTGCCTTATTCTTTTATAGTTATAACGGGTTTCTTGTGTTTTGCCCCCTTTCTCCTCTCCCTCTCATGCCACAAAGAAGACAATATTGAAATCGAATTTATTTTTTGTTAGCTGCAATATAACACTGAATATCTGGTTCTCATATTAGGATACTTTGTGTTTTACATACCATTCTAATAATACATAACACATCCTAAGTTGAATATAATTTCTTTTTTTTTTTATGAATTTAATAAGAAACCAGTGCAAACATATCTAACATTAACATTTAACGATATAATAAACTTACGATTACTTAGTTCGCCTCGACTCTCGTTGCTTAAATACTACACTGTCATATATATATGATCATATGGTTAAGTCATAAATGCAGGGATAAGCAAATATTGTTTGCCCTAGAGTATTGTCAAGTTATACAAGATATTGTATTTTTTTTTTAATTTATATTAAAAGTGGAACAATTAATTTGAATTCCAAAAAAGATTTTCCCTAAACAAACACTTCTGTTTAGAAACTATTTAGTTTAAACAATCGAAATTAGATTGTTCAATCTATTATAAGATTAAGAGATTTAGCAATAAGACATCCTTTTGTAAAGCATTTATTTTTTTAACACGTTCACGCCGGCGCGGGCCACCGGTGACCCGCACTAAACCGTCTTATCGGGCGGCGTGGGCCACCGGTGACCCGCACTAAACCGTCTTATCGGGCGGCGTGGGCCACCGGTGACCCGCACTAAACCGTCTTATCAGGCGGCGTGGGCCACCGGTGACCCGCACTAAACCGTCTTATCAGGCGGCGTGGGTCACCGGTGACCCGCACTAAACATTTAATTTTAATGATAATTATAATCAATAATGTATCAGAAACATAATTTTTGTTCAATAACATAAACATAAAAATAGAGTATTATACAAAAAAATCAAATACGGTTTAAATACCAAAAATTTAATATTGTTTTATTTATAACTTCATTATTTATTGTTTTTTTGTGTAATTTGTTAAAACAATTCAAGCAAAGTGCTGGCTGTACTGCAGAGAAACAAACAACGCGTATTCAGGTCTGAACAGGCAATAATCACGCGCCGCCAGATGAAACGCGATATTAATTTGAACGCCGCCTAATAGCAAAACAAATTATAATCGGCCCCGGCGTGAACGTGTTAATATTCTCATTTTAATGGTTTTATTGTGCAATAAGGAAGTTTTAATATTATTATGAAAAATGGGATCCATTATAAAATTTGTGCGTACTATCGATCTTATGATAAAGATTTCGATATGATAATCAAATTGGAACGTTTAAGTTTTTAGAGTTGTTAGAGAAAGCCGGTCGCAGCTTGTACAATATATGATAATATATATATATTTCATAGTGTAATATACGCATTGCAAAGTCAGTGCATCAGACTATTTCATTCTTCATTAAACATCTAAATACATTACAATCCACAGATGTATATCAACCATTTTAAAACTACTTACCTATGATAGAGAAACTACTATGTACATGTATAGTAACTTAGTGGGTTGGAGGGCAATTTTAGAAAGTCCTGCTCTAAAGTAACTCTAAAATTGACTAATTTTAGAACGAATGTGTTACTGAATCTCTAAAACTAAGGAAGATACTTTAGAGACAGACAATCTAGAATCGTTCTCCTGACTAACCTTATTTTATTCGGTAACATACAGAAATGTTTGTTTACATAATTTTTAATATTAAATGTGATGTTCGTATCCATTCAAAAATCACACATACAAGTGACTTTTTTACAGCTTCAAAAAGTGATATCTTAAATATTTAATTTGAAAAAATTTAAACAGCAGATTAAGCGAAACATAAAAGCTTATCAGGTAAAGATAATTATCTATTATTCAACGACCACAGACAATAGGAGCATGTCTAACGTAAACACACACACACACATAAATATATAACGAATATGTAATAAATTGTGAAATGAATAGTAATTGTTTATTTAATACAATTTCAAATATTTAATACATTTTCATATATATTTTTAAAACAATTTACAATTTCAAATTATTATTTAACAATGTTTTCATTAAATTAACATTCTTCTGTCTATATAGACAATGATTTTGGTTTATCTATCCAATACTTTTTTTTTCTAAAAATGTTTATTAAATCGGAAGCAATTTAGTAGAAAAAAAATTCTCCCATAAAACTAAAATGAGATAGTGTATTAAATGACGTAAGTTCGTATCTACAACGTTTTGTCTCAATTTTGACAATTTTGTGGGTTAAAGTCTGTTTACTAAATTATATCCGATTATAACACAAAGTGTGGCTCTATTTTTTTTTTTTTTGTTTGGTCATAATGCAGTAAGAAACATAGATTAGGTTCCTAGCTAAGGAGTCCGAGTTCCATCATAAAAAAAAAAAAACAAGTAGATGGTATTGAATATTCAAATTAAACTAATACATGGCAAATACTACGCAAAATGAAAAGTCAAGATAGACTAGCCTAAGCACCAGATCAAAATTGAATACAGGGTGAGATAGAAAGATATACCTATCCTTGTTCACAAAACGTGTCATAACCTTACTTTAACTATAGTAGTGTTTATCTCTTCAATTTGTATTACAATTCTCATATGAAAGAAAGGGGGTGAAAGGAGTTGTAAAACGTTACGATCCGTTAGGGTTTAATTATGCGTGCAGGGGCGGAAGGAGAATTCAAATAAGGCGTTACGTAACTTTTTTTTACAATTCTGCACGGTTTTTATGAAACAAAATTAATTTCGTATTCAACATTTGCAACACAAAACCGAATTAAAGATGGTGGAACGTCAATGCCAATTAGTTTGACATTGATTATAGAAATGAAATCACTAAATAACAGTTATACGACGTAGCAAACGATCAAGTCATAAGCGCTATTTAAAATATTATACTACTAAAATTACATAACAGATGTCTCTTTATATTTTAATGAACTAGGTGGTATTTTGCGAAGTCTACATCACTGGATTGTTGATTAGAATTATTTTGTTTAATTCCGCTACCATTAGTATGCGTACCACTGCCAACATTCGGAAGATTAATTACTATTATGGTTACTAAAAGTTCTAGAACCTCCCGTATTAGTCATCAATCTCCGACCTCTATTTCGCCCACGCACGTTTTGCGATACGTGCTGCATCTCTAAACGAGGTTCTTTCAGGCAAATTAATAGATCGCTGTTCGCAGATTAATGTTAACCGAACGGTGCCATAATTGCAAATATATATAGGTCTATTAATTGGCCTGAAAAGTTTGCATAGTAGTAATCAATCTTCGAGTGTTGCCAGTTGCAGAATAAAACATAATAATTTTAATCAACCAACCAGGCTCGTTATATTTTTATAAAAATGACAAAATTTTCATTATATATTAAATAATTCTCAAATTATTCTGTCAGTACATGTCAGTAAACAAAAAAATATTCACAAACATATGTTTGATTGTTATATATTTAATATTTTTAAATACATATTACTATTCGTATCAATCTCACCCTGTATATATATATATATATATATATATATATATATATATATATATATATATATATATATATATATAATAGCTATATTACTGCAAATGGCGGAATTTTCTAAAAGATTAATACATTACGATTGTAATTGTAAGTAAATAAATAAGTAATAATAATATATAACTAGAGTTTAAGAAAGCGTCGTGGTTTAAGGGTATCTCAATTTACAGACAAAAGTCACGAGTCTATTTGTGGTTGATACAAATGACTTCTGGGTGTCATTTAAAAGCATCGGATTAACCTTTAAATGGTAGAAAACACTATTAACAAACCACCCAATCAGAAGACGGCGATGGACAGTTCGCATGTCGAATGATACGTTCACCACAACGATAATAGTTGACAAATGACTCTGACTACCCTATCAGGGATTACAGTCGTGAGAATATTCTTTACTACAATCTTAACAGTGTAATAGCGTTTACTTAATCAATAGTTTCATTCATAACATTTTGTTCAAAGATTTACAATTAACTCTCGCGTGAAACATCTCAATATACTCTACAGTCTACAGTAACACTGATGCACTAAAACAACACAAAACAGTTCATTGCTTTCAATAACGGTCCCTCACAAACATCTAAATACGAAACACAAAAACAAACAAACAACAACGGACAAAGTCAAGTGTCGTAATCTTCGTCTATTTGTAAGTTGCCAGAATTTAAATGGTCTATATTTATGGGTGTTTGCGTAACTGGCTTGATTTCTACCTTCTTTATTTCCTTAGGCTTCGAATTCTGTCTCGGTAAGTGTTTCATTGAATTCTTATGAACTTCTGGCTTTGAGACCCCCACTATTTTAGCCACCGCTGTGTCCAAAACCTTTATTTCTGGCTTGGCGATGTTTTTTGAAAAGTCTATATTTAATATCGGAGTGACGGGCGTTCTGGGCGCGGGCTCCGGGTGATTATTATTGTGCTGTAAGTCTACATAGAACATAGGTTGTTGCTTTGGTACAGCCACCTCTATTCTTGGAACTGGTTGTAGGGGGGTTAAGTTGTAACTCGTTGAAGGTTGCGGGATGTACGTCGGGTTGGCTGTGATCACACTCTTGTGCTGCACTTCATCTATCAATAGGGTTTCTTGGTAGAAATTCGCGGTCCTAACTGGTTTTTCGTCTGTCTTCTTGGTTAGGTCTATAGCAGCTTCTGAGGACACCACAGTTGCTGTGGGCGGTTCTGTCTTTGGCGTTCGGTTTGGGAGTTCCGTTTCCGATGACAGTGCTCGAATCGTCTCCCTTTGGGACTGGATTTGTTGGACTTTGAAGTCGGAACCACTAGAGCTACTTGAATCTTCTCTAACTATCCTACGAGGTGGGACTGTCATATCTGAAAACCTGAAAGTGACATTAATTCGTAAATGATTGTTTATGCTATGACAGTAGATGATCTCTGCAAGTCAATCGTAAGCCCATTGCTAAGGGTAAAGAGGTTAGACTCTCGGTTGGGCAAATTTAGGAACCGAATTTTTGTAAATTGTCTCGGGTCTGGGTGTTGACGGTTCCGTCAAGTGTCCTTGAGGATCAGGTGATAGGTATGATTGTGTAACACTTATTATGTTTAAGTTACAAACTAGGATTCAAGTCGTCTAATGGTATAAAGCTACTGTAGCCTTGTATTACTAAAGGTAACAGTCGGAAGTTACCAACCTTTTAGATATGATGATCTTGACACAGTAATGACGTCACCATATTTCACCCTTCAAAGCGGAATACACCATAAAAAAAGTTTCGCACTATATATTTAATTCTAATTTTTCAGCCCTATGATCCTGGCATAGAATATGCCACTCCTTCCTTTCCCGTGGGAGTTATCGTAAGAGGCGTCTAAGGGAGGGCGAGGGAAGGGCACCAGCGTCACCCATCTGCCAAGTGTGGCAACTACTGGCAAAATTCCTCTTATGGGGAAGGCCTATATTCAGCAGCAGACAGTTAAGGGATGATATAATAAAATTAAAAAATGCTAGCCTTTTAGGGTATCTTATCAGGACGTTTTACCCACAGATATAGGTATTTTACATTGCGACTGCCAGATAAGCCGCTAAATATATCACCATCATCTTCCTACCCTTATCCCAATTATTATTTGGGATCTGCGTAATATGGTTTTATCCATATTACAAAAAGATTTGGCTTTTAGTGTTACGACTGGCCGCTTGCCTGATGTCAACCCTCTTTGGAAATATAGCCGAATTTGGGAAACCGATAAATATATATAAATTATATATTACCTTGATGAGTTAGGCGAACTTTCGGCACTAACCATCTCCTTCTCTTCCGCTGCCGACACGTCTGGAATATTTTTTACCTGGAAATATAAAAAAATAAATTATTACTCATCAACGGTCTAGCTTTTTCTATTATTTTCATAGAGTCTATGGGTTCCATAGACTATATGAAAATGGCGTCCTTAATTATCAAGGATTTCTAGACCACCGTCGCTGCATCTGAAAACCTCTGACATGGTAAGCAAATCCCATAACTATAGCACTAAATATCAAGTTTCATTTTGTAGTTGCTAAGAAAAACCAAAACCTCATAATATCTTTACTTTAACAGAATAAAAAAAAAATAAGAAATTATCTTACTAATATTAAAATGTGAAAGTATATTAAGATGTTTGGATGTTTGTTACTCAATCACACTTAAACGTTTACACAGATTTGGATTAAATTTGGTAGGTTATCATCAACATTGCGTTGCCTTTTCCCATTTCTTTGGGGTCGATGCAGTATGTCTTCTTCTTACACAAATTCTTGTCAGCTGTCATTTCGGGATTATATCCTAACTTAATACATAGCATACTTGGTCATCATTGTATCAACCGTTACTAGCTTACTGCTGAACATAGGCCTTTCCCATAAACTGTTATGGGATACTTGCTACTTGCGGAGAATCATTCTTCACTATTCTTCTCATTAAATACTGATTTACGCAAACAAAACCACGAGAATAAGCTAGTATTTTTTAAACGCAACAAATATGTTTGATCAAATGATTTTTATCCTGTGACCTTCATGACGATGCCTTTGCCATATCGGAATTTTAAAAAGATAACAATGGGCAATGGCGTATAAGGTTACCAGAATAGATATGACGTGAATTACATGTTAATATTGTTATTATGTTATTAGCCAGTGCATATTAATTATAGATGGAAGTCAATCGCGTGATGATCCTTCTGACCGGATTATCTGTACGGTTGGGCATATTTCGAGACCGGAAAAATATGGCTGTGGGTTCCTTTATTTATAACTAGATATCCGCCCCGGCTTCGCATGGCTAAAATAGAGGATATATGTTTACATTTTTTGCATCAGCTTATTGCGTCGAGTATGAATTAGAAGAGTATAATAAGCTATCCTAAAAAAATAGATATATATGCCGTTGCAGAATGTTTTGTAGAGCTATAAATGTCGACCTCAACGCGATTCCCCCTGGAAACCCTCGTAATTAACTTTTGACGAATTCTTCACTATAAACCAACTGACCTGTTTCATTCTCACCCCAGTGTATGCCAGTAACACAGGCGGGGTTACCATTTCATTATCATCAATTAAAAAATATATTATCAACCCCATTTTCCCTTCTGCTACACCGTATTTTAAAAAGTAGCACTCACCAAATCCCTGAGAAAGTCGAACCTGGACTCTGCCAAGATGCACTGCTTCACGTGCGACGGGCTGAGCGTCTTCGCGTTCCGCGCCATGGTCACTTGTTTCGCCTTCGTGAGTAGTGACTCCACAAATAGCTCGAGGGTGCGAGGTGTAGTCGAAAAACAGCATTGAGTTAAGGCGTTTAAAGTATCAATTTCAATGAAATCCTACGCCCTACTAATATTATAAATGACATGCATGAGTCTTAGTTGTTTCAACATTAAAAGAACTTTAAAATTATTTACAGGCTGTTACAATAAAACAAAATGGCATAAACTTAAATGTTCCCATTAGTAAATAAATTTCGTATTAAAAATAATATTACATGAAATAATAAAACAAATTAATAATGTCAAGTCAAAAAACAAATTAACCATAAGTTTTTTGTACTTATTACAACTACTAATTGTGTGAGGATATCGCCCTCTGGCGTCAAGTGTTATTAGATACCACTGAAGCGATATGGTGTATGTTTTATCGTGATAAGTCATCTAAAAATTATCTATTTTATGATACGTACAAAGTCGCGGACAAACACTAGTTTCTAAAATTCTAGGCACTAGTCTCCAATGTCTGCATTGAAGACCAGTGGTTAGAAGCTGATGAAGGGTACTAATGATGACGATGATAATTACAGTTACAATTCGCATAATTATTAACCCTTCTTTGCATGATTTTTTTTATTGGTGATTATTACACGGTAATATAATTCATGTTCAAAATTAAAGGTAAAATGGTAAAAAAAATAAATGTGACAGCTATGTTTTTTTTTTTTTCAGCAATGGACATTAAAAAGGTATCCAGACACGATCAACTTAAAGTTAACTTGTTGTTTTATATAATTTTTAAGCATTCAGTGTTATGATGGAAATTTTCACCATTATGCAAAGAAGGGTTAATTAGTTACCTCATCATCGCCATTATATCAGACCTTAAGTGTCCACTGCTGAACATAGGACACCTAAGATTTTTTTTTTTATTTTAAAGGGAAAATAGTACATCACGCGTGCAAAATCGTGGGCGACAGCTAGTATAAATAAGATATAGAGAGATATGTTGCAATTGGACTGAATGATAATAAATATACACAACTAAATCTGTCATCTTATCTGACTACACTATGTGGGTGTATTTCATCTGAACATTTTTGATAAAACAATGATATCATGGCATGAAATTAAACTGTATAAAAAAAGCCCTTTTGTGTTACATTTATTACGATAAGACATTTAACAATTTATTAATTATGAATAAATTTAAAACTAAATTATTGTAATTTTTGTTTTCAATATTTGCACGCTCAATCTAAGTAGATTTTGTAAGGTACTTTTTAATTTATAAGATCAAATGTTTTATACCCAAAATCATTGCAAATAAAATTATTATTATTATAAATGTAGTCATTATTAATATTATAAATTTGTGTTTTTTTTGTTATTTGTTTGCATTGTAATCACTCAGCCAATCGTCATTAATCATCACGTGGACGAAGTCGCGGGTAAAAGCTAGTAGAAAGTATTATTGCATAAGTTGGATTTTGATCAGCAAAAAAAATATTCAAACAAGTAAATTAATTCTATCAGAGTTAAGCTCGCCTTTGTACTTTTGATTACCTCCGTCTTATTCTTATAACTAGTGTGTACAATAAAGAATTAAATAAATAAATAAATTTGGGACTGACATGGGATTTTTCCAATGGTATGAAAATAGAATGGTAACCTTCATTTGTGTTATCGATACATGCTAGCAGGGTACCAGAGGGATGATAGATGAGATGTTTGTTTATCTAGCATACATTTTATTTAAAATAAAAAAGGACATGGGCCTCTTTTTATCCCGAGTAAATATATCCCAATCGTGCAGAGGAAATGGCGGGTAATAACTAGAAAGTATATAATTAACAGGAAAGGCAAGGCCAAGCTGGTGAGGGGAAAGATTAGTTATGGGGTCTACAAAGCACACAGTTATGTTCTATCATGTTGACCTTTATGTGGTACCTCCTAGTTACTAATGTGGTTAATTATTTTCGAATTCATCAAAATGGGATAACTAACCTAAATTCATCTCATACCCAAAGCCAGTATAAACCGATAGCAAAAACGGTGTTATAGTTTCATTTTCACCCATGAAAGAACCCAGCTATCGCAATGCCAAAAGGAGTCCCTGACATATTAATTTGAGAAACTTTACAAGCAACATCTCCTATAAAGTTGGTATAGTCAACTAGATATACTGAAGGATTCTATAAAAATTTGAATAAAAAAGGAAACAAAGTTATGGATAAATGTAAAGCATGTTTAATAAATTCTAAAGGAAGTTGCTGGACAAAGTATATATAAAAATGTATATGAATAGTAAAGACTGTGCAATTTATAACTTTGATAATATAAAAATGAGACTAAATACTCATCTATCCTGTATAATGATTTTTTCTTAGTATAATCATTAAAAATATATAGCAGGTCTTTATTGACATAACTGTGTAAATTAACAAAGGTCTGAAATAAAAACTATTATAAATCATTTACCAGCACTTTGTACAAATTTGTTTGTTTTAGTACTTGTGTCACATTCGTATTTCAACTACGAAGCAGCTGTGTTTTGTTTTAAAGGATGGGATATTGCAGTGAATTTACAGGGTACAGAGGCATAACACCATATTCCTTAGGAATGGCAACACAAGAATAGGTGAAACATTATCCATTATGTCTGTGTCTACGGGTGGTGGTTACCATTTTCCATCAGGTGGACCATTCTAATCATAATCAGCTTGTTTGCCATTCTATCTAGCATAAAAAAATCATACATAATGCACCACAAAAGTCTAATGATATAAACATTTTTGTATTAATTAATTGTATACTATTGCATTTTTTTTAAATGTTGAATGGCAAATAAGCTGATGGCTCACTTCATTGAAAGTGCCAACTATCACCAACAAACATGAATTTCACAATATAGAATGTAATGGCTATAGTACTCAATAAATGTTATCACAGGTGAGGTGATATGCCTCCTTACACTATAAAATATAATTACTTTTGTTTGTAATTTTAAATAGTCAAATATAATAAAGAGACATGATAAGATTGTTTACTAAACATGCCAAATATAAAAATACAGATTAAACAAAGAAAGTTTTGTCCCATATAATTATACAACAATTTGTAAATACTACAAACAATGTACATGCAATATTAAAAAAGAATAAAAATTTGTAGTTATTATTTCAAATAATAAGACAATATTAGGTATTTCAGAGCTGCTTTTTTATTTTAGAATACCTTAATGTATATTATATTAATATTTTTTTTAGTATATCATAAGAAAATTATAGTCAATGTTATATCTTTTTAATAACTTAGGCCAAAGAATGAATTTATGTGGAGGATGATGGAATCCTAAATATGTAGGTACATTAGGTAATAGTAATAAGATTTAATCCACCATATAGTTAAATATATCTAGCTTATGTTTTCCTATGTAGCTTTACTAAAATTCATAGTATTTAAAAAGGATATAGATTATAATTGGCACGGCCTGGGCTACTTTCCCCACTTCCTCGTCTGTCTGCATAATCTTCTTAATTCGCCCCTACAAACAAACAAAATTGTGATATCACCTATTTATTCAAAATCGTAGATGAAAACAACACTCTTTTTTTCACTATTCCCGTCAATTAGAGTCTCTAATACACTTACCGCAGGGAACCTTGCATTGTATTTCCTTTTCTTTGATGGCATGGCGATAATCCGTTCACTTTAACACCAATTAAATAATAAAATAAGCTCAAATCGCCATCAGAGTGTGATAGTTCTCGCGCATTTTTGAGGTTATAAAAGGGAGACAGTCGCAGCCTACTTCATTTATATACGAATCTGACAGTTCTATTCTCCTCCATTACTGTTTTCCACTGATATGGCCTTCGTACAAGATCAACTGGTATTTAAAAAACAAAGACGAGTTCCATCTCCTATCTCTGTTTTGCAAGTGGTTATAGATAGAAAACTTGACAGTCTACGGTAGTTATTAACGTGTGTGTACTCTATAGCTATACGCACTGAATGTTTAACTATAACTAATCTGTGCTCGATCAAAACAGGTCAAAATGTCGTCTCTTGCAAGGTGTGTTGATTTTATTTTCTAAATTATTATTTTCTACATTTCAGTTTTAGATACTATTTAGTTTTGAATCTAATTATTTTATTTCAGTACTTTGGTTTGATATTAAATATTATATTATAAATTATAAAACAACACGAATAATTAAATTCTATACACATACGAAGCTGCTAAGCTTCAGTTTTCGGTTAAATATAATGGAATTTCTTTAATTTACAGTTTATTGCCGGCCCCCACACAACAAGTTTGGGATCGCGATGATGAATTTAAAGCAAAACGTGTCGGGAGCGCCCTGGTTGTTTCACAAAGTAGTGTCCCACCTTATGGACAAAGAAAAGGATGGGTACCCCGCAATGCAGAAGATTTTGGTGGTATGTAATACAGTATTATTCCGTTCTAAATATTCCACAAAATGTATAGTTATAGATAAGTAGTACTTAGTGCATTATATAGGAAGAAACTGTTAAGTCAGTATTACCTAGTTCCACTATCAATATATGTTGGCGGGTACTTTTTAATGGGTGATGTTGAAATAGTAACCCTGCTCCGCTATCAGTACACACTGGCGGAGCACCAGTAAAGGATGATAGATGAGGATAAAAAGACAGGTCTGTTAGCCCATTGTGTTAGCCCACTTGGTTTTCGGCACAATGGTTTCCCGGGGGACCATGTTTAGGTTGACCTGGTTGGATATATTGCTAGCAATCCTTAGTCTCTATTATTAACAATCCCCTCTCCCCCTGGCAGGGTAATAATGAGTGATTATAGGTAAGGATGAAATCAGACCAGTTGGCCTATAGTTTCCAAGGGGAATATGGGTATCCACTAATGACAAACTTGCCAAGTTTCTTGATCAACTGCATGTAGTATAAAGAAACAACATCCATAAATCCCGATAATTAAATTTGTCATGTATTATGCTTGAAGGTACTTAGAAATATCCCATTTGGTTTTATATTATGTGAGTGAACATGCATGTTCTCCCAAATTTAGCATTCCCTGGCTAGTACACATTAGAATTCTTATATAATTTTTTATAGATGGAGGAGCATTCCCTGAGATCCATGTGGCTCAGTATCCCCTCAACATGGGTGCACGAGGCAAGGAGAGCACATCCAATTCCCTTGCAGTTCAGCTGGATGAATCGGGACATGTGAAATACTCTGCTATTGCACGACAGGGGCACAGTGCCGATAAGGTTAGTTTTTTGTTTATAGAAAATCATTATTATCATTTCTGAATCACTCGCATGAAAATGTTCAGATAATATTATATCACTGTTAAGTTAAAAGTAAGAAGCTGTTTAAAATGTAAATTACCTAAAGTCTTTATTCATGTGTAGAATTATGTTTACATCAAATTCAGGCAGGTTGACAACTGCAGTTAGTTTGTGTTGTAAATGCAAATTGCTGTACATAATGCAAATAAATTATAATATTTATTTATCTATGTAATGTAATTATTCTTTTTTTCAGGTCATCTACTCCAAACTCACAGACCTCCTGCCATCAGAAGTACTTGCAGAGGATGATCCATCTCTTCAGAAGCCCAATGAAGAGGATATACAAGAATTGACAGAGAAGACCAAACAAGCCTTGGAGAAGTTGACTAATGCCAAAATATCCGCCGCCATGCCAGTTAAAGCTGCCCCGAAAGCTGTGAGTTGACCTGTTTAGGTTACTATACTACAAATATTATAGCATATTTAGCAATATAGGGTATATTGCTAAATATGCTTTGTCAGGTCAGTGTCAGGTCAACCTCCTACAGTTCCTCATGGAAAACATTGTGATTGATTTATTGTCGAATTCATCATGATGGGCTAACTGACCTGCATTTTCATTTTCACCTATCATTCCTCACTGGTACCACGCCAGTGTATGCCGACAGTGCAGGCAGGGTAACCATTCCATTATCTTCCATTAAAAAAATATCTGTACCGCTCTGATGTTTATGCCTTATGTATATTGGATTCCGCAGGACAATGATGTAGGAAAAAAAGTTCATCACTTATTTCAATATTGATCATATCATTCAGATATCTATATTTATATCAATCGGGCTCTTCATTACGCTATTATATATTGAATAACCTATATTTAATATATTCATTATAGAGCCAATATATAGATATTGTAACTACGATAAATAGATATTGCTATATTTTACCCATCCCTAATTACTAGGTGTTCACTGTTGATCTCTAGGATAAAGAACTTTTAGGCTAGGGAGTGGTGAATGGTATTGTTTAAATCATAAATTCTCAAACTATTTTGGCCCAGGAACTCTTTTTCTGAAATGAAATGTACTTTGGACCCCCATAGTCAATTACTTTTTATTTTAAAATGTATATTTAATTTTAACCAGGTATTATTTTTATCTTTAGCTATACAATTTTAACTGTCAAACATTCTATAGTTTTCTTTCAGCTTCTCAAAGGTTGATTGTAAGAGATCCCTCTATGGGATAAATCTGCCATTGTGTATTGAACCTTTTTGTCTGTCCAATATAAATTATAAAGATTTTATAATACAATACAACCATATAAACGCAGCTATTTCACTAATGGTACAGTGTTACTTTTGTAGAAAACTTCTGTACAAAGTCTCCTTCTGGTTGGGGTTTTAATTCGTGTTTTCTGTCTCATATATACTTTAACTTTTTTTTACTGTAAATTTCTTTTTGTCCCTTACTTCCTTATTCATGAAAATGTCAAACATCTCACAAGGTTTTGTCTCTTTTACTACTAAATTCCCAATTTGGTAAAAATAATAAAACAGTGTAATAGTTACATTTTTAGGTTTTAATTTTGATATTGTTATTTTAACCTTAATTTTTTTTTTATTTTTATACAACTTAGAATGGCAAACAAGCTGATGGTCCACCTGATAGAAAGTGGTAACCGTCGTCTATAGACATGAGCAGTACCGTGGACATAACAGAGTATACTGTTTCGCCTATGATACCCCCCATGTGTTGCCATTCCTGAGGACTCAGGTGTTATTCCTCCATACCCAGTAAATTCACGCCATGTCCCACCCTTCAAACCGAAACACAGCCATGCAAACACAACTGCTTTAAGCAACGTATGGCGCGGTTGATATGCTTATAAACGCCTGCAACACTAATGGTGTCACGTGCACGTTGTCGACCCTGAAGAAACCTTAATATAACCTTTTTGAAGAAACTTATACTATAGTCTCTAAAGAAACCTCTGCAAGGAGCTCATTCCACAGCCTAAGCGTTCTGTTATACCTATACCCTAGCACTGTACGGGTTTTTTTTTTATGGGTGAAAATGGTATGGTAACCCCGCCTGCGCTAACGGGATACGCTGGCGGAGCACCAGTGAAGGGCGATCGATGAGAATGAAAACAGGTCAGTTAGCCCATCATGATGAATTCATCAGGAATTAACCATGATAGTTTCCAGGGAGAACCGCCAGGAGGTCGACCTGGTTGGGTATATTGCTAGCAATGGGATTCTCAGTCTCCATTACTAACAATCCCTTTTCCCCCACACTGTACGGGTTAGTGCTGCGTTGGCGTTCTGCCCACCTTGGTCAGCATTTCTGCTCCTCTTGACAATCAATGGCCATTTTTAAGTGAGTCTGCCTCGAGCCTTCAAAGTGAACGGTTACCTAAGGACATACGCAACTATTTGTCCTAAGTTCTTTATTTTAATTAAACTATCGCGAGTATACCCAGTTTTTTTTTTTTTTTAATCTAATTGAAGAAATCCATATAACAGTTCCCAGGAGAAAATTCCTCAGAACTGCACTGTACATGACCATTGAGGTACATGACATGTGAGTATGAATTCCCTGTCGATGGTGAGCTGTGTGATGATAAAAGGTGGCTGTAGCTTTGTATTTATCATTATAAATACTAAGAACTTATAATTCGAGCGCGTTAATAGTTATCCAATGTTTTAGGCGCCCGCGCAGTACATCAGGTATACGCCGGCGCAGCAAGGCGGCGCATTCAACTCCGGCGCCAAGCAGAGGGTCATCAGGTATGTTCTTGCAATGAAGTTGCTCTGTCTATTTCTTCTACTAATTATTTACAAGGCACAATCGAAATAATTACGGTCCTTTCAATAAAGGTATCTTTTAATATAGTTAAAGATTATTTAAAAAATAAAATAATAATAATAATAATAATTCTTTAATAAAGGCAACCAGGGCCCACAAAATTTTAACAATATTAATTTGCACCCACTATAAATTATTATATCAAATTTTAAATTACTTTTTTTTACATTTATAAATAAATAACATTAACTTAACCTACTTTTTTTTATGTTAGCCAGTATGTGAATCATTCTGCAACGATTCAAATACATTTTGCAGTCTGGATTATTTAAACACAATCAAATCTTTCCTATTTATAATGTAACCCTCTTATTCATAACAAACTTATTTTAGCTAATAAACTGTTTTGTCTCTTTCTTTGATGTTAAATTCTTAATATATAATAGATTTGTGATAGATTTTAGTTTATATGAATCCTTATCCCCTCTCCCTGGGTTTTTGATGGGTGAAAATGGTATGGTAATCTCGCATGCGTTAACGAGATACGCTGGCGGAGCACCAGTGAAGGGTGATAGATGAGAATGAAAACAGGCCAGTTAGCCCATCATGATGAATTCATCAGGAATTAACCATGATAGTTTCCAGGGGGTACCGCGAGGAGGTCAACCCGGTTGGGTATATTGCTAGCAATTGGATTCTCAGTCTCCATTACTAACAATCCCTTCCCCCCCCCCTCCTCTCTGGGTTAGTATAGACAAGAACCTTTTTACTTATTATATAATGGTAAATTACTTATTGGAAAAAACAAATATGCCAAGTATATAATAGTATTATACGGATATTATTCAGAATGGTGGAGGCGCAGGTGGACCCGATGGAGCCGCCGCGCTTCCAGATCAACAAGAAGATCCCGCGCGCGGCGCCGTCGCCGCCCGCGCCCGTGCTGCACTCGCCGCCGCGCCGCGTCTCCGTCAAGCAGCAGCGCGACTGGAAGGTGCCGCCCTGCGTCTCGCACTGGAAGAACGCCAAAGGTGAACTCGACCAAACTCACTGTCGCCGTGTCTGCCCCGGCATACAATGGCCCTTGGGTGTCGTAAGAGACGGTTGAGGGAGGGCGAGGGATGGGCAACTGCGTCCCTCTTAAAACATCTCCGAAGGCCTAACTGCGGTTGTCAACTCATCTGCTAAGTGGCAACTACTGGCAAAAATCCCCTTATGGGGAAGACTGTAGTAGAAGGAAGTAATTAAATATGAAAAAACCTACTTCAATTCTGACATAACTAATTGTTTTGATCAAAACAACTAAACCAAGTTTGATAAAATTTCTATGGAACTAATCTGTAAGTTTCACATCTATCACCTGGTACTCTGGAGATGGTTATAGGCTACTTTTTCTCCCTGAACATATCTCGGCCATGAGAACGAAGTCGCAGGTAAAAGCTACTACATATATATGGACAGAATGCTTGACTACATTCTAGAAAGTTTATGAACGTGTTTGCTGCTTTATTACTCTTAAATGGCTAAACGAATTTGTATTAAATTTTGTACAGTGGCAGGTATATAACCTATGATACTTAGTATACTGATGCACGCGAGCAAAGCAGTGCAAACAGCTAGTCGCTAGGCGGTCTTATCGCTAGGACTGTTAGTCTTGTAAGACCGCCTAGTGACTAGCCTTTTGTAACCTTTATTTATATATTTTAATCTGTATTTTATGCTACTGTATTTGACTTGATTATATATTTTAAAAATTTTGGGGTAAGAAAGAGTTAAATAGATAATTAAAATATCAATGTGTACTTACGAATCTTGTAACATTAAAATTTATGTTTGGTTTTCAGGTTACACAATACCACTAGACAAACGTCTGGCGGCGGACGGGCGCGGACTCCAGCAAGTTCACATAAACGAGAACTTCTCCAAGCTGGCTGAGGCGTTATACATAGCCGACAGGAAGGCGAGAGAAGCGGTCGAGGCGAGAGCACAGCTGGAGAGGAGACTGGCGCAACGCGAGAAAGAGAAGAAAGAGGAACACCTGAGGATGTTGGCGCAGAGGGCCAGGGATCATAGGGCTGGTGAGTTCATTAATATGTTCGGAGGAAATAAGTATAACAACTAACTATATCTAATCACCACCGTACAACCCGCCACAAACTAAAGTTCCATCCCAATCATCTGGACGAGTGGCGGTCTTCCACCGTGCGTTTTTCAAGGCACTTTCTTCCACGCACAACCATTCTTTGGAATCAACTTCCAGCAGCAGTATTTCCGAACCGATACGACAACATAACCTTCAAGAAAAGAGTATATTCCTTTTTAAAAGGCCGGCAGCACACCTGCAATGCCGCTGGTGTTGTGGGTGATCATGGGCGGCGGTAGTCACTTACCATCAGGTGAGCCGCATGTTCGTTTGCCCCCTGTGTTGTAAAAAAAATCACATATATACAGAAGGTAAATATTAAAAATAAAGGAATATGTAGAAATTAATATATAAAAACGGAAATTAGAATTGCCAGAGGAGAGCAATCGAGATGGAGAGAATGACAGCAGAAACGAATGTAAGAAGTAAACATCACTGTCATGTCTGTACGACCAGTCTGTAAGAAAGAAAGAAGTGAAATATCTATGTACAATCAAATTAACCTACTTGATGGAAAAGAAAGTAATGATGTTGATATGTGGCTATGAAGTGAATTATGTACAATATTTATTTACAGACGCTACAAATTAATTATTTAATATCATCATCTGTTACATTGCCATGCATGGTGGTTGTGTTGGCAACCACAGTTAGGATTTGGTGATGTTTTAAGAGGGATGTTGCTGCCCATCCTTCAATCATTGAGTTCTTCTAGTCTCATTAATAGCTTCTTATAATGTTCATGGAAAATAAAGGAAAATGGTTCACCCATTCTATGTCTGGATCACACAGTTTCGCTTCTTGGCCTTTTGGCTAAGATCAAAGTATAGTATTTGTTCTTTTCAATTTAATATTTTTTAATGTGATAATATTTATTTATTTAATACTTTATTGTACACACTAGTTATAAAAATATGACAGAGGTAATCAAAAGTACAAAGGCGAGCTTAACTCTGATAGTTTTCTTCCAACAACACCCAAAGTGGAAAGAAGCATCAATGTCAGTGGATACAGCAGTGTACAATTTTTAAATAGACAAAATTATCTGATTTTTTTTCTCAAGAGAAGAGCAAAATATATATAATTATTAGCATTGTCAACCGTCCGTATTTCAAAATCCATTACAAATTTCAATGTCTTCTTGGGACAAGTCGTGTCTTGGGATTTACGAAAATGCATATATTTTAATTCTAAAATCTGACTGATGTCCGTAACTTCAAAAAGTCGAATCGTTATCTATGTTTAACTACTGTTTTGTCTCATTAAACGTGTTAAAACAAAAAATATGATTTTAAGTTCTAATCAAATGAAATACAACAAAAAAAGGCGGTGTAATTTATTTGTTACGGATGAAAAAGAGAAATGTAAATGTTGTTGAGTAGTGAGTAGTGAGTGATAGTCGTGCGGCGCGGGGTGTTGCAGGCATCCGCGGGCCGGAGGAGGAGGCGGCGGCGGAGGAGGGCGAGGCGCTGTCGGCGGCCGAGCGCGACCAGCTGCGCGCGCAGCGCCACCGCGAGCGGCAGCGCGACCGCAACCTCGCGCGCGCCGCGCCCGACAAGAGGTGCTGCCGCCGCCGTGCCATACATTCTGACCATCCCAGCCATTCTGGCCTCCCCAACTATATCTGCCAGCTTTTCTAATCATCTCGATTCGAGCATCAATGAAAGATGATACGTGAAAATGAAAACAAGTCACTTAATCCATTACGAATTCATCAAGAGTCAACCAAAATGGTTTTCAACAAGAATACTTAGAGGTCGACCTAGTCGCTAAATTACAATATCATGTACAATGATGACGGCTTAGAAACCCTTGGCGACAAGAGAGAGGGAAGGGATTGGTAAATATGCAGACTACCAGTCCCATTACCAGCAATATACCCTGTCAGGTCGACCTCCACGCGGTCCCCCCTGGAAATCGTCATGCTGAATTCCAGGTGTTTTCATCACGATAACCTAATAGACCTGCCTTTTCATTTTCACTTATCATCCCTCACTAGTGCCTCACATGTTGGAGACCATTCCGTTATCAGTCATTAAAAGGAAAACCTTGACAACAGGGGGCGTCACTCTCGCACAATTAGAAATAATCTGTATTTATAAGAATAGTACGAAATACATTTGCAACATAAATATTTTATTGCCTGAACAGTAGTTAATTTGGCCTCTGGCCGCAACAGAATATCAGTGCTTTGCTCTTTTGAGGGCGAATCAATAAATTGAGTTATGGCACACGCACAAAAGAAAAAATTGTACTTGGCTTTATGTATTTTTTTTTTAATCATATATGTTATCTCGCATTTTATGTATATCTATGTATATTCTAATTTGTGCGCTGTAAGTAATGCAAATAAACACCGTACAACCCGCCACAAACTAAAGTTTCATCCCAACCATCTGGACGAGTGGCGGTCTTCCACTGTGCATTTTTCAAGGCACTTTCTTCCACGCACAACCATTCTTTGGAATCAACTTCCAGCAGCAGTACTTCTGAACCGATACGACAACAAAACCTACAAGAAATAAGTATATTCCTTTTTAAAAGGCCGGCAGCACACCTGCAATGCCGTTGGTGTTGTGGGTGATCATGGGCGGCGGTAGTCACTTACCATCAGGTGAGCCGCATGCTCGTTTGCCCCCTGTGTTGTAAAAAAAAAAACTTAATTGAACAACACCCATACTAATTACGTTTATAACATAGTTGTTTTCATTACCAGGTCGAAGCTGGTGAAGGACCGTGAGAGAGACATCTCCGAGCAAATCGCGCTGGGGATGCCCGCCAAGACCAACCAGGGCGGCGAGGGCATGTTCGACCAGCGGCTCTTCAACAACAGCAAGGGAATGGACAGCGGTCAGTTGGATTCCATAATATCCTATCCTACTAATTTGTTATAAGACGCTGATAAGAGACATAAGAGATCTTTAAAAAAATTTATACATCTACCATAATTATAAGATGTTTCCTATCGTGAAGCAGTTGTGTTTGCATGGCTGTGTTTCGGTTTGAAGGGTGGGATATGGCAGTGGATTTACTGGGTACAGAGGAATAACACCTGAGTCCTCAGAGTATCATGGGCGTAACAGTATACTCTGTTATGTCCATGGTACTGCTCATGTCTATAGGCGACGGTTACCACTTTTCATCAGGTGGGCCGTCAGCTTGTTTGCTATTTTAAGTTGCATAAAAATATAAGGGATATAATAGGAGTACAATAATAGGGAGGGAGGAGTAAGAAATGATAAATGAGGATGAAGCAGATTCGTCACGACGGGCTAACTAGCCCGTCGTGACGAATTCAACAATAAATCAATCAATGGTTTCCAGGGGGAACCGCGTGGAGGTCGACCTGACAGAGCATATAGCTAGCAATTGGATTGCTAATCTCTATTAATCACAATCCCTTATCTTCCCATGTAATGACATTTACAAACATACTTTTGGTAGTGGAATTAAACAAAATAATTTTAGTTGAATGAATATAACATTATTTCATTCACAGGTTACGGTGATGACGAGGCATATACGGTATATGATAAACCGTGGCGTAACCAGGATTCCGTGGGCGCTCACATCTACCGGCCGACCCGGCACGCGGACAAGGATAACTACGGTGGCGACATCGACTCTATCGTCAACCAGCGCAGGTAATAATTTAGAACTACATTTCAAACAAGTTTATTGCATACTTGATGGCAGGAATAAAGACCGTCTTTAATAGCCTTAAAGCAATGATATTTGTAGAATGTAAATGTTTATTAATACAGTAATTTTTAAAAGAAAAGTATAAATAAACAAGTACAGAAGGAGAACAATAGAAAAAAATAAAAAAAGGTATAAGTATTAACCCTACAATGCATGATTTTTTTAAATCGTGTCAAAAAAATATATGTGGTTCTATATAGTGTCTAGACATAGTAAATGATAATAATAACAATTAAAATTCATTGATTTTGTAGATATTTAGTTTTTCAATTCTGTTCCATATGTGGTACTGTATGCATTAACACTAATATTTGGATTTTAATTAGGAACAATGAACATAATCATATATTTAGTTTTACATTAAGAATAGCTTTATTTATGAATGAAATTTATTAAAATAATTATTGTCTTTGTTTAAACACAACTTAACACAACACTTTTCGCAAAATATATATGTATTTCCTTTACATTGTGGATACTTATAGCATTGTCTCTTCTCATTCCATATAGGAAGATGATCAAATTTATCAAATCTTACATCTCGAGGGGGAAAGATTACTCTTTTTTTCTTCTTCTCGATCATGTCGTCTGTGGTAGAAGGCGATCTTACTCTTTTTCTTTGTAACGATGGACCACTCATACAAAGTCTTTTAGCGATTTCCAGTTTAAAATGTTTTAAGTCATTCTTCTATTCTCTTACCCTTTTGTGCAGCAGCCAGCAATTTATGGTGACAATGTCTAGAAAATGTTAAAATAAACGCAGATACCATCTTTTAGTATGTATTTTTATTTTATACTTTCCAAGAAAGAACTCCAAAACTGGCATAGTGAAAAAACTTCTACTTTGGTGTCATGACGTACTTGGCCCTGAAATGCTAGCTTGAGAATTTGTTGATTTTTCATTCTCATTTTCAGCGAAGGTAGTACCACAATTAGTAGAAGAAAATGATGCATACCTGGTAGGCTCAATATAATTTTAAGAGTCATTATCTTTATTCATTTGGTGCAAGTTTTCTCTGATTCTCGCCATGTTATCATCATTTTCCACACCCAAAAAGCCTTGACCGTCTGCATTCCCTGACGGTATACCTAAATACTGCTCAATCAACTCGTTAGATAATACCTTTTTCACCATAATCTGTAATAAAATCCAACCGAAACAAAATGTTAGAAGTGAACTAATGCATGATGTGCCATATCTGGTACTCTTAAATAAGTTGATATGTTAGAACATAAAACAGTAATATTTCAAAAAATTACTTACCTTCATTTAATATACACTATTTCCAATGTAAATGTATTTTTTCCGCTTCCAAATATTCAAAAAGCTATTTTTTTAAGAATGTTCGCGTCGATCTTTGAAATTGTGTACGAAATACAATATCAATCGATAGCTAACACGTACTGGTGACAATTGCCGTTACTAAACCGTTGCTAAATGTATAAAGATTATTCTGTCGGTCGACAAATGACGCTAGGTGTCTTTAAACGAACAGTAGACTTAATTATTTTATTTGACCAGATATGGTACAGAATGCATTGTAGGGTTAAGACGACATGTATGTGCTTTGGCGCCAACAACATTCCTTGCGATATACGCATGCGCGGCCTGGGCGCGCATACGAGTAGGTACAACAAACAAGCTGCGTTCGCGACCGGCCGTAATACACACATATATATATATATATATATATATATATATATATATATATATATATATATTTTTTTTTTTTTTTTTTTTTTGGTAGGCAGAGAGATGAGAGTACAAAGGGCTTTTGTCATTATACACTTACATAATTCTTCGGAGACTTGTAAGCGTTATATATATATATATATATATATATATATATATATATATATATATATATATATATATATATATATATATATATATATCAAATACACTTTTATGTCATTTTATTTCAAAGTCGTAGTAACTAGTAGTATGTATTTCTCTCTTTTCTCTTTCACACTTTACTAAATTGCCAAAGTAATAGAATATTCTGTCTTTTTCAAATGACTTCAAAAAAATAGAAGGTTCCCTTTTCGGTTGTATTTTTTATTATTATTTTTACTTAAATATATATATTATCAAAACTGAATCGGTAGTCTAGTTTTAAAATCAAAATTTTTGCCAAACTGAAGTCTTATCGTCATAGTCGTAGAATACTAACGGATCTGACGAATATTACATATAAAGATCCGTCAGTATTCTACGACTATGACGTTATGTTGAAATACAAAGTTTAAATTTTTTTTGTTATGCAACTTAGAATGGCAAACAAGCTGACGGCCCACCTGATGGAAAGCGGTAACCGTCGCCTATAAACTTTATGCGTAAATTTAATTTGTCATATTGTTTGCATTAGATTCGTGGCCGACAAGGAGTTTGCAGGTACCAGCAGTACTAACACGCGGTCCGGACCGGTGCAGTTCGAAAAGGACGCACCGCACACTAGAGAGGAACAGCCCGTGAGTATATTGCATTCACCTTTTAACCGACTTCAAATAAGGCCACAGTTATTAAATAAGAAATTAAACTAAATCTATTGCGATGAATGTGGTAAAATTTTTAGTACTTCTAAAGCAATAAATAATACATTACCAGAAGGAGACTTTGTACAAAAGTCGTTTGCTTGGCCACCTCTGTCCCAGTCGTGTTTCTACCGTGAAGCAGTTGTTTGCATGGTTGTGTTTCGGTTTGAAGGGTAGGATATGGCAGTGAATTTACAGGGTACAGAGGAATAACACCTGAGTCCTCAGGAATGGCAACGTTTGCCATTCTAAGTTGTATAAAAAAAATTCTTTAAATTCAGCAGCATTTTATCATTTTTTTTTATACAACTTAGAATAGCAAACAAGCTGACGGTCCACCTGATGGAAAGTGGTAACCGTCGCCTATAGACATGAGCAGTATGGTACTGCTAACTAGGCTAACTGATCTGCCTTTTTACTCTCACTTATCACCTCTCACTGGTGCCCCGCCAGTGTATACTGATAGCGCAGGTTACCATACTATTTTTATCCATAACAAAAAAAACTAGCAAGAACCCATAACTAACAATCCCTTTACCCCCTTACGAGTAGTTAAATGTAAATATTGTTTACAGACGCGCAGCCAACCAGACGCGGACTTCGATCCGTTCGGTCTAGATCGGTTCTTGACCGAGGCCAAGCGGGCGGACAAGTCCGGCCGCAAGCGGGACCACCACGACCGCCACGATCAGCACGGGAAGAAGAGGCGCGACTAGACACATTGGTTGGTATAGACCTACTATTTTTTTAATGGATAAAATGGAATGATAATTGTGGTATAGGGCTGGCAGAGCATTAATGAGAAATGAGAACGCATAGAAAAGATAGTTAAAGGCTGATAATGACAATGATGTTTGTGATACTAAAGGCCAATCAGTTTTGCCGTCTGCTTTTTGAATATATAGTTTTCCCAATGACTTTGACTGCGTGACTGAGATTACAAAGTAGTCTATGTACTTCTTTTTTCAAAATACTAGAGGGAGACTGTACAAAAGTCGATTGCTTGGGTACCTTTGTCCCATTCGTGTTTCTACCGTGAAGCAGTTGTGTTTGCATGGCTGTGTTTCGGTTTGAAGGGTGGGATATGGCGTGAATTTACTGGGTACAGAGGAATAACAACCAAGTCCTCAGGAATAGCAACGCATGGGGGGTATCATGGGCGAAATAGTATACTCTGTTATATCCATGGCACTGCTCATGTCTATAGGCGACGGTTACCACTTTCCATCAGGTGGGCCGTCAGCTTGTTTGCCATTCTAAGTTGTATAAAATTGTTTCCAAGAAGTCTTTTTTCTACATTCTTAAGTTGTTTTTATTTTTGTTCCAGACACTGGACAGCTTGTATACATCGCACGTTATCTGTATTGTTCATAGATATAAGACTGTAATAAATTTTTATTGTATGAAAATGATTTTTATGAATAAAAAATATTTGATGGAATGACATAAAAGGGTATTATTATATCAGCTGTTAACTGTCCTTTACTGAACACAGGCCTTCCCCATAAAAGAGGATTTTGCCAGTAGTTGCCACGCTTGGCATGAGGATTGGTAACCACAGATAGGCTTTGACGATGTTTATAAAGGGACGCTACTGTCCATCCCTTGAACATTAAATTCCATAAGTCGCCTCTTACGATACCTACCAGAAAGGGAACTATGCCGGGACCACACGGCATAAAAATAAATCGCCATCATTATTTATCTATTCTCTATTGAACATAGGTTTCTCCCATAGGCCACCATAAGGAACGGTCCAGTCCCACTTTCATCGACTGTCCTTGAGGTCGTCGATGTTGACCGATCGAAGTTGACCCCTGTCACTTGAGGTCGTCGCTCTATTTAGTGCGATTTGTCCTACAATTGTGCATGGACGGGGTCGCCACTCAAGAACCTTTCTTCCCCATTTGTTGTCAGTTACCAACCCATTATACCCAGGTGTAACCAACCCATTATCACTTCAACTTGCCTATCGTTCAAACTATGTTGGTCACTTCGAATATTGTGGATATCTTCATTTACGATTCTATCATACAAACTCCGAGCACAGTCTTTTCCATAGCTCGCCGAGTAACTTGAAAGATCTGCATACTGCCAACCGTATAGGAATGACCAGTGAAGATATGTAGCTGCAAATGAAATCGACTAACCAAGGAGGTCAGTCGATTCATGGAGGAAAGGAATTGTTAGTAATGAGGTTTAACAAGCCCATTGCTAGCGATACACAGTGGTTAATTCTTGTTCAATTAATCACTATGGACTAACTGACCTGCCTTCACCCTCACCTGTCATCCTTCACTGGTATGCCGCCAGCGTATACTAACAGCGCAGATACCATTCCATCTTCACCAATTAAAAAAATCACATAAACCTACTTTAGTTATTGAACCTGTTTTGTCTCTTTTGAGTTAAATTCTCAGTTTTAATATTTTCTCTCTCACTACACCGAGTTGACTTGAAGAGATCTCTTTTAAAGATAAGCCCACCATTGCTAATAAGTTGTTAAACTTGTCACTGTATCTTTTTATTTTTCAAGTGCTATATATAAATAATACTCATTAATTCCATAACAATGTGACCCATTCTGTGGTGCCATTTCTCTGAATTTATTTTTTAACATTATATTTTAAATAGATAATATCACGAAATTAATGTTTATGGGCCACCATTAACTAATTTTCCAATAATTTTGGCTTAAATCTATTAGAAAATGAGTTCATATTGGTATTTACAATAATTTTTTTTATGTGATATCAAACTGTATAGAAACAGGTTCAAAGGAATGGTGCTTCAGAATCGACCCCATTGGAATCATAAGAGTCGCCATCTCTAGTAAAAAAAGCCGATCAAGTGCGAGTCGGACTCGTGCAACGAGGGTCCCATACAAAATTATCAAGGTTATTTTTTTTGTGTAATAGCTACAAATCAAGGTTTTCGGATTTTTTCCTTCACTTGTGCTACATGACATTGCTTCTTGTCAAATTTCATGATTCTATGTCAACGGGAAGTACCCTATAGGTTTTGGTTCCCTTTGTGAATGTCAAAATGTGCGATATAAATAGAACATAACCGACCGTATCTGCTTTAAGTGATTGCAGATCTGACGGACGGACACGAAGTGATCCTATAAGGGTTCTGTGTTTCCTTAGGAGGTACGGAACCCAAAAAAAAGGAATCGGGAAATTGAAATAAAACTGTCACATTACTCACAATATTTACTGAAGTAACAATACTTTGTAACGTACATTTAAAAATATGCAGAAATTAAATACAACATGCATTGTGGGTGTACGCGTATCCGCCACCACTAGTGCGTTACCAGCGCGCGTGATGTACCAGGCAACTACATAAAAAAAAATGCATACCTTCACTTATATAAGACACTAGACGCCATCTTTACATGATATTCTGCCTACCGCACATACAGCTATATATCCATAGACAATTATTTGGGGCAATAAGTCACAAACACAATTCCACAGATCATGGAACGTTGTTATCTTTGAAGATGTTTTTTTTTAATTGCAAAATCCAATTTCTGAACGCGATCTAAACGTGAGATGGAGACTTGCGTCTCTAAGGCCCCCGGAACGTTAAAAAAATATGTGTAAAACATTCAGAAATGGGACCAGCATTACAATATTGTTTGAAATGCATTTTCGCTGTGACTAATTCAAAACTGTTTTAAGCACCAACATTGTTCTGTAAATTTAAGGCAATAAGGTAAAAAATATTATGCACAGTAGAAACGTTTGGCTAAATTATAATGCGATTAAAATTATATCTTCACATAAACCTTATTGCAAAATGCATCCGCTAATTTATTTGGGTCGAAACTTCTCGGTTCGTGGGGCGTCCTGCGGATAGCGTACGACCCGCGCCGCCATTTTACTTGTGTTTCAAGATGGTGGTTCTCAGCTTCTCGACATTTGCGCCGGAGAACTGTTCCAGGGTCTTCTTGTTCTTCACGAACACGAAGGTGGGCATGGTGTTGATGTTGTATTCTGTTGCAATCTCTTCGCATTCGTCCACGTCCACCTGTAAATAGAAAAAAATTTGATTATATTATTATTATTATAGCGTTTATTGAATTTATCAATATTTTTTTTTATACAACTTAGAATGGCAAACAAGCTGACAGCCCACCTGATGGAAAGTGGTAACCGTCACCTATAGACATGAGCAGTACCATGGACATAACAGAGTGTACTGTTTCGCCCATGATACCCCTAATGCGTTGCCATTCCTGAGGACTCAGGTGTTATTCCTCTGTACCCTGTAAATTCACGCCCTTCATACCGAAACACAGCCATGCAAACAACTGCTTTACGGTTGAAACACGAATGGGACAGAGGTACCCAAGCAATCGACTTTTGTACAAAGTCTCCCTCTGGATTAATTACAAATTATACTAGTTATAAAGATTAACAATATGTGCACAAACAAAAAGAATAATATTAACAAAATTATACAAATGTAAGACAAATATGCAACGGTAGGCGGTCTTATCGCTAAACAGCGATTTCTTACAGGCGCCTTGTAAAGTGAGGACCCTGTATGCCTAAACTAGTTACACCTGTGATATAGGCATAAGTGCTCTCTTTGTAAAACCAAGTTTAACATTAATCATCACAAGCATATACTTAATTATACACACACTTATTATTTCATCATTAATAATAATAAATAATTTATTTTCAGGTATATATATACCCATAGTTTAAAATCATTGCGATTATAGTTTAAATATAATTAATTACAAATTTTACATTATTATATTATACGTACATGCTATTATTATATTATTAAACCAAACATTAATAAAATAATATAAATAATTTTCCTATAAATTCTTTTGCCGTCAAGTATGCAGTGAGGTATACTGTCGTAACAATAGGTCCATTAGTTCACATAATTATTAAGCATTAGACGAGATTAGGAAAAAATTGGAGCTTATGAACACTAACGATGGATCAAAAATTTTGATACTTTGGTCACCTTATTAGGAATCTAAAGTATATTGCAGAACATTTCAGCTAAGCATCCAGGACAAGACTGCTGGTAAAAGAAGTGCCGAGAAGAGGCGGTACTTTAGACTGAAGAGCTTGCAGGGGTCGTTTTTTTAAATAGATAGATACTCTATATTGTTTCCTTTAAAAGATTACAATAGTAAACTTATTATAAATATAAATAATTACAAGAAATAATCACAATGAGAAAACAATGGGCGACCTTATCGCTAAGAGCGATCTCTTCCAGGCAACCTTTGGATGGAGAGGAGTAATTATAAACAATTTGGTGGGAGGAACGATGAAAAATTTTGTTAGTTTTAAATATGGGAGGTGTGATACATATAATAATTTTAATGGATGATAATGGAATGGTAAACTCCGCGGGCGTTAACGGTATAAGCTGGCGGGGCACCAGTGAGGGATGACAGGTGATAGTTAAACGGCACAATTGTTAGCCTATCGTGAAGAATACACCTGGAATTCAGCACGATAGTTGCCAGGTGGGGACCTCGTGTAGGTCGATCTGACAGAGTATATTGCTAACAATGGGACTGGTAGTCCCCGCATTAATAACGATCCCTTCCCCCCTCTGCAGAAGTGGTTTGACTGTTGTACTACCTCGTCCTTCAGAGTAGCAGCTTAAAAAATTAAGATTGCCCTCAAGTTGGCCAACCTCCTATAGGGGGGGGGTTGTATTGTTAGTAACGAAGTTCTAATAGTCCCATTGCTAGCAATATACCATATCCTTATCTTTGGAAATTGTTAGTTTGATATGCGCCAAATAAATATTTTTCTTTCTTTGTGTCTTCTTTCAATTTTCTAAATCGTTTTTTTTTAATGGGTGAAAATGGTATGGTAACCCCGCCTGCGCTAACGGGATACGCTGGCGGAGCACCAATGAAGGGTGATAGATGAGAATGAAAACAGGCCAGTTAGCCCATCATGATGAATTCATCAGTAATTAACCGTGATAGTTTTCAGGCAGAACCGCGAGGAGGTCGACCTAGTTGGGTATATTGCTAGCAATAGGATTCTCAGTCTCCATTACTAATAATCCCTTTTAAATCGGTTTACAACTGACGGAGTTGTGAAGTAACAAACACAATAAAATATAGCCAAATTGACAACGTCATTTTTGAAGTTGGTTAAAAAAATTATGACGTCATCATTATTATACATTGGTATTGGTATTTATATATGAGTATTTAGTTTAGGCGCGGTGACGTGTGAGCCTACTTCGAGTATCGCTTTCAATGTCATGCCGTGATGTCATTGAGAACAGAAATAATGATTGCATAGGTTATAATACATACAATATTGTAGAACTATGATTAGCCGACTGTGGACTGCATGGCTATTCAATTACAAATATTGATACTTTGTAAATATTGCTACATTACAGTGTGACCACTAGTACTATTTGTGTTCTATAAAAAAAAAACACATCAATTGTGGCAAAACCAGTTTTTTTTTAATGGAATGATAACCCCGTCAGCGTTATCGGTATACACTGGCGAGGCGCCAGGGAAGAATAATTCTTTGATGGTTGATGGTGGAATGGTAACCCCGCCAGCGCTAACGGTATACGCTGGCGTGGCACCACTGAGAGATAATAGGTGAGAATGAAAAGGCTGGTCAGTTAGCCCATCGTGATGAATACACCAGGAATTCAGTACGATGGTTTCCAGGGGAGACCACGTGGAGGTCGACCTGACATTACACACACACACACACGCACGCACGCACGCACGCACGCACGCACGCACGCAGATATACACATACATACATATATTACTAGCAATGGGACTGGTGGTCCGCATTACTAACAATTCCTCCCCCCCCCCCCCCCCGTGTGAAAGGGATGATTAGTGACGATGAAAAGGCAGATCAGTTAGCTTATTATGGATTTAACGATAAATTAGTCATGGAAACCATCTTTGCAGGGGGAACCGCGTGAAGGTCGACCAAGCATCCATATTACCTATGCCTAGTACCAATTGACTTGTTTTCAAATTCAGCTATCATCCTAACGCGAGTTTATAGCGTAGACATTATCATTCCATTTTTAAATATTAAAAATAAAACACTCAAGTCTCTAAGATAAATAAGGATCATAGATACATTTCTGAAGTGTCATGATTCATAGAGTAATCATGGGTTTTTACACTATATTTTATATGCGACTGTACTAAATCATTTCTGTATTATTACTATACGCTACAAACTCATATAACCGGTGTTAACGGTTCCGTATCAAACATTCTCTCTGTTGAAAGTGTCAAAAGACTCATAAATCGGTCAAAGTCAAGGTCCAATGACGTAATTTCAGAGTTCACTTTCCTTCAATTCATGGCATCTTTTGTTAATGTTAAAGAATTAATTTTTGACGGTTTACGTTCAGTTCTCACATAAGTGATAGTCCGTGTGGTCCCGGCATTGAATGGGCCGCCACTTTCCTTTCCTATGGCTGTCGTAAGAGATGTCTAAAGAATACATCACTAAAGCCTAACTGCGGTTGCTAACCCACTTGCCAGGGGGAAAGGGATTGTTAGTAATGGAGACTGGGAATCCAATTGCTAGCAATATACCCAACCGAGTCGACCTCCTGGCAGTTCTGGTTAATTCATCAGAAATTCAACGCAAATGTGAAAACGATTCATGGCTTAACATAGCTATAAATTTGATTATGTATTGACTGTAATTCTGCTGGACGTTTTCCAAAAAATAAAGAAATAAAATAAAGAAATAAAATAAATAAATAAATAAATAAATTCATCATGATGGGCTAACTGGCCTGTTTTCATTCTCATCTATCACCCTTCACTGGTGCTCCGCCAGCGTATCCCGTTAGCGCAGGCGGGGTTACCATACCATTTTCACCCATCAAAAACCCACCTGCCAAGGGTAGCAACTATTGGCAAAACCCCTAAGGAGGAAACTTATGTTCAGCAGTGGACAATTAACGGATGATAATGATGAAAGCATTTTTCAAATAAAAATTGACTTGTGGCAAAACCGAATTAATGAATTACATTTGATAAAATTTATACGGGGGCCAATCTATAAGTAAAACCTTTCGGATAAAATGTTTACATTTAAAAAAAAATACATCCGAATTGACAACTTTCTTTTTGAAAACAATTGTTTAAAAAAAAAAGAAAAAAATTTTCAATAAAATACAGATCATTATTGAGACATTTTTATCAAAAGCGTCACATACAACTGCTTCCCTATTGTTCTACGTTTTACTCGACTGAAGGTGCAAAAGTGCTGATTTACACAACACACTACAATGGTACAATTTACAAGGTGCAAGTTGTTAATCACAAAATCGATAGTAACTTTGGACTTTCATGAATGTAGGTCGTCACAATTACGCCGTGTCGTTTCGAGTAGTCACTTTACACTGTCGTTATCTTTAAATGATAAAATTTATTTATCAATGTATACGTGTTAGCTGGATTCATGATAAATGTGATTTTTTATGTATTATTTGTTATATTTTGTTTTTTAATGGATAATAATGGAATGGCAACCGCCTGTGCTAACGGTATACGCTGGCGGGGCACCAGTGAGGGATGAAAAGGCATGTCGGTTGGCCCATCGTGATGAATACACCTGGAATTCAGTACGATGGTTTCCAGGGAGGACCACGCGGAGGGACTGTTAGTTTACATTACTAACAAACCCCCCCTCCCAAGGGATTGTTAGCAACAGAGTTTGACAGCCCCATTGCTAGCACTATGCCCTATTAGGTAGACCTCCACGTGGTTCCCCCTGGAAACCATCGTGAACAATTCTTGTTGAATTCATCACGATGTACTAACTGACCTGCTTCATTCTCACCTATCACCCTTTACTGGTGCCCCGCCGGTGTATACCGATAGCGCGGGCGAGGTTACCATACCATTATCACCCATTAAAAAAAAAATCAACCCCCCCCCCCGACAAAAGTCGTTTGCTTGGGTACCTCTGTCCCATTTGTGTTTCTACCGTGAAGTAGTTGTTTGTTGTTTCCTCATTGGTGCTCCGCCAGCGTATATCGTTAGCGCAGGCGGGGTAACCATTACATTATCTTCCATTAAAAAGACAACCGCAGTTAGGGCTTTTGCTGATGTACGCCTTTGGTGAGGGACGCTGTTGCCCATTTCACGATCATAAAATTTTTTCGTCACCTCTTACGACACCCAGAACTACTCGTGTTATAAGATTATTACAAATACTCACTTTTAGTACGACAATGGAGTCAGCCATCTCGTTGGCGATCTCGTCGAGTTTCGGGCCGACCACCTTGCAGGGTCCGCACCAAGTGGCCATGAAGTCGATGACCACCAGCTTGTCGCCGGCGTCCGACAGCCGTGTGTTCAAGTCCTCGGAGTCTTTGATGTGGATCGACATAGTGGCTGCAAAGGAACGACCAGTTAGATGGTGTTGTGATCATTATAAACGTATACCAACCATCTTATCACAAGTATTTTTTTATGGACTTTAGGTTTTTTTTTTGATGGGTGAAAATGGTATGGTAATCCCACCTGCGCTAACGGGATACGCTGGCGGAGCACCAGTGAAGGATGATAGATGAGAATGAAAACAGGCCAGTTAGCCCATCATGATGAATTCATCAGAAATTAACCATGATAGTTTCCAGGGTGAACCGCGAGGAGGTCGACCTGGTTGGGTATATTGCTAGCAATGGAATTCTCAGTCTCCATTACTAACAATCCCTTTCCCCCCTGGACTTTAGGTTAATTCTTGTTGAATTCGTCACGATGGGCTTACTGACCTGCTTTCATCCTCACCTATCATGTCTCCCTGGTACCTTGCCAGCGTATACCAATAGCGCAGACAGGATTAACTTTTTCATTCATATCAGTCGTTAACTGTCCACTGCTGAATATAGGTCACCCCCATAAGGAGGGAGGGGGTCCTGTCAATTGTTGCCACGTTTGGCAGGCAGATTGGCAAGCACAGTTAAGCTTTATTGATGTTTTAAGAGAAACGCTGCTGGCCATCTTTCAACCTTTAAATTCCCTTAGTCGCCTCTTATGACACCCACATAGGAGGCGACTAAGTGAATGTAAAAGTTGAAAGGAAGGGGTGGACCAATCTATGACGGGACCACACGGCAACCGTTTCATTATCGGCCTAAAAAAACTGTCTGTGAACAAAACAGCTCTAGACAGAAGGCGAGCAAAACATTAACGACCAGCGCAACGCAAAAAAACAGACTCCGTCAAGGTTCCACAATAAAAGCAATCGATAGGACCTTGCGGGAATAAAAAATATAGACGGTTAGTTGCAGACGTTGTGGATTTGATGTTATATTTACCAGACTAACAAATTAAATTCAAATCATCTCTATTCAATTTGCAAAAGATGCTTTTTTAATTATACAGCACTATCATACGTACTTGTACAACAACTAGTCCATTACCCTAAGGTTGTCTTGAAAAGATTGCTCTCAGCAATAAGACCGCCTTACTGTACTTATACAATCGTATCGTTGTGTTTGTAAATTGCCTTGCTTATTCCCTATATTGTATAATGCAAATAAAGTATTCATTCATTCAAATAGCTCTTTAACATCGTAATTTTTTATGATCCTATTGCAGGTTTCGGAATGTTGTCATCCGCTGAGAAGAACCCGCAAAAAACTCAACAGTTATTCTTTTAAGTCTCTGTTAATATTATGTGTATTTATTTAAATGTATAACTAAAATTATGTAGTCATTAAAAACCCCGTGCATGATGGTCTAACACCATGCACGTTTGTCATTCAAGTAATCGTTTAGTATGTGCTCGTAATATGTTTTGCTAGATATTTCTAAATAACATTTTTTTGTTTATTAAAAGGTAGATTGAAAATATCCTTCAGTGTCTCATTATAACGCTGCTCATTTGCATAAGAACTGCTATTTTTTCTATTGAACAGTAATGTTCTTAGATAGATAGGTATTTTTTAATGGATGGTAATGGAATGGTTACCCTACCGGCGTTATCGATATACACTAGCGGGGTACCAGTGAGAGCTGATAAATGATAGTCAGGTCAGCTCATCATGAAAATTTTACTATAAATTAACCACGACGGTTTCCAAACAAGCTGTCAGTCCATATGCAGGAAAATAATGACTATAGGGAGACTTTGTATAAAAGTCGATTGCTTGGGTACCTCTGTACCATTCGTGTTTCAACCGTGAAGCAGTTATGTTTGCATGGCTGTTTTTCGGTTTGAAGGGTGGGATATGACGCCAATTTACTGGGTACAGAGGAATAACACCAAAGTCCTCAGGAATGGCACCGCATGGGGGGTATCATGGGCGAAACAGTATACTCTGTTATGTCCATGTTACTGCTCATGTCTATAGGCGACTGTTACCACTTTCCATCAGGTGGGCCGTCAGCTTGTTTGCCATTCAAAGTTGTATAAAAAAAATGGTAACTGTTAACTAGTTTTAAATAATTAGTTAACATGGAATACACTGTGACGATTAAAATATCCCTTATGTTCTACCAATCTTAAGGCCTAGTATTATATTTCCGTCCTCTATAATTTCGTTTACGTCCCGGCATAGAAAAGGCCACCTCTTCCTTTCCCATGGATATCCTATGAGGCGACTAAGGGAACTTATGGTGCAGAAATAGGTAGTAGCATCCCTCTTAAAAGTCACCCAAATCCAAACTAACTTTTTGACTGTAATTATTATAATTGTTGATGGTAAAAAAAAAATCTATCATGTAACGTAATTTCCTATCACAGATTTGGTTGTCGGATAATCCACGTGATAAAAATTGAAACATTTCAAATCTGATGGCTGTAAGCACACTGCGTAGTTTATAGTTTATGGGTGTGACGAGACAAAAAAAAATAATCTATGATACCTGTCATATATAATCTATATCTAGCGTGTAATCTACACGTAGAGATAGGGCACGCAATGATCTTACACGAAACTAGTTTTTAACCGCGACTTGGTCTACGTGAACAGGATTAAAAGTAGCCTTGTGTCCTTCTCCATTCTATATCATCATATCAGCATTTAAGCCTCCTTGGGGGGGGGGGGGGTGTTTTGCCAGTAGTGGCCACGCTTGGCAGGCGAATAGGCAACCGCAGTCAGGCTTTAGAGATGTTTTAAGAGGGACGCTGCTGCCCATCTCTCGCCCTCCCTTAGTCGTCTCTTACGACAGCCACAGACAAAAAGGGGGGGAGGGGGGTGGTGGCCTATTCTATGCCGAGACCACACGGCTATCCTATATAGTACGTGATTGATTAAGCCGTTTTTTTTAATGGGTGATAATGGAATGGTAACCCCGCCCGTGCGGGGGGAAAGAGATTGTTAGTAATGGAGACTGAGAATCCCATTGCTAGTAATATACCCAACCAGGTCGACCTCCTCGCGGTTCCCCCTGGAAACTATCATGGTTAATTCCTGATGAATTCATCATGATGGGCTAACTGGCCTGTTTTCATTCTCATCTATCACCCTTCACTAGTGCTCCTCCAGCGTTTCCCATTAGCGCAGGCGGGGCTACCATATCATTTTCACTCATCAAAAAAAAAAAAAAACCCCGCCCGTGCTATCAGTATACACTGGCGGGGCACCAGGCGGTAGGTGAGGATGAAGCAGGTCAGTTAGCCCATCGTGACGAATTCAACAAGAATTGTTCACGATGGTTTCCAGGGGAAACCACACGGAGGTCGCCCTATTAAGGTATATTGCTAGCAATGGGGCTGTCAAACTCCATTGCTAACAATCCCTTTCTGCCCTAATTAAGCCCATAAGTGGTAACAGACAGACAATATTATTTTTACATCTTTTTAATATAATTGTGACTAGACAATGTCTGTACATGGGAGATAAGAATAAAAAATAAGATGAGAAATCTTACGACCATTAGATGGCATCTAATGTTAATATTTACAATAACTTTTAAGACATTTTTTCTATCAGTTTGTTCCGGCATCACGAAAAAACTACCTACAGCAAAAACTCCGAAACAATTAAACTGATTTTATAAAATTTTGTAAATTTTTTGCAGCCCAGTGAAAATAATTCCGTTGGGAACAAAAATTATTGGATAGGTGGCGCTACGGGTCAAAACAGTCAGTTTTTTTTGCTTCATAAAAAAAAACACTAAATTCAACAATTTAAGGCAAAAGCAGTTATTTAAACTTAAGAACTAAACTACTAAACAGATTATGATAAAATTTCTACGGGACCAAACTTAAAGTATATCCTTTCAGATAAAAAAAGAATTTTACAAATCAGTTTATAAATGATAGAATTATAAGGTAACAAACATTAATAACAACACAAACGAGTTATGGACCTCTTTTTTGAAGTTGGTTTATAAAAATACTGATTTTTAAATTTTACGATTAGATAGATACGATAGATAGATACACTTGACGAGAAGTTAGGAGTTACGTGTTGACATGACACGAGTTTATAACTCGTGATTGAAAAAAGAGGTATATGTAAGATGATTCACATTTGGATCTCTCTGCCTACACCACTGAGATTAGGCTTGAAGATAGAAGCACCTATGGAATAGGTATTTAAGTAATCTTAGATATGTGTTGTACAATCTTGCATCCGATAATTATACCTAGTGTATGTATTATTACGTATTTTACATATGTAGGTATATAATATGTATATTTCCAGATCTTTTATTGCGCAAAAGAATACACTTCTTAAAGCTGTGGTGAAAAAATTAGAGAAAATTGTCGCCCTCTTTTTAAAAAAATAAATATTTTCCCACTGTCATGTATGCACATTAGAGACCTATGTATATTTGTAATGGAACATGCTAGCTATTTCAAAAGAGTATCAGACTCGAGAACGCGTATAACCAGACCAAATGACAAATTATATGTACCAAAATGCAGGTTAGATTTACATAAAAGAAATGCATACTGTATGGCTATTAAAGTTTACAACCATGTACCAAATTACATTAGAGAAGTAATAGCTCATAGTGTTTAAACGTAAATTAAAAAATTGGCTGTTATGTAATGATTTTTATACCATTAATGGATATTTTATTAAAAAAACAAATGTACTTAACAACGTATTTTTTTTTTGGTGCTTTTTGCTCTTATGCACTAATTAATACTCTCTCATAGTTCGTTAAAATTATTAATTGGACAACTATTGTACAGATTTTTATATTCTGTTTACTGTAATAAATTATGTATGTATTATATGACTAAAAAAAGGAAATACAATTTAGAAAATATAATATAAATTTCCCATTATATTAATAATTTGCACACAGATATAGAGGCAGAATGTATACGGGAAATTTGAATCACTTTTATCTAAAACTACCTACATTCTAGCAAAATAATTTCATTTCATATAATATTATTCTATACAAACATTTTGTACTTTTAATGAAGGTATATTTGAATACTTCTATTATAAATTATTTATATTTAATCAAGCGTAATTTATTATTTTTTTTTTTTATACAACAGAATGGCAAACAAGCTGACGGCCCACTGATGACTCACTGACGGCCGACTAATGGAAAGTGATAACCGTCGCCTATAGACATGAGCAGTACCATGGACATAACAGAGTATTCTGTTTCACCCATGATACCCCCCATGCGTTGCCATTCTTGAGGACTCAGGTGTTATTCCTCCGTTCCCAGTAAATTTATTAATAATGATTAAACACCACAACCAAACTTTCTTTTTATTGCCCGCTGGTGATTAACGCTCCTTTCCAGTCAGAGTTTGCTGGAAGAGAACTCATGCAGAGTTAAGCTCGACCTTTGTACATACTTGATCAGAATAATTTACATTAATGCAATCATTGTGTGCAATGAGGCATAAATAAATTATTATTAAAGATTATTGGATCAAAATCTTTTTCGAATTATACCAATAGTATAATATAGTATCAACGGTTTAACTATTTACTATGAAATTTAGTATACACGTATTATATGGGATGAAGAAGTCCATAGACTACCTTTATGTCAGTCAGTGAACGTATCCTGGTCACGCGGACAAAGTCACGGGTAAAAGCTTGTAGTACACAAATGATAATCAACCAATTTGCGTAGTATACATTACAATCAACTTTTCGATAGGTACCTAACCTACAATTAATCGTTCCGAAAGATAACAAAACATTGTGTCATTATTACCTCCCGTGTGAACGAAAAAAAAAAACATCGAAAACAAATTAAATACGTAGGTAGTTAACACTGAGAAAAACACCCACTTAATCACTCACCGTAAATTAGTCTTAAATTAATATCACAGAGATTCTGCACAATATGGACGTCCGCTCACTTCGGCGTCTGCACCTCAACTGACCGAAGTGAGACGTAGAACGTAACTTTAGCTTGTCAAAACGTATATAATAATCGCTAATCATGACGTACTAATGACTCACAACCTTGACTGCATTCCGGGTAATAGTGACGAAGTACAGAAAGTACAATTACAAGGAATATTTAGATAGGATACTAACTTATTGATAGATAGATAGATAGATAATTTATTTGCATTACTTACTTACAGCACACAAATTACAACATACATATACAAAAAAAATGAGATAACATAAACGATAAAAAAAAAATACATAAAGCTAAATACAATTTTCGTTTATGAGTGTGCCATAGCAATACAAAATGGCCACAACTCAGTTTATTGCTTCGCCCTCAAAAGAGCAAAGCACTGATATTCTGTTGCGGCCAATTGTCCGCTACTACGTACGTGTAGACTTCATAAGTAGAAAACCACTTGTAAATGGTTTATCAAAATAAAAAATACACTAGTTTTTAATTTAGACCTTAAGAAATACAAGTGTGCAAACCGCAGCCAATTTAAAGCAGCAGTTTTTGGGTGATGCTACAACAAACATACAGACAGAAAAAATGTCTAAAATTTAAATATGTTGGCTGTGAAAAGGACAATTAATAAAGAGTTATTATCATCGGTTTGAAGGGTAGAATAAGGCGTGAATTTACTGGGTACAGAGGAATAACACCCGAGTCCTCAGGAATGGCAACGCATGGGGGTATCATGGGCGAAACAGTATACTCTGTTATGTCCATGGTACTGCTCATGTCTATAGGCGACAGTTACCACTTCCCATCAGGTGGGCCCTCGGCTTGTTTGCCATTCTAAGTTGTATAAAAAAAAGATAATTTTGAAAAATGTTCAGCCATTTTCATGCAATAACGGTAGCAACTATTTATAAATATAAATTTGTAATTGTTACTGTTGGATATGAGCTTTTTTTATAAAAGGAGAGTACAAATTACATATGTTTCTAATATTATTGTATTAGCTTTTCACTGCGACATTATCCATATAATTGACTGACAGAGATAAAAAACCATCTATGTCCTTCACCATCTCATAGTATGTGTATACAAAATTTCATAAAAATTGTTTAACCTGTTAAAGCACCAAAAAATAACTGACTCTACTATCACATTTATAATATTAGTAAGGATTAATAATAATTAGTGACAAAAGTTCCATCAACAAGAGAGCAGCTCTTAAATAGGAATCTGAAGTAATTATCTACATACAATATAGGTAGATTTGACATATCATTAGAGACTGGAATAGACCTACATGAATAAAGATATTTTGAATTTGAATTTTGAATATGAAATGTTATATTCAAACAAAGTACTTGTGTCCGATGAAATAGCTATTTTAGAGTTAACCGCTCAAACAAGAGGATAAGTACAGACGTGTAAATTGGATTACATTATATTACTTCTGTATGATGAGCTTACTAAACTTATAGCCATAAGATACCAAATTAAATAAAAAAATGGTGCCACATGAAGATGCAAACTGGAAATTAGTACTAAACACACATAAGTCTAGTTAACACCGAGTTTGTACCTATTGCCAGGGAAAAAAATACTTTACAATGTATTTATTAATGTATGTAGTAGTAACATTGTAACTAATGTATAATATTTGTAAAAAAATGGCAATAAATATTATTATTATTAATCAGTAAGCAGTGAAGTATGTCAATCAACAGCCCAATAAGACAACATTCAAACTTATTAAATAACCTAACAAGAACAAGTATGGAATTAGTTTGACAATTATGTGGGTATACAAAGGTAGGGTACAGGAAACAATGAAGATATAGTATATGTAATTTTAGTATGTATGTATATCAATAATTAGTAGTACCGCATTCGAGTATTCTGACACTTCCCTATGGTTGACTGGGAGAGAATGCTTTTAGCATTAAGTCCGCCATGTACACATATTTGTACTAATGAATAAATAAATAAAAAAAATGAAGATATAGTCGGGTCAGTTGACACATTGTAATGAATATGAATTAAGAATGATGATTACCAAGGTAGACCAATATAACTGAACCAAACTAGCATGGAGCAAGAGGAGCATGGAGGTGCCTGCATTACTAACAGTTCCTCACCTCAAACATCCATACTGTCATAATGTACCATTTCCATGGTACTAAATTGATTTCATCAAGTTCTAAATAGGAGTTACTTATTCATTTTTATGAAGAGCTTACCTTCATATTTAGCCATTATTTATTTTTTATCAACTATATTTAAAAAAGAAAATATTTGATGAAAAATTAAATTTATTGAGTTCCAAATTTGATTGTTCAGAATCAAATTTAGAAGGATTAGTTTAAGCGCTTTTTGATTGATATTGCTGTAGTAACACTGTATTATTACACATTTCGGGTAGGCAGAATTTAGAATATTCTCACAACTTTATTCTAAGACGCATCATAATTACTTCTACTACTTTTAACGTTTGGAGTCATCTGAATCCTGAATCTTACACTACTAATACATTTTTAACATTACAATATAAGCAATACAACTTGCACTGCCTTTAATAGACTAATTAGAAGCGAACTATCGGAAATTTGTAGGTACTCCCAATTCAAACTATGGTCCAATAAATTAATTATTATTACACATGAAAATAAACATTTTAGCTTACTAATAAAGTTTTTATGGTAAAATCGTGATGCTATTAAATAAATACATAGTTATTTACAATAAACAAAAAAAAGTCAATTGCGGAAAAGCTATGACAAGGTCATTAATATTTGCTTGCTTGCTAGATATTCAATTTATAATTTATAATAAAAAAATTACAATCAACTGATATTCAAAATCAAAAATTACTAAAAAATAAAGTACTTACGGCTTGGACTTGATCAAATTATAAATTTTTTGGACCGGCAGAACACGCGGAGAACAGAATGGACGAAAGCAAAACGAAACGAGCGCTAGTGTCGCTTAATAATTGAATAATCGTTGTCGTAATGAATCGATTTCTAATCGCATTATAATTATTTAAACAATATTACTATTCAATATTGACATTAAACTTGTTATAATTAACAAATTAAATATAAACAAATTATTAATTACATAAACATTGCCAAATATTATTATATAGGAAAAATAAAACGAAGTACAGATCAATTCAATTTCTATGTCATTCAATATTTAAATTAATATTCTTGGATACAAATGCTTATTTCATAATTTGTTTATAAAATTATTAAGTATATTAGTAATGTAAGAGAGAAAAACGTAATATAATATAATTAGGTTAAAGCGAGATAGATATATAGATCTTTTAAGTATATATGCACTAGCGTCTCCAGTTTTCGAAGAAATTTCCCATTTCAATTTATAAACAAGTCAAAAGCGTAGAAGCAATTTTGTACATCAGTTCGAAATGATTCTCAAATCTCGATTTATGTGCGTAGAAATAGGTACTTTTTAGATTTGTAAACAATCCCTTAAAGTGTCAGTTTCAAATTTTAATGATTGCCATGTATTTTATATCGCATATAGAATCTGGTATAAAATTTTCTAAGAACATAAGATGTCTTGTTGCCCATTTTAGGGCATTTTAGAACCAATACAGGGGGAGGTGACCAGATGGGCCGTGCCTTAGAATAATCGAAGTTTTCAGCGACAGAAAAAGACACGTCTAAGATTATATATTGCGCTTTTTTATGAGACTAGGCCATCATTGGTAAAATATATTAAATATGACAACGTGTTCTTTGTTTAAAGAAGACACCATATCAATACTTTATTTTTTGTGCATAGATTTTATTAAATATTGAATAGTTTTTTTAAACGATGTAAATGGAACGGTGCATTCGCTTATGTTAACGATATACGATATCTTAACCCTGAATGAGTTAATGATGAACCGATGAGGACGTAGGCGAGTCAGCTGATCCATTGTGACAAATTCAGGAGTTAACCATAATAATTTCCAGGGTGGACTGTGAAGAAGTCGACCTCACGGGTTATATTGATGGGGATATCGAAAAGTAGCCACAGTAGTATCACTTACATTTTTTCTAAATCGGTGATCAGTAAGAATATAGCCTCAAAATATATAATTTGAATTTTGGTGCATATAGGATAGAGATGAAAATATTCACCTTCTTTATTGTGTAAATTTAAAACAGTCGTGATTGATTATGTACGAAGCTATTTAATCGCTCTAATTAGATCCCATTTTAGATAACTGACATTCTAAGAACAAGGCTTTTTGGATGGGTGATAAGGGAATGGTAACCCCACCCGTGGTATCGTATACACTGGCGGGGCACCAGTGAGAGATGATTGGTGAGGATGGAGCAGATCAGATAGCCCATCGTGACGAATTTAACAAAAATTATTTCGATGGTTTTCAAGAGAAACCACGTGGAGGTCGAACTAATTGGGGTTCATTGCTAACAATGGGGCTGTCAAACCCCTTTTGCTAAAAATCCCTTTTCCCCCAGAAACAAGGCATTACATAGAAGGAATGATAAAATAAAAATTGGAAATCATATGGTTGCCTCCTTCCTTCTTATACAAATATAATTAGTAAAAAGAGGACGAAAGATACATCATCAGTTGCTATTTATGTCAATTCATAGCAGGCATGTATAGAAAATGTTATACGGCCGTATAACCCTACCAAATTCAGATACAGCCTGCTTGCGTACTTTCTAAATAAACTGTGTCGAATATATAATCTAGTAATAGAAATGAACAAAAATTTTTCATACACATTTTCTATATACTAAGCGTTTTTATATATCTATCTCTTTCTTACATTGGTTATTATTGGTACATACACAACAAGCAACACAACATGTATAGATTTTAATAGTCCATCTATTCTATTTCTATATCTTTGATTCGATTTTTGTTTAAGTTCGTTACATTCAGTTTCATTTTTCAATCAGCTTCATTTGAAATTAAAGTTTGGTCCTAAGGTTCGTTCATTCATTTCAGGGAGTCTACCAAGAAATGAAATTCCTAATTTTCGGAGTCAATTTCGAGTTTTTGTTCATACCGTAATAGATCTAGTAAATGGAACTTAACATTTCGTTCGTTATAAATCCTGTCATAAAAGTTCAAAGGAACAATATTTTATTTATATTTTTAAACGGTGTGTATTATGTAATTTTAATTGTGTTTTTCGGAGTGAAATTTCGGAAAATATTTCATGGTAGTCCCTTAGATTAAGAACAAACTTCAATTTTGTTGGATTTGAATCTTTATTGCCAGATTGTATAGTTTTACCTAATTTTAGGTAAAATATTTCAATTCCCTAAAATTTAGGGAAATGAAATTTATCGAGAAATTTTTAAAGAAAAGTGAAATGGGTTTGTAAAATTCTGATAATTTTTTTGAGGTTTGTTAAGTGTATAGAGGTATATAAATAGAGTAAAATATGAATGAAGGTAGCAAAACAGAGATTGGGGTAAGAAAAGGAATGAAGTCGCAGTAGAAATAAAAGGATTGGCTAGTTTCTTTTCGTAGTAGTTATAATTTTATAACAGGGTAAAAGTTTTAAAAGAAATGTAATAAAAATATTTGACGTTTGGGTAAAAATTAAAATTCGCATCTGGCTATCCTAATTCTAATTCTACAGTCAGACAGTTTCAGTTTTGTAATTTGAATCACTTCATTCGCTTGTATAATTATTTGTATCTCTGTCGGAAAGAAAAGTTTGATTCATTTCGTAAAATTTGTAAAAATGTCTACCGATATTAATGAAATCGGATCTCAAAAAGTGAAAAGCGTTATCACAGGGGAGGTAAGTAAATATTTTTCGATACATACTTATTCTTACAATTTAAAAATTAGGCCTTTTGCAAAATAAGTTTGCGGAAATAGTAATTTTGTTTCTAAAGTCTTAAAAGTCTCTTGTATATTCATTGATCATAGCAATTTAATAAAATTATTTCTGCGCATATAAAAATCAAAACCGGTTTTTTTATTACATGCATGCACGCAACGATGATCGTCACTCGAGTGTGAATTTTCAATTGCACAATATTTTTTGTATCTCTTTTTAAATGTCGATAGAGTAAATCTGATTTGTTTTACAAACTGCGTTTATATATAGATGAATTATTATTACAATAAATCCCTAAATACTTAAAAAGGTAGGCGGAGAAAAGTAATTTAAACTTTTCATACAAGAGATTGTAAATAGAAAAGTATAATTATTTTTTAATTGCATTAATTATTTGCATTAAAATCTACGAGTTTTTTTTAATAATTAAAAGGCACTATTATGGGTGTAATTGAGTAATATTCAAACAAATTTAATATTTTTCAATTATTTTTTCTAATTACGCACATATGTTGTATAATAATAATAATAATAACCTCGTGAAAGCCGAAACCGAGAAGAAGAGAAAATATCTCGACCTGGCTCACGAGGTGACCGAAATGTGGGGGGTGACATCTACCGAAATCATCCCAATCGTTATGTCGGTGAACGGTCTTATCCCAACCAGTCTGGAACAACATCTCAGACGGTTGGGATTCCGAGGCGGCTCACTCCCGGGAAAGATGCAGAAAGCGGTGCTCTTAGATTCTGCCCGCATTGTACGCCGGTTTCTCTCCCTGGGGCCCTGAACCCCGGCCGACTGTGCTTCTGCCGGGGGTTAGTTGCCATCTCCTCTCCTTAAGAGGGGAGATGAGAATTTTGGTAAAATTTAAAAATAATAATATAAGCCTTTATTCAGACATTTTTTTTTTAAAACAACTTATTATTTATTTAATTACTGTTGTCTGTTTGCTTATTAGCGAAGGCCTCCTCCAACTGTCTCCAATGGTCTCTATTACTAGCAATTCTTGTCCAAATACCCCCTGCTTCAGCCCTAATGTCATCTACCCATCTTCTATGTGGTCTTCTTCTTCTCCTTTTTTTGTCTTTCGTGTACCAAAACATTATCTTTTTACTCCATTTATCTCTCCCTCTAATTGTATGCCCTGCCCATTTCCATTTAAGTTTTTTTAACTGTGACTGTGACATCTTTAGTTTTTATGTGTTTTTTAATTGTGCTAGTTTTAATTCTGTCTGATAATCTTATCCCCATCATACTTCTTTCCATGGCATTCTGGCAATTTTGTAGTTTTTTAAAGTGGGATTTGGTAGGAGCCCAGGTTTGGCAACCATATGTAAGAACTGGTAAAATACAGGTTTCAAATAGTTTACCTTTTAAGGCTGTGTTTGTCATTTTGCTTTTAAGTATTTCCTTTAGACTCCAAAATCGTTTCCAAGCATTTCCTATATGTTTTTCAATCTCTTTTGTAGTTAAGTCTGTTGGTGAAATTATTTGACCCAAATATACATACTCATCATCTACATATTCAATTTTTTTGATGTAAAAAAAAAATAAAAAAAAAAAAAAAAAATTAATATATGTTGTATAGTTTTGCGTATATAATGTGCAATTTTTATTATTGACATGCAAATATTATGATAATAAATATTAATATTTTTTTACAAACCTCTTCCATTTAAAGGTTTATTACTATTATATATTTTTGTGATATTAAAAAATGGTAATATTATTATTGGCTGGCCATTGTATGATGAACTTTTTTTACATTATTGAATAAATGAATATGAAATTATAGCTGAGTGTAAAATTGAATTGAAAACACTACAATGGTAATAGGAAAAGGAAAGTTAAATTTAAATTCTTTATTTTAATCTGTACAGTTTTTATATTTGTCCATCCATTCATTACATAGATAGGTATAACATGCTTATTAGGGATAGGTAATATCAGTACAACTCCCATATATATATATTGGATTCTTCTGGACATTGATAGCGGAGAAAAGGCCGTCACCCATTTCGCTTGTCTATTCCCATTAGGTATCTAAATGAATTTTGAATGGGTTTTTCATTTCAACATTATCTATTGGATAACTGATATTTAGTATATCCATTATTTGGCCAATATATAGATATTGTTGCAGCCGCTTTGACCAGTTTTCTCACTGGCCGCTAAGACATTCTACAGACAAAACTGATGGCCTTTGAAAAAACAAATGACTGGTTCCGAAAAAAAGACAGACAATTTTGATATGACAAGTTTGCTTTTATATTTTAAATACTTTAGACAACTAAATTCTGTCCCTCGACCTTCCAACTTTCAACCTTTCAGATGATGTAACTAATATATATATATATATTACTATATAGTACCCATCTATAGTGCTTATACATAACACATACAATATAAACTACTATTGCTTAATTTTACCATGCATCTGCATAAGCCACAGTAGGTGTTTATTATTAAAATACATGCTTACATGTTGTTAATGTTATAAATGCTTGCCAATATACAGTTTGTTAGTTGTTATGGTAAGGATATGCTTATTACATAAAAATCATATTATATTTTATTGATTATTTAATCATATTATATATTTGTATATTGGGTACAGCTATTTAAATATTATTATTTACTATATATAGTATCTAATATTACTCAGTTCCCCCTTGTTGCGACCTCTTTGACCGGTTTTCTCGCTGGCTGCTAAGATATTCTACAATTAAAAACTGACAGCTTGGGACAAAACAAAAGGACTTGGACAAAAAAGACTGAAAAGTCATAATTTTGATGACAAATTTGCCTTTTAATTTTTAATACATTTTGACAACAAATTCGGACCTTTGACCTTAAAAGAGGTCCATCGACCTTTAATACAACCTTTATTACAATAATAATTTCCGTTAAAAGAAACAAAAATTATAAAAAAAAAATCAGTAATATCCTTCATAAAAAAAATAATTAAATTACCATTACCATGCAGAATTATTAATAGTTACTTAATGTTATATATTTATAATCAGCTTATGATAAGAAGTTAATAATATGATTGCCTAGTAAAAATTCCTTTCTATCAGTCCTCTAAGTTCAATAGACATGTTTAGGCACAGCGATTTGTACTGAATTGTTATAATTATGGACATGCAGAATCTATTGAATGACTAGTTATTTCTTACACTGTGTAATTAGTAAAAATTTATAGGTGTGTATATTTTCAGTCCACAGAGCTGAGAAGTTTCTGGCAAGATCAGAATGTGGTCATCATATTCTTCCGTCGTTGGGGCTGCTTGCTTTGCAGGCTGTGGGCTAGAGAGGTATAGTAGTTTTATATACACAAATACTGTCGGAAATATTGCATAGTGTCGTCTAGCCCTAAACTGAACAGAGTTTATACTATGGATACTAGATAACTGATAGAAATCAGTGTCATATCTGATATGCCTAATTTTTACCCCCTTTCGGGGGGGGAGAGGTTCGTAAAGACATATCTTGGAATGGGTACACATTGATTAATCCATTTGAATCCTAAGATTTTTCTAAAGGCCCACCGTGAAAGTGGTAACAAGCGCTTATAGACGTGAGCAGTACCATGGACATAACAGAGTATACTGTTTCGCCCATGATACTCCGCATGCGTTGCCATTCCTGAGGACTCAGGTGTTATTCCTCTGTACCCTGTAAATTCACGCCATATCCCACCCTTCAAACCGAAACACAGCCATGCAAACACAACTGTTTCACGATAGAAACACGAATGGTACAGAGGTACCCAAGCAATCGACTTTTGTACAAAATATCCCACTGGTAAAAATATTGCTACCATTGGGACAGCTAATTCCCATTACAAACAATCCTTCCCCCCTCATTTGCTCCGTGTAATACAGTATCGTCTTACACTGTGCTACCTTGTACGGGGTCGTCACTCGAAAATTCTTATTGTGTATGTTTAATTTTCAGTTGGCTGAAATAGCTCCTGTACTGCAGAATAATAATATCAAGTTGGTAGGCGTGGGCGTCGAAGAAGTTGGCAGTAAGGAATTTGTCGATAAGAAATTCTTTGATGGAGGTATTACAGTTTTTTATTATCTACTATTATAAATGCTCCCCGTGTGGTCCCGGCATAGAATAGGCCATCCCTTCCTTTCCCGTGGGTGTCGTAAGATTAAGATTAAGTGAGAGAGAGGGATAAGCAGTAGCGTCCCTCTTAAATCATCTCCAAAGCCTAACTGCGGTTGTCAATCCGCTTACCAAGCATGACAACTACGGGCGGAACCCCTAGGGGTAGACTTATGTTTAGCAGTGGACGGTTAAAGATTGATATCTTACCAGAGGGAGACTTTGTACAAAAGTCGATTGCTTAGGTACCTCTGTCCCATTCGTGTTTCAACCGTAAAGCAGTTGTGTTTGCATAGCTGTGTTTCGGTTTGAAGGGTGGGATATGGCGTGAATTTACAGGGTACAGAGGAATAACACCTGAGTCCTCAGGAATGGCAACGCATGGGTGGTATCATGGGCGAAACAGTATACTCTGTTATGTTCACGGTACTGCTTATGTCTATAGGCGACGGTTACCACTTTCCATCAGGTGGGCCGTCAGCTTGTTTGCCATTTTAAGTTGAAAAAAAAAAGATATGATGATGATAACCACCGTTACTTTTTTTATGGATGATAATGGAATGATCACCCTGTCTGCGCTAACGGTATACACTGGCGGGGCATCAGTGAGGGATGATAGGTGAGAATGAAAAGGCAGGTCAGTTAGCCCATCGTGATGAATACACCTGAAATTCAGCGTGATGGTTTCCAGGGGGGACCACGTGGAGGTCGACTTGATAGGATATATCGGTAGCAATGGGACTGGTAGTCCGCATTACTAACAATTCCTTACCCCTTACTAATATTATTTTAGATTATTACGGATACAACGGAAGAAGTCGCGGACAAAAACTAGTAGCTAGTGTTTTTTTTTTTAATGGATGATAATGGAATGGTAACCCCACTCGCGCTATCGGTATACACCGGCGGGGCACCAGTGAAGGATGATAGGTGAGGATGAAGTGGCCCAGTTAGCCTATTGTGACGAATTCAACAAGAATTGTTTACGATGGTTTCCAGGGGGAACCACGTGGAGGTCGACCTAATAATGCATATTGCTAGCAATGGGGCTGTCAAACTCCATTGCTAACAATTCCTTTCCCGCCAGTAGCTAGTGTTGTATGTCTGTCTTTAAATAGTTATATTAAACTGTCGATAAAATAAATCAATGATAATTATTCTTTCAGATTTATATTATAATAATTATGATAAAGAGATTATTTGCTCTGATAAAGTATCTGTTAGGTAATAAATTATTTTTGCAGTAGAATATTACTCACAGATATATTTTGTACTTACTCGTACTAGATAAAAAGCGAGTGGGCAAAGTTCAGTCACGTATATAGTTCGTAGCTGTTTACTACGCGTTAGTTTTCGCTGAAATTTGCGAATATCTAGAAATTTCTATATCAATTTTCTTAGTGTTGCCACATATAATAATAATAATAAAACACTTCCTATTTACATTGTTTTTAACTAAATTCTAAACGTTTAAACATGACATCTGACTTGCGCCATCTACCTTTCTCTCTGTATTTATCTACTATTTACGCCAGATTGTCTGTAAGAGATTGCTTCTAGCGATAAGACAGCCTTTTGTATATGCACATTCTGTATATATACTCCTTGTATACATCTCTACTGTGCGCAATAAAGAGTTTATTATTATTATTGCTTAGTCGGGTGTATTTTTGAGGTTACAAGGGGAAAAAATGTTAGGACACTTGATACGACACGACGAACTTATGAACATTATAATAGAAGGCAAGATAGAAGAAAGGAGGAAGGGGAGACCAAGGCTTGGTTAGATTAGGTAGATCAAGATAAAAGTTGGTATCGTGTCGTATCGAGAGGTGAAGTTAGATATAGTACATTTAAATAAATAGACATAATGTTAACAGAGATTTAAAAGAGCTTGCGGGCTCCTCTCAACAGATAACTTTCCGAACCCTGCATTTATTAAAAATTACCATTTAAAAGTGATTGTAAATAAGTTTATTTGAATAAAGATGATTTGAATTTGAAGAGACTCGATGAAAATCGTAGTGAGGAGTAAGAGCTCCACCGACAAGAGTTGTAGCTCTTGAATGGAATATACAAGTCAAGTTGGCCATCCTTGGTATAGAGGATGGTAGCGACTTGCACTCCATCCAAAAAGAAACAGCCGATGCGGCGAGCCGTTCAGGCCCCCTCTACAGGCCGCGGGAGAGAGGAGATGGACCCGGACCAAGGTCCAACGTCTCACTCCAGCGATCAGGGCGGCTAGCCGCCGTTTGCCAAAGGGCTGGGGTCCCGACCGCGGGGGCGGTCCCACCCCAATTAACATGGCCCTGGGAAGTCGCGCGCGTATCCCCGCGCGCTTCCCATTGAAGAATAGGCGGGCGCTTAACATCAGGTGCCTGCTCCATATTTGAGTCGGGGCCCGCAAGCCGGTGCGGGCCAACGAAGTTGGGGCTCGGTGGATTTCGAAAGGGAACCCGGGTCCCCAACACGCGCGTGTGGCGAGGGATGCCGTGGTGGTTTTAGCCGGTAGGAGTCCGGCAGTACTCCCCCGGGGCTTATGGGTCTGCATGAGGCATTTCCCCACGATAAAAAAAAAGAGGATGGTAGCGAGTTCCATTACTACTGTTGGCCAGCTTGTTGGACAGAATTATTATTGTTGGTTTAATTTTGATTGTGAAAAATTTGGTTCTAGAATCATTACCAGGTATACGATCAAGGTTAAATGTCTGTTAAGGTTTGGTCCAATCGATATTTTATTGTGAACCAATCATATGTTCACAATTATATTACTAATTGTAGTCACAGAATTGTAAATAATTGCACTATTGTTTTATAAATCAGCATCGATCCTGTAATTTGTAGTAATAGAGTCAATTATAACAAAATTGTGGGTATTTTTAAATAATTCTTCATACAATTTAAATTTGTTTGATAAAATAATTGTCCCATTGAATTTGTACTGTGGTGTTTTCGATAAAATTTTCAGTAACAATTATTCGATACCGAACATTTAGGTTTTTTTTATACAGTTTAGAATGGCAAACAAGCTGACGGCCCACCTGATGGAAAGTGGTAACCGTCGCCTATAGACATGAGCAGTACCATGGACATAACAGAGTATACTGTTTCGTCCATGATACTCTTCGTGCGTTACCATTCCTGAGGACTCAGGTTTTATTCCACCGTACCCAGTAAATTCACGCCATATCTCACCCTTCAAACTGAAACACAGCAGGGAACTTGTTAGTAATGGAGACTAAAAATCCCATTGCTAGCAATATACCCAACCAGGTCGACCTCCTCGTAGTTTCCCCTGGAAATTATCATGGTTAATTCCTGATGAATTCATCATGATTGGCTAACTGGCCTGTTTTCATTCTCATCTATCACCTTTCACTGGTGCTCTGCCAGCGTATCCCGTTAGCGCAGGCGGGGTTACCATTCCATTGTCATCCACCAAAAAAAAAACCCATCTGTCGATCATTTAGTTCTTTTAATCGTCTCTTATGATTGGGAAAGGAAGGGGTGGCAAATTTTATGTTCGGATTACAGGACAAAACCTTTCTTTGTATTTTTTTTTAACAATGTTCGATGTATCTATTACAGATCTGTACTACGTAGAGAACTTATCAACGTATCAGAAGCTTGGCTTCAAAAAGTTTAATGTGGTGAGCATCATATCGTCGCTGTTTTGGAAGCAGTCCAGGGATGCCATATTCAAAGGCCAAGGCATGGGTGAGTGTTTTGTTACAGGCCTTTATTTAACACTAGTTTTTTGTCCGTTACTTTGTATGTATGTAGTTAGAAAAACTAATGAACAAAATTATGGCGTATCATACACATAACGATACGTAAGATATAATATATCAGTTTTTACGTAAGGCCTTCAGGAACAGACCTGTGAAAACCGCATCCCATTTGGTACAGTTTTTGTTTGATACCGGAACGAATAAATAGATAGATTTTTTAAAAATTGTTTTGGCTTCTATTGCACTTGTTAAGTCCTCTCATAGCAATTTTTCCTTAATATCTTCCTAATATTTAAATATAATATATATGTAATATAATAATTATCATGGGCGAAACAGTATACTCTGTTATGTCCATAGTACTGCTCATGTCTATAGGCGACGGTTACCACTTTCCATCAGGTGGCCAGTCAGCTTGTTTGCCATTCTAAGTTGTATAAAAAAAATACAGATACCCTCCAGTTACAATTTTAATGTTAAATGATTTTGGTATGTCTTTCCGTTTAAAATTTGCAATAAATATTTTAAAATTTGCCGGCGCATGATCATATTAAAATTTGACATACTTACTTACGTAAATACACAATACAATATTATGGTACCATCGAGAGCTGATCTGATGATGAAAATGGACGGCTGTCATACGAACTCGTGAATTCTCTTCGATAAATCAGTCGTGTTTGGGTTTGTTGGATTTCTCTTAAAAATCTTTTAAAATTGTGTGATGTCAGAAGCTGATGATGAAACCAAAAGGCTACATGTTCAAAATGAGCATTCATAGAAATTGATAAGTATGGTTTTTTTTTTTATAAAAAAGAAAATTAACAATAAGTGAATAATAACACAATTAAATATTGTGTCCCACAAAAGAAAAATCTTTAATCGACTTTAATTGTGACAAAACCAGTTATTTTAGTCTACAAATCAAATTACTGAACCGATTTTGATAAAATTTATGCGGCTAATCTGTAAGCAATATCCTTTTAGATAAAAAAAAAGAATTAGTAAAATTTTAAAACTGACGAATGCTAACCTGTCCTGTGTTATCAGTATATGCTGGCGGGGTACTGGTGATGAATGTACCACCCATGAATGAACCCAAAGAGGGTTGACTTCAGGCGGGTGGCCGGTCGTAAAACTAAAAAACCAAATCTTTTTGTAATATGGATAAAATCATATTACGCCGACCCCAAATGATTGGGATAAGGGTAGGAAGATGATGTACTGGTGATGAATGATAGGTGAGGATGAAAGTATATCAGTTGGGCCATCGTGACGAAATCGTCAAAAATTAACCAGAATGGTTTCCAAGGGGAACAGCGCGGTAGTTAACCTAGCAATGGGACTGTTAGATATTACTACTTCCCTTATGGTGATCACAGTATCTCTGTGATATCTTTGGCACTATTGATGTCTATATGTCGTATACGATTATTATTTTTCATCAGGTAAACTTCGCTTGTTTTTTACACCAAGTTAAAAAAAAATAGTTCTAGAGATCATCATATTTCTAGATTTACCAATAATAATAGTAAGATAATCGCAGGTCTGCAAAGCGATTTAATTGGTGACGGATTACAAAATGGCGGCGCGTTACTTGTACGAAATGGCGGGATATTGTTATATCACTTCAAGCAATGCGGTCCTGCTGATCACCTCTCAAACACGGAAATTCTTGAGGTTTATTTTTTTTTATTTCCTATAATTAGGACTCGGCGGGGACCTGAAAGGCGATTGGGGGCAGACCGGCGGTGCATTGTTAGTTGGAAAGGGCGGGAACTTGCTCCACCATTTTGTGCAGCATGGGCCCGGCGACCATTTGCCTAATTTGGAAATTTTAAAGGTTCGATTTTTGAATTTACTTTTTATTCGTGTTTCCCTTGTGGAATGTATTAGAGAAGCCATAAACAAGTAGTGACTATTGTACTTGGTTATAGTACGAATATCTTCACAGGATGAGATCGAAATCGTTAGTTAAAACTTACAAATTTTTTGATATTTTACTGAAATTATCTTAGGGAAATTCATATCATATCACATTTAAATAGAATTATTTAATTCTGCTACCATTAGTATGTGTATGACTGCCAATACTCGAATATTGACCACTATCAGAAGTTCCACAACCTTTCATATTAGCCATTCTTCGACTGCCATTTTGTTCATACACCTTTCACGACACGTGTTTCATTTCTTAACGAGGCATCTTCATACAAATTATTAGATTGCTGTTCTCAGCCTAGTGGTAATCGTTTGGGGCGTAAACTGCGAAGTATAAACGTTGTTGGTTTTCCAAATAAACAATATGATACTGTTATTTTCTAACTAATTACATATCTAGTACTCTCTCTCTCTCTCTCTCTCTCTCTCCCTTTCGCACACTCTCTTTGTATCTTCCTCTCTTTCTCTTTTTTACTAATAATATTAATATTATTATTTCAGCACTTCGGATTGGAGAATGAATACAAACCTGAGACAATGGCGAACCAAAGCCGCCAGGACGTGCAGTGTACTGTACGTATATATACAACTGTTTTACAAACTACCTTTTATTTTTTTTAATGTAGTTAGCTACAATTAATACATGCATCAATAACTCTCCAATTTTCAGACAGAGGCGTCGTAAAGGCTGGCTCGGAGTGCTCGAGAGACACTCGCTCGCCCCCATACACGCAATATGGACGGAGCGACGGTGTAACTGTAACACTAAAGTGTAATATTCAATCCATTGAATGTTTTATTTATCGGTCATTCGTTCGGCCGAAGGCAGCCGTCGATGGATTGGCGGCGATGATAAATTCTCAGTGATATTTGATACAAAGGACGGAAAAACGTCTGTTTTAATTAATGGAAATCTAAAAAAACTAACAATAGAAACGAGTCTAAAACGCTCTCCAATAGTAGTGCAAATAAAAAATTTACAAAAATAAACAAATACAGTAGAATCTTGATTATCCGAATCAAATAAAACCAAGATTATTCCGTATAGTTGAAAATCCGGATAATCGATTTCAAAGTCAAATAATAATTAAATTGTAATGTTTTTTTTTATTATGTAAAATCAAATCAAATCAAATCATATTTATTCGCTTGCTACATGGTACAATAAGTCGTTACATACATATACAGGCACATAACATGCAGCACCCCGCAGAGGTATGCAAAGGTTTTACATACGTCATTCAGACAATACTATATAAAAAATTATGAGCTATGCATAATAATAATTATAATTTCCCAATTAATACATAATAACATTACTAAATCGGTAAAAAGAAAAAGAAGTAGTCGCGAAGAAAAGTCCGGATAATCGAATATTCAGATAATAGATTTTCGGATAATCGAGATTCTACTGTATTTAAAAAGCAAATTGCTGATATCCAATAGCAGCATAAATAAAAAATCGACTGATTTAAATATCTAAAAAAAAAAAATAACTAAAATGTAAAACATTTCGCGTTAAGTGATTATATCAACATAATTAAAAATTCTCAAAATGATTTTTAATCGAAGACTGACCTAAAAAAAAACTTTTTACAATTTAGTTAATATATAAACAAATTAGACAACATAAAGCCCTAGGAAAAAGAGATGACTTTTTTTCTAAATTGAAAAAAGAAAGAATAGAAAATAAATTGTTCAAAATTACAGTTTTAAGAAAGAAAATAAAATCAATGGATGGAATATTACAAAAGTAATGCACTTAGAATATTATTGTGCACAGAATTATATATTGGCATTCTTAGGTTTACATATACAGGTATATTTTAAAGTAAACAAACTATTTTTTACAACATAGTGACGTCAGAATAACGTACTGTAATAATATGATATAAAATGTATATTTATTTATTTATTTACAATAATATGCTCGGTGAAATGTCGACATGCTGAGTATTATGTCCACTACATCGATAATCGTCGATAAATGCCTCTGACTACCCCATCAGGCATTGAAGTCTTGAATATAAGATTTTTATTTTAAAATATTTATATCGTTTGTTAAATTTGTTACTGGTTTAAAAATTGTAAAAATATTGTTATACAGTAATAAATAATATAAATAAATATTATGGCTATGATCATATTAAAATTGATAATTGTTAATTTTATTAATTACTAGCGGCCCGTCCCGGCGTCGCACGGGTGGACATTTTTACATTTTAAAATGTGGCCATTAAGCCAGCACACGCGACGGAAGCTTAAAAATGGAGTAACTTCTCCCGTTTCCCCAACATTTCCCTTCTCAGCTCTGCTCCTTATGATCGTAGCGTGATGAAAAGTATACTATAACCTGCCCAGGAGTATGAAGAATAATTGTACCAAGTTTCGTTAAAATCCGTCGAGTAGTCTTTGTTTCTATAACGAACATACAGACAGACAGACAAAAATTTTACTGATTGCATTTTTGGCATCAGTATCGATCACTAATCACCCGCTGATAGTTATTTTGGAAATATATTTCATGTACAGAATTGACCTCTCTACAGATTTGTTATAAGTATAGAAGATTTGTTACAAAATTTATATCCGATCTCAATACTACATATGTAATGGGAAATTAATGAACTCACCGTCTTTTGCTATTACACGAGCTAAGCGAGCTGCGGCCCGCAGTACGAGGCGAGACGCTGTGACGCAAAGCGCTGAACATCGCTGAACAAGACTTCCGGATGAAGTCGAAACAATTGTCGGAAACGACAAAAACACGGCGAGTTTATTAATTTCCCGTTATATATGTATATGGACATCGAATAAAAAATAAACATAAGTTTGAATAAATAAAATTTATATCATTTGTTAAATTTGTTAATATGTTGTATTGATATGTTTATAGATTTACTAGAATTAATATATTTTTGTTTTCATATAATATTTTATAGTGTTTTATTATTGGAAAGATTAGATCAGTGATTCTCAACCCTTTTTTTTGTTGTTGCACATATTTAACGATTTCAAAATTTGGCGGCACACAAAGAAAAAGGTAAAAATTATTTACTTATTACAACACACTGCATAAATAGTTTATGAAATTTTTTTTAAATATTTGCAAAATTTGGCGGCACACAAAAGTGCCGCGGCACAGTGGTTGAGAATCACTGGATTAGATAAATATATATTTTTTATAAATTATAAAAATTACAAAGTATAAAAGTTATATAACTTTAGAGGAATAACACCTGAGTCCTCAGTAATGGCAACGCATGGGGGGTATCATGGGCGAAACAGTATACTCTGTTATGTCCATGGTACCGCTCATGTCTATAGGCGACGGTTACCACTTTCCATCAGGTGGGCCGTCAGCTTGTTTGCCATACTAAGTAGAATAAAAAAAAAAAACTTTAAATGGAACACATATAACAAATTATAATCTGGAAAGTATTCGATAAAACGACTGAATACTAAATAAAATTAATGAACAACGTAAATAGAAAAAAAATATGAAAATTAAAACAAGTCTTTCTGTAAATGAGATTAAATAAATGACGTGGCCACAGAGCCTGTATTAATTAATCTGGAAGATCCATAGACAATGTGTATATTTTTATAAAAATAAAAATCATTCAAGTTAGTATTTCTATGGAGAGTATAAAAAATATTTTCAAAATTTGTATAATCTGTTGTTTTATAGTGGAATCAGTGGCAAATTAAGCCCGTTAAGACCAAGATGAGAGCCTTGAGGTGTCAAAACTAAATGTAACCCCCGGTTTAAGTTGATGTCATTTTACAAGAGTTTTATTCAGTTCCCATTTATATGTATAAGTATGCATGTTTATTTATTTAAAATCTTACAAGTGAAATTTTAATTTTAATAAACATACATAGAATGTGGATGAGGACAGGAGGTCCTGGGGGCCTCTTATTATTCTGGTAGTATTCTGGATATGTGTCCTTTAAAAGAACACTGTAACACACAACGACTTTATTGTTTTAAATATTATTACTTGTTATTATTGCGATATTCTATAAAATTAAATATTTTATTGACTTTGTGTGTCTTTTTATTTTTCCTATTTTATATATTTATTTTTTATTGACTACAAAAAAATCTCTATACAAAAGGCGGACTTAATACTATATAGCATTCTCTCCCAGTCAACCTTTGACAAAACGAAAATTTAATTGTGTTTATGAAGTAAGTATATAAACTCGATGGAAAATATTTTTTTGTAGTCTGCCGTCAATCAATATCCTTTCAGCATTAAAAAAATGTAAATATATTACTGTTTTATTATTTATATATAATTCCTTTCCTGAACTTGGTAGCATAGCGTAGTTTCTTAGAAATATTAAAAATTATAAAATTATCTGATACTTAATTGGTAAATAATATTAGTTATTTTTTATATTTCATTTTACAATTTTTCTAATGATGTTTATAATGGCAAACTATCGGTTAGTTTGCCATTGTACAATCATTAGAAAAAACGTTTAATACTGGCGAGTAAGAAATGCACGCGTTGCTATGGTAATGACATATAACAAAAAAAAAAAATTGTAAAAATCAATTTATATAAGAAATCGTACAAAATCCTCGTTCAGACTTTAACAGCCATTGTAGAAAAGTAGCTATTCCTGAGGATTATAGTGTTATGCCTTCATACCCTGTTTCACTATCATATAATATCATATTCAATACCATACAATATTATAAGCAATAAGACCGCCATACTGTACTTATACATTTATTAGTTTTCTAGCTTAATTCCTATGTTGTATAATGTAAATATAGTACATTACTGCAGCGGTCAGCAACAGGCATTGATGGACTGCAAATGTGGGCCGAGGCGTAGCCGAGGCACACACACGTGAGTCCATCAATGCCTAGTTGTGGCCAAGGCTTGTATAGTACTTTTCTCAAACAATGCGCGGAAATCAAAAGCACAATTTTACTTTTCAAGTTCAATGATGAATAAAGAACCATAATTTTTGATGCGTCATAATGTTCCTTTGTTTTTTTTTTCAATAAACAGCTTTCTATTTATAAACCAGTTCGAAATTTAAATAAAACATTTTACTAGTTACCTTCCATAGCCATGTTTCGAAGTAAAAGGTAATTCCATTTTTTTATTACAGAACAGATATGAGTTTACATAGTAATTTATCTGGACGCAAAACACGATAGTTATGGATTTTCATACAACTTTTGCCGGCCGCTGCCCGCATGTATCTGGCCAGGACGGCAATTTTGATTTATCTCGAAGAAGATTGTCAAAATAAACCTCACATTTCCAAGCATGTTTGAGAAAAAGTATATTCATCCATTTATTCATATCCTTCAAACTGTAACGGGCATGCAAATATAATTGCTTCGCGGGAAAACCACGGCTGGGACTGAGGTAGCATGATCTCTGTTCCACGTAGACGGAGAATGACTGTACAGTTTCCCTTTGAATAATTTATTACACATATTACATTTATTAAGATAAAGTATACATTGTTATGTCCATGGTACTGTTCATGTCTAAGCGTCGGTTACCACTTACCATCTGGTAGGCCGTCAACTGTTCATTTTAAGTTGTATAAAAAAAAATGTTATGATATTAATATACACTCAACACCTGTAAGTCACAGAGTAACTTATTAAACAGTCATATATACAGAGTAGTTATTAAATATTTATAAATGACAGAGTAATTAAGGAAAGCTTTCATGAGTGTAATTATTCTGTATTAGATTCGGTGCACGTTCGTATTATATTGACCTCGACGAGCCGCGAATTGTAATCGGAAACAATCTGACCCCGACACTATAAAATGTCTACTTATGTGTAGTCGATTTCAATAGAACTTAATGATAAGGTAACCAAGTTTAGTTTTTTTTTTTAATGAATGATAATGGAATGCCAATCCCGTCTTCGCGGAAAACGGTGTATGCTGGCGGTGCGCCAGTGACGGATGATAGGTAAGGATGAAGCAGGTCAGTTAGCCCAGTGTGATGAATACGTCTGGATTTCAGCACGATGGTTTTCAGGGGGAACCACGAGGGGGTCGACCTGGTATATTGCTAGCGATGGGGCTACTAATCCCCATTACTTACAATCCTTTCTCCCCTCTATTTTTATGTAGTGCCTTTGATACAAATTAACGTCTTATTATTTTTTTTATATATGATAATATAAAATTATTTTCTAGATTTTTTTGCTGGCGGTGCGCCAGCGAGGGATGACAGGTGAGAATGAAAAGTCAGTTAGCTCATCGTGATGAATGCACCTGGGATTCAGCACTATGGTTTTCAGAGAGGTCGACCTGACAGGATATATTGGTAGCAATGGGACTGGTATTCCGCATTACGAATAATTCCTCCTTCCAACCAAGCTTAGTTGGAAACATCACGGGAACACTCGCTGAATGAAGTTAGTAATAAATCGAAACGGTTAATTAACCGATTATGAATTGGTACCCTTAGATTATATAGATAGAGTGTTTTTTTTATACAACTTAGAATGGCAAACAAGCTGACGGCCCACCTGATGGAAAGTGGTAACCGTCGCCTATAGACATGAACATACCATGGACATAACAGAGTACACTGCTTCGCCCATGATACCCCACATGCATTGCCATTCCTGAGGACTCAGGTGTTATTCCTCTGTACCCTGTAAATTCACTGTCATATTCCACCTTTCAAACCGAAACACATCCATGCAAACACAACTGCTTCACGGTAGAAACACGAGTGGGACAGAGGTACCTGTGCAGTCGACTTTTGTACAGCTATATCTTGCTATTCATTGAAGATTCAGATCACGATTGTAATCACTTTTTCCTGTATTTGTAAAGGTACCTATATAGTTACAGGAAATTTTATCATAAAAATCGATTCTATGTTAACCCTGAGTTTTGGTTTTAGCAGTCTACGTATATGCATGAATAAATTAATTTCTGGTTAAGGATTTCCATTGGAACTCAGACATTGATTTTCACCTTGACAGTATTCTTTTAATGGAAAGAGGAATATGTATTAAAATTGGCTTGACCGAGAACTGTATTTGAAACCTAATTTATGCAATGCAATAGTTATCTACTATTTTTTTTAATGGATGATAATGGAATGGTAACCTCGCCTGCGCTATGAAATGATAACCCTTAAAAGCTTTCCTTTTGACCTTCATTGATCATCTTTCACTGGTACCTCGCCAACGTATACCGTTACTGCGGGCGGGGTTACCATTCCTTTATCATTCATTTAAAAAGAAATTGTAATATGCCCCATATATCAAGTCTTGTCTAAAGTGCTCTATAAGTCAAGTCAGTTGGTCCATCGTAGGGAATTCTTTAGCTACTACAAATCGATCTAACATTTAAAAAATCCTGACGGTTAAAAAAATGGTTACTGGAATATTATTTTAATTTAGAATTGTTTTTGAAAAAATTTTACTGATATGTATATTTTAAAATAATGAAATGTATGTATGTAAATGTATAAACAATTCAGCTATACTATATACCATTTATTATATTTTGGGATTTTAATTTCGGACTTGTTCTGGATTTAAATATATTGACACGAGACTCCTGTCAAATCGTTCAAATTAATATTTATACAAATACAGAGTTTATAATGGGTACTAACATCCCCATTATTAATTACTAATGAATTCGCCATGATGTGTCAACTGACTTGACTTCCTGCAAGTTTCTATTTAGGAAATAAAAAAATATTGTTATGTTTTATTTCAATTGTACTTAATGAAAAGATAATCAAGTTTTGTTGCAATTATCACAGAACTACCTAAATGTATTTAGTAATAGCTGTATCCCACGATTTTACTTGCGTAAGTACATAAAGTATTCTGTGTGCTAAATTAGGGTATAATCTACCCGTGTACTAAATCACTTCTAAGTAATTTTTGACTATGGAAGAGTAATAAATAATCATCTGTCCATCGTTTTATAGCATTTTATATGTGATTCTTTAGATTGATATAACTTTTTTATTTATGAACCGATTGATTTAAAACAAACACAAAATTGTCACAATATTGTACACCGCTGTACCCGCTGTCATTAATGCTCCTTTCCACTTTGGGTATTGCTGGAAGAGAAATCTATTAGAGTTAAGCTCGCCTTTGTACATTTGATTACCTCTGTCATATTCTTACGTATCATTGGTGTGTACAAATGTATTAAATAAATAAATAAATAAAAAATAAATGTTAAGTGGAGCAAACCGCAACGCATTAGTGAAACCGCATTCAAATCGGTAGAGCCGTTTTTGAGATTAGCGTGCACAACGTGCGTTGCCAGTAGTTGCGGCGTTTGGCAAGCGGATAGCCGATTGCATTTAGGCATTGATGATGTAAAAGGAACGCTGCTGCCCATCTCATAATGATAAAGTTCTCTTAGTCGCCTGTTACGACACCCACAGGAAATGAAAAGGTAGCCTATTTTAGGCCGGGATCATACATACATACATACATATCTGTCACGCCTGTCTCCCATTAGGGTAGGCAGAAACAATGGAACGCCAAATGCTTCGATTCAAACAAACCTCTTTCGCTTCTTCCACATTCATCAATCTTTTCTTCTCATGCCGGGATCACACGACTAATAAAGTCATTAAAACATCAGCATAATCTTTAACTGTCCACTGCTGAACATAAGCCTCCCCCTTAGGGGGTTTTGCCAGTAGTTTTGCCACGTTTCGCAGACGAATTGGCAACCGCAGTTAGGCTTTAGAGACGTTTTAAGAGGGACGCTACTAACCATCCCTCGCCCTCCCTTAGTCGATTCTTACGACACCCACGGGAAAAGGAGGGGCTATATAAATCTTCGAGTTATATAACCAGCTTATTGGCACTACAGCTTGCTTATCCTTACCAGTGGGAAAAGGTAATGTAAATTGGCACACGCTCTATGATTTTAAAACATAATCCTCTATATAACATTCAATAACACCACATACATAATGGTTTAATCAAATTGATGATGGGAAAATTTTTGATATCGGTTGAATTCAAACCCACGACTTTTGCGGTCTACAAGTTGCGACAGTAAATCATTGATACATGACGTTTTTAGATAAAAAAGCTTGACAAAAGAGTCGAATTAGATTATATAGAGTTTCGAGCCTAAAAAACAGGCCAACTTTTTGTCAGCTAATTGTCAAATTAGCCGACTCGTTTTTTAATTATTGTGCTATGTTTGTACGTATGCACACAATGGATCTTGACGTACATATATATTTAATTATTTAATAAATAACATGAGTTTTTGCGCATTAAAAAGATGTAAAAATTATAAAACAAAATAAATATTTCCCAAGAGACTACAATATGGGGTTCTTCAAAAGAGGGGTAAAGAGGTTTCTTCAGGGTCGGCATCGCGTGCGTAATGTTTCTGGTATTGCAGGTGTTCATAGGCTACGGTAACCACTTACCATCAGGTGGTTCGTATGCTCGTTTGCCACCACAGTAGTAAAAAAAAAAATTATAGAAGTTATAAAGGAAACACCAAAGGGAGACTTTGTACAAAATTCGATTGCTTGGGTACCTCTGTCCCATTCGTGTTTCAACCGTAAAGCAGCTGTGTTTGCATGGCTGTGTTTCGGTTTGAAGGGTTGGATATGGCGTGAATTTAATGGGTACAGAGGAATAACACCTGAGTCCTCACGAATGGCAACGCATGGGGGGTATCATGGCCGAAACAGTATATTTTGTTATGTCCATGGTACTGCTCATGTCTATAGGCGACATTTACCATTTTCTATCAGGTGGGCCGTCAGCTAGTTTGCCATTATAAATTGTATAACCAAAAAAATATTCATAACTGTTTATCATGCAAAATTGTATGAAAAAGTTGAACCGCTTTTCTCGAAGCATTTGTATGGAGACAATCTATATAATCTAAATATGAGATATACATTGGCATTGAGGGAAAAGGACTAACATGATTGGTTAAAAGATTGGTATTGATATCGTGAAACAAAAAAAAAAACAAAAAAGAGGTTTATTCGAATATATTTTTTATGGGCAATAAAAAACAAAATTGAATTAACCTAGTTTTTTTAAGACAACTAGTGCAAATCTAAAGAGTCACACTGACATTGGTATAAACGTGTAAAAGTAATTAAACTGTCTAATTCAATTTATAATTCCAACGTAACTACAGAACACAGATGGACGTGTTAAAAATAATTAAAAGGGTTTAATAAAATCTATAGACTTGTAACAATCCTTATTTTATGCTGTCTACACACCGACGTGTCTGTAGATTAACTATAACGCCATTATTTCTCTTGGCTTCGCTCAGAGAACCTATTATCTTAATCCCGTCAGAAATAAGAATCCTTCATCGTCATTTATATGTCATAAGGATAATTCTATTTTTATTTGAAAGGAAATACTTTCAGAGTGGTGTCATAGAAATGTTCTAAAAATCGGTTTTGTAATATAGTTTTTAAATAAATATAACTGGTTTAGTCATGACTGAAATTGTTTTTTTTTTATTTTAAATTATTGGAGTTAGCTTTCTGTCCCAGATGTACTTTGATTCGTCAGGTAATTTCTTCTTTTAAATATAGATAGATGATAATTGTTTATAGATTATTCATACTTTTTTCCACTTTCCATCAGGAAGACTGATTTGTAAACTAATTAGAGAGTCGAGAACTCTAGAAAGAAAAAAAGCTTAATTTTTATATACATTCTCAAATATACTGGAGATAAGAACGATATGTTTGGTTGATTCTTTTTTTGAATTTTGAAACAGATGATATTTTGAGACAGGACAATGTTTGTAGCGTTAGCTAGTATAAAATTTTAAGTCAAAATAAATAAGTTGGTTTACTTTACTTAACAATAATTTTGTCTGCATTGTGTAGCTAGCATAACTTAAGAGTATGATGGTAGCGTCCTATAACGCAACCTTAAAAAAAACCTTATGTCAAATGGAATAACACCAGCAAACAAATTAGATAGGCCCTAAAAATTTATATGACACTTATTAAAAGGACATAGAGTTGGAAATCCAGTGGTATTTTTATTTTTGGCAGTAGTACAATTGATATGTCCGTAAGGTCGATTTTGCGCGCGATCCGAATGACAATGTATGGGATACAATTGTCTATAAAAGCGATGCGCAGGCGCAGGACATAAAGCGAAAGTGAACGAAAATGAAGGTGATTACACGCATTTTGTGTTTCATTTGTGTTGTGTAGTGTGATTTGTGTACATATTTCATAATCATAGAATTTTAATTTGCGAAAAGGAATTATGAGTTTATAATTTCATACCAATATTTTAATTAGGATAAAACATCCCTCTGCCTACCCCGCAAGGGACGTGACGTGAATACATGTGACTATACGCATATCTAATTAGTACTCAGAGATATTGGATGTAGTAAATGATCCGAATTATTATTAACAAAACTAACAAAGGTCAAAAATGTGAAACGATTTGAAATGCAGTATTTTCTATCAAGATAAAAAAAATTAAATCGGCAACCCCAAATTAGACTAAAACATATCTATATGGCGAAAACGATTTGTTTTAAATACAACATTGATTTAGATAAATTAAAAATATGTATTTATATCAAATTGTAAAACATTTTACATCAAATGGCTAACTTTCTGTTTTTTGAAGTTAGTTGAAAATAAAGTGCTAGGAAAATAAACAACTCAGCTAGGAATGTGACTTTTGGTTACTGGTAGTTCTTACACTGTGACAGTCCCTGAATTTTAATTTTACCATTTAAACGGAAATGTCTAATTAATTTTTTTTCTCATCAAGGTATAAGTCGTAAAACGATAAAAAAAATTAATTTCATATAAAAAAAGTAAACTTTAGAGATATACGAAGTAGCACTAGGGGGGAAGAGTTTGTTACTTACTAGCAATATTCTTTATCAAAAGGACTTTCACATAAATTACATTTCTGTCTAGAAGCTGCTGTCTGTGATATTCCTGGCCCTGAGTGGAGTATTAGGGGAGGCGCCAGCGCCGTACCCTCCTAGTGGGTTCAGACCCGCTGGTCCAGCTTTCGAGTTACCACAGAGACAGGTACGTTCTAATAGTTGACAATCTGTTAAATGTCAAGGTTCAAATAACTGACGAGACTAGGCTTAGACTAGCCTGTAATAATCAGATATTAGAAGTATCTTGAACTGGTGTATTTGTGTAAGAATTATGAAAATGGATGAAGCAAGAGATGTTAGAATAAAACCTAACGTTACTCGATTCGTTAAAGAACGAAAAGAAAAAAGAAAACTATCTATCTTAGAGATAGATATAAAAATACTTTTTTACAAAGCAGCCAACAATTTGGTGGAAGGTAATAATCGTCGCCTATAGGTATGAACAGCTCCATGATTATACCCTTTATATTAAAAGTGCCCCTTAAGTATGTATTTCCACTCCTGATGATGTACAGGAATAGCAACATCCCGACTTGCACGTGAAAGAGATCCATTCCAATTAACTTTCGAAACAGAAATCTGTGGAGGAGCAGAGGTAAATTGATATTGGTTGTTTACAGAATACTCCATCACAGCAATACTTGCCAGTGGATCCTCGAAGACCGCTGACTCCTAACAATGAATATGGACCTCCCGAAGAAGAGGACGTGTCAGTTCAAGGTCTTCCTACACAGGAACAGCTACCAATCTTCCAAGGTTCACCAATAAATGGACAGGAGTATGTAGGACCAGCTCTGCAGACTGATTTGAAGAACTTGGATCAGAGTTTCCAGCAAAGTCAGGTGAGATTTAATATCACACTAGGCTACATAATAATCATCACTTCAATTACACGTTTAACCTTTTAATCGTCTCATCTGGAATTATCCGACAGAAAACTTGTGTATATAATGAGGAATATAATTATAAAGAGGATAGTGAAAATAAGTACAGAACAAAAGTTTATAAGATTTTAAAATTAGTTCTCATAGTTAGAAATATTAAAAAAAGGTAAATTTAATAAAAACATAAATAATTGCAATATTTTCAATAATACTTCTTTCTGTATACTTTGATTATTAAAAAAAAATAATTATAAAGTTTCATGAACATTTTATTGTAGTACCAACAACAACAACAGAGGTACAGAGAGTATGCTAGACAAAAGGAATTAGAAACTGCACGGGCAAGAAATAATGCTAACGGACAAGCAACCCCAGCTGTGCCCAGACAATTCGTACCACGCACCACTATTACTCCAGAACCTACATTCACTACGACTGAGACACCATCAACGACTGAAGCTTTAGATCTGAATGAAGGGGAAACTTTAGAAGAATCTAAACCACAAAAGAATGCAAAAACCTCAGTTGAAGTTTCTAAACAGAGATTGCAAGAGTATCCTGGGGAATTCTTCTTAAGTTCTTTAGCTCAATTGCAACTCCAGCAGCAATTGGTCCCCATACAGCAACTTGGACAACTAAGGGCACCATTATTCGTACCACCAACTCGAGATGTTTCTCAAAGACAAGTCCTATCGGGATATGATGCTCAGACTCACTTCGCAGCTTTACCGTCAGTTTTAGCTCAAAGACAAGTGCTACAACCGCAAGGAGTTGTTCAGAATCAACAACCGTTCCAAAACCCTGGTGTGTTGGTAGCACAGCAGCAACCCACAGGTTTTGCTCCAAGTCCTGTGCAACCATTGAATCAGTATCAGCCTGTGGTTCCGCAAGTGCAACAGTTTCCACAAATCCAAGCGCAACCCGCATTTGGTCAACCACAACCAGTAAATCCAAATGTTTACGGACAACCTAGGCCCGATACTGAAGATGTTGAGGTGCAAGACCCTCAGTTGCTGTACCAACAAACGTACCAGCCCCAACTTTATCAGCAGCCAAACATTCAGCAGTTTCCTCAAGAACAACAGAACCTCTTGTTGTCCCAAGCTCAAGTGAACTATCCTAACCAAAACCAGGGTATTCCAAATCAGCCACAGTCTGTGGGTCAACAGCCAGGCCAGTTCCCTCAACAGGGCTACCAGGGTCAGGATGCGTTCCTTCAAAGCGGTTTAGACGTGAACCAACAAGGCAACGGTGTCGAAGATGATGAATCAGACGATCAAGACGGCTCGACGGCTACATCTGTCGCCACAGCCTTTGGCACAAGGTTAGTAGATTCCTATAGAATTCAAATTAAGTGCCATGATTTAAGTCACGTAAATATGTTAATAGTGTGTAACAAAGCCCAGCATTACCATATTGTCACTATAACATGATGAATTCTGATCTTATTAATATGTATGCTGGATGGCAAGCCGATTGTAGGTTTTGTTTTTCAACTCGATCAGGTATCGTGTCATATAAATGGTTGATTTAATGTGATAATATACACAGCTATCGCGACTCAGTTTATAGAGGATGAGATATTGAAATCATTAACGTCCATTTAAGATTCTGCAAGTAAAACTGAGTATTATGCTAAGTATTGTGAGTTGACAAACGACAAAAAAAAAAAAGAAATAGTGAGTCCCACACATTAACATGGCGCGTCCATCTCTTATTATTATGTTCTTAATTGCATTAAAAAAAAAAGATACAGCGATTAGTTTAACAAGTTTCTTCAGTAACTTCTCAGTCACTAGTTTCTCAGTTAACCAGAGAGAGACTGTACAAAAGTCGTCTCCTTTGGTAGCTCTGTCCCATTCGTATTTCAACCATGAAGCAGTTGTGTTTGTATGACTGTGTTTCGGTTTGAAGGGTGGGATATGGTGGCGGATTTACAGGGTACACAAGCATAACACCTTAGTCTTCAGGAATAGCAACACATGGGGGTATCATGACAGATGTAGACACATGTAGACAGTTACCACTTTCCATCAGGTTCTATTCTATGTTGCATAAAAAAGTCACATTCAAAAAAACTTACGTTAGCATGGTCCAGAATAGGATACAGGATAGATTATATTACTTATTAGGTATGGAAGGCTCAAAATTTTTGTCTAGGAACTTATTGTAGTTGTAAAGAATATGTAAGTTAAATCAAGGTCTATATTTTAAAATCTAAAATGTGCTATTACAGGACACAACCTCGTGTGTACACACAGTACGGAGCGCCCGTCCCGGTACCGCGAGCTCAATTGGACCCAAACTATCAAACAACCACAGAATCTACTGCTGAAGTAAGTGATACTATTGATTATGTGTGCCTTAACTGGACATATGCCAATAAGGCATATACTACACAAGATGGGTCTATCTTCGGACACACTGTGCAGACTATGCGGGGAGAAATCGGAATCCATGGAACACTTGATGTGCAACTGTGATTCGTTGGCAAGTATGCGTATGAGTCTACTGGGAACGGCTCCAGAACCAGGGGACTACAAATATCTTAAACCGCGGGATATCGTTAAGGTAACACAAAGGATCTATGAAATGATGGTATAAGGCAGGGGGAAGCACAAAAGATCCCAATGGGTCGACGTGCAATAGCTTAGCTCACCCCATATGCGAATATAAGATAAGTGATATATTATGAGTATAAATGTTAAAGGTAAGTTTGTTTGTAACACTTTGCTTTGTTTTAACAGGACAACCAACGATCATGAAATTTGGTTTATACGTAGTGTTTAGAATGAATAAGGACATAGGATAATTTTTAATTCGGTCAATCAATACATCCTGGTCACGCAAAGGAAAGTTTAGTAGTTTGCAGGTAAAAGTTAGATGAAATTCTTTATGCGATTCTTTTATGCAAATTAGAATAGCAAACAAACTAAGGGAAACCTAATGACAAATGGTAACAATCGCCTATATACATGAATAGCACTGTGAATAATATAGAATACACTGTAACGGTCATCTAATCATGATAGTTTACATGTATTTTTGAGGACTAAGATATTCTAATGCCTCCGTAACCTCTAATTACACTGTCATCTGCCATTTGTTCAGCGGCAGATAGACGAGTAGGATGGATGCATTCAAGTGGACAGACTTTTTTAAAGGCTCAATAATTTTGATTTAAATCATATTAAAATATATTATTTTGCAGGCAACTACTGATGGTCCAGCTGTAGCGGAAGCGAGTGCAGTCGCTGTTGATGGCAAGAGACGAAGCGCTAAATTGAGGTAAAAATATTAAACTAAATCCTGCTCTCACTGCACCGGTCTAACCTTTATGCCAGAGGAGAAAGGAATTGTTAGTAATAGAGACTAAAAATCCCATTGCTAGCAATATACCCAACCAGGTCGACCGCCTCGTGGTTCTCCCTGGAAACTATCATGGTTAATTCTTGATGAATTCATCATGATAGGCTAACTGACCTGTTTTCATTGTCATCAATCACCCTTCACTGGTGCTCCGCCAGCGTATTCCGTTAGCGCAGGCGGGGTTACCATTTCATTTTCACCCATCAAAAAAAAAATCTTTATGCCAAATGTTACATTAACGTGCCCATATAGATATATTTAATGTGAAATTCGATATGTTAGTTCTCAACTAAACGGGATATACAGATTTACTCTTGAATTTAATATCGATATCAAACAGGTTATAATTGGGATCGATTTACAATAGTTTGCATTGGCAAGTTACACTAATATGCATCTATCAGAACAATATGGAACCATTACGTCGCTAGTGTTGCAATTCGAGAGTGCGAAACGTCTCAATTTCAATATCGATTTATTGGGATTTATTTTAAGAGTAACCTCAATGGCAAAAACAACAATTTTGGATTTTTCACTGAATCTGTCTAAATGTAAATGTAAAATTTCATATAAATTGTTTGGTCAAGGATAATAGTTTAAAAAAAATTAAATACAATACTATTTCCCGCGAGTTCGTCGGCATGATTCCGGTATTTTGGAACTGTTCTCCATGCCATTTCTCTATGATAATCTAATACAAATTAGCAGAAAATCTAAGGATATCGATTCAACGGTATTTTTTGTCACGCAGTATCTTTATTAACCCTCTAAACGGCCATTCTACGATTTCGACGTGCTCGCATTTTTTATGTTTATTAACGTTGTTATCCCGCGATTTTTGGTTTTGTAGATTGATATTGTTTCTCAGAATCTCGCTAGATGGCTTAATATTCGTACTGCTATTTGTTGTCAAAGCAATGTGTTTTATTGTTGTGAAAAAAATGCGTGGTCAGAGTACTCTAGTGAAATACACACATAATTGAATATTATTTTTTAATGGAGCGAATTAATGTTAAATAATTTTATTTAAATTTTAGGAGCCGCCGGGTACGTCCTGTCTTCACCTTGGACAGATCCGGACATTTAGTGCTGGCGCCTGAACAGAACTGAGTACAATAGTCAATTATATACGGCGACGATGATTACCACAGACACCCCCTTACTTATTAAAACTACATACAATCATGTATACAAAGTATAATTACAACTGGACAACAAAAATTTTATGCATTTGCTATATTTGTTGTTTTAAACAAAATTGTTGGATATGACAAACATAAAATGTTAATTTTCTATTTTTCAGTTATATATACATTTAAAAAATGAAAATGTCTTTTAAAAACAATACTACAATAATTAATAATCAAATAATAAATGGTAAATCCACATAAAACGAATGGCATAGCCATGCATAAGCAATACGTTTGATGTTTTTTTTTTAGTTTTTGACAGTATATATGTAATATTTATTTTATACATTTATTATGATAGATGAAAAATAAAGTCCCATAAATAAGACGAATAAACGACAGCCGATTACTAAAAATCAAACTACTTATGTTTTATACCAAAGATCTGAACGTAGCATTAAAACAGCAAAACAACTTTAACTCCAACAATTGCTCTTCATTTTTTGCCCGTAATTCAATGGAAATCAAATAAAAATATTTTTTTGTTAATTTTCCAAAGGCGTTTCATCTTTCACCTCTTATAGGATATAGGATAGTTTATTGTGTAATTTTTTTTATTTTTTTTTTATCTTCTGTTGAACTTAAATGTAATAATTAGCAGGCAAAAATAACAATGAATTATGTTGACACTTGTCTCTTTATAATATTAATATATATTTGCGTTTATAATTAATAAGTAAGGGGTTAAGATATTAAAATACGCTTTAAAAAAAAACTTAAGTACATACTAAGGTACCTACGAATTGATATGTGAATTTTCAAATTTGTAACATCGATGGTTTGTAAGCACCTTTATGATTTAAAAACGTCAAGTTGGATACTCAGTAATAACTGCATTCATACTGACAATGAGTAAATTACATATTTATAGTAGGTAGTATTCTATATTTATAATTCCATAATAATTATAATAAATTATTATTTATTAAAAAAAAACGACGTTTTATTTAAACAAGCTCTCCATTGCGTAGTCTGTTTAAAATAGTTAACAAACAATTGGCCGACAATAAAACAGTCTATTAATATCCACTAGTTGTATAAATAAAAAATCAATTAGTTGTTTAAACGTGTCGATCTGTCACTAATTTCATGACAATTTTAACAAAACTTTTTTTTTCTATATTTTAAGAACAATTGAAACAAATCATAATTCCTTAACATCATTTAACAACGTTGCAACTTCATACGATGCTATAGAAATCGTATTGTCTTGAAACTGTTTAAAATACCAATGGTTACACCGTTGGTATTTTAAATACAAGTTATAAATTGTCTTCAAGATCATTCTTCAGCCCTGAATGTAAATTCAAAACAGATTTGTTTTTATATTAACTTTTACCCACTACTTCCGCAAGAAAGGGATACTATAGTTAACTGACCGGGATAAAAAGTAGCTTATATCCTTTTTCATCCCATAAAGTACCTGTAAATCTTTTATAGTGAATGGTGAAGCAGTGTCCGCGCCAAAAGGTAAAAAACCAACAAACTCAATTCCACGTTTATGATCTTTACACGGATATTTTGTTAAACGCAGTAATGTTAGTTTTTGGTTACTTTTACGTCAAATTTCTACGGTAAAATGAGTTTTGAAATAATCCGCTAAAGGCGCAGCTGTGATTTCAATATAAGTTATTGGCGTAAAACGTGAAGGCTCTTATGGCCTAAGAGGCCCCATAACGATTCCCAAGAGTGAGTTTAGTATTATTATTTTATCTATGGTTTAACCCAGATTTATGTTATTATTACGTTGCCTTAGCCGTTTTACACAGAACACTAACATTAATAAAAATAAGAAAAAGAACACAGAGTAGTGCGAAATTGTATCGTTGTATCCAAAGATTATAAAAAATGCAATGCGACGGTCTATGGTTAATACATTTAATAAGGAATCTAGTTACTGAATTTTACCTACATAAGGTCGAATAATAAAAAAAAAAATTGTGATCAAATTATCACAGTAATAAAATCAACCTCATATTTTAAAAACAATATTTTTCCGACTCTACACACGTATGACAATTTCTGAAGTCACCAAGGTTTCACTAAAAATACAATAATACTGTAAATGCACAACATTAGAGCAAAAAAAGTTGGGACACTACTAATAACTAACCAGTTTTCCCGAACAAAATTTATGGGGCCGTTAAAAATTAATTTCAAATGTTGTAATCTAGAAAATTCCATAGAATGTACACCAGGCTCTTCTGTAGATATCGTTATTGTTTCATCTTTACTTGTTTCTATTAGAGAGTCTTTTATGGGAGGCTTCAGAATTTCTAGATAATCTTTTATAAGTTCAGGACTTTTAAGTGTTTTTATCGTTTCACTCGTTGTTTCCAGACAAGTAGGTTTTGCGCTTTCAATGCTGAGTCTCAACATAAGATTATCAATAACACGGTTCTTTACTATATCACATTGTAATGATTCATCGATTGTATCGATTTTGTCTTTCCTAATGGAAACTTCTTCAACAGCTTCTATTTTTTCTGTAAATACATGTATTGAATCAGTTTGTATACTCACATTAGGTATAGGATGTGATAACTTCTCAAATAGGGGCATTATTTTTATTAATTCCTTAATGATTTTTTCTGATAAAGTATCTTCAAGTTTTTTCACTGTAAAATCTAAAATAATCACAAGTCTATCCCAAAGTTCATGTATATTAGTCGGATGACTTGATTTCAAGTCATTATTTCTTTGTTTATCATCCTGTGTTTGGAGAATATGTTTAACAGTAGCCTCATTCGGTAAGTTAATGTTTTTATTAATACCAATTTCCTTTTCGCTGTCGTAGGTTTTCTTTAACAAATTTTTTGACATTATCTTTTTTATATTATTGGGTTGATCACCTTTATTTTTTAAACTTCTAGATAGGGGTAGTTTATTTTGTAAATCAGTTATAATAACATTATTTAATTTTTCAGTGCAATGACTTACGGAGCTAGTTGAAGGTTTAATATCTGGAAACAAGCCCATATTTATAACAGCATCCAGTAAAGTTACTTTGTTAGATGGATCTTTTGCAGAAATGTCAATAAATGAAGGAGGTACAAAATGTATTATTTCGGACTTTGTTGTCAAAGTGTAGTCAGAATTTAAACTTGATTTATAAAAATCTAAGCTTGTGTTTGATATTACATAAGTATCATCATCACTTAAGTTTAATTTTGAGGTGTTTTGGATACCGATTAGCGTTTTATCACTCGTTTTAGATGTTATTAAATTAGTAACAGTAAAATAATTTTCATTGTCATTTTGTGATAAAATACTGATATTTTGAGAGGTTAAACCATTATGAGGCTGTGCTATGTTATTTGCATTGTTCAGACTTTCTTCATATAGTATTTTTTCTTTTATATCTCCATTTTCAATGGATTGTTCTTTATTGAAAACATTTGGCTCATTATAAGTTACAGCTACAGCAACATTAAGGCTATCCATTTTATAAGGCGTTCGATTGTCTGATGTTATTTGAATATGTGAATTAACAGCTTCAAAATTACTATAATTATTTTTTGTACTAAATGTATCTATTAAAGTGTTTTGACTCGAATAACTAAAAAATGACCCTTTAGCAGTAGAAGGCGAAGAAGTTAAAGATCCACCTTCATTTTCATTCAAACTTATTACATCTGAAAATAAGGCTTGATCTGAATTGAGTAACTTTTCTTTTGCTAGTACTTTTTTTAAGAGCCTTGACTTAGAAACAATATTTGTTATAGAGTTAGAATTTAAAACCTTTAATTTAGAACCTTTCTTTAATTGTGTACAGAGACATTTCTTCTTCGTTTTGCTATAATAGTTTTTCAATTTCGTTGTCTTATTATTTCTATGATTTTTATATTTATTTTCAAACAGACGTTTAAATTGTTTAGATTTCTTTTTAGAAAAAATATACTCGTATTTAACATTATTTTTATAATTTTCACGAAAGTTGGTGGTATTGAAAACTATTTCTGGCTGTTTGTTATAATGATCTATCCTTATATTGTTTTCAACTTCATTGTTAGTCGTATCATGGGGATAGTTTTCTGTATCACTACATAGATTGTCGTCTTCTATAACAATTTTTGTTTCGTCTATATTTTCTTTTATATTTAAATTACGGTCGATGACATTAGTTGGATCCAAAGTGATTGTTTTTGAAGATAAAGTTGGTGTTACAGAATTAATACTAGCTTCAGGACATTTTTTGTGACATTGCGCTGTGTTTATGTCATCATCAGTCTTTTGCACCTCTAATGATACTACACAAGTTGACATAAACTTGGGGTAACGTGTGAAGGATTTCGGCCTTTTTCCAATATTTTTAGCTTGCATAATATCATAGCCTGTATTCCTTTCGGTGCGATGTATCTACGAGTATAATAGATAAAACGTCAATAGCTTGATAATAAATGAATATAAAACATACATTTTTAAATACTTTTATCGCGAAAAAGAACTCATTATTTAATGGTAATGCAAAGCTAATATCTAATATACATGTTACTTATACTAATAATAATGAATCATATTTTTTTGTTTATGCAACTTAGAATGGCAAATGAACTGACGGTCTACCTGATGGAGAATGGTAACCGTCACTTATAGACATGAGCAGTGCTATGGATATAACAGAGTATACTATTTCGCCCAAGATACCCCCATGCGTTGCCATTCCTAATGACTCAGGTTTTCTCCCATGATACCCCTCATGCATTGCCATTCCTGAGGATTAAAGTGTTATTCTTCTGTACCCTGTAAATTCATTGCCATATTCCACTCTTCAAACCGAAACACAGCCATGCAAACACAACTGCTTTACGGTAGAAACAGGAATAGGACAGAGGTGCCCAAGCAAACGACCTTTGTACAAAGTCTCTCTTTGGTAAAATAATATATTGATTTCTATTTAAGAAATACATAAAGCGTTTGATTATAATGTTAAATAATACTTTATTGGAATAATAAAGAGAATAAAATCATCAAAAACCTAAATCGGACACTTTCAAATATAATCTAGAGGAATTTTTAATTGGAATTAACGTGTTAGTTGTTTTATTTATCTGTTTTGATGGTGAAGTAGTAGGTTTTATCAGATCTTGTATTACATATGAGTAAAATAAGTAAGCAATTATAATAACTGGCACCCACAGCAAAATGCAGTATAATAAACCTTTGCAGAAATTTATACCTTTTCGGTTTCGAACAGAAAATTTGGGTTTGTCGATATTTAGAAACTCTGGCGAACAACCAGGATCGCGATCATCGTATTCTATAGGAATAATAACTTTGGAATTATATTCGTGTGGAGGTTCAGGAAAACATGGAGAACTGTTACATTTAAGTTTGCCTGACTGTCCTGAAGTTTTATTCTGAAGACATTTTTCTTTTGAACATGTTAGTTGTTGTTGATAAAAGTTTTGATATTTACTCTTATTCTTTTTAAAGTTCCCGCTGAAGAAAAAGGTATGTAATCGTGTTTTACGCATCGAATTGGTCATATCAAAAAGAGATTTAGATCTTCTAATCGAACATTGTAAGGTTTTATTTTCTTTTGCTTTATCTATGGCAGCAGAAGTCATATCAGTCACTTTTAATATTGATTCACTCTCTATAATATGATATGAAGTACTCCGTTTTGCTAATTCATTTAAGAAAACTTCTGGTTTCTTAGGGCTCTTTGTTAGTTTTAAGCCAGAAAGCTGTGATTTTCCAATGATATTTGAAATTTGGATTCCTTTAGATTGTATTTGCTGATTTGATGATATATTATTATTATCTTGTCTTGCTTTATTAATTGTTGTGTTATTTGACATCAAGGCTACTTTTGGTATATTTTGTTTCTTTAAATAGTCTTTAACTAATTTTTCAGCAGTAACTACTAACTCTTTTACAACTTCCCTAAGTTCACGTATTTCCTGAGATATTGCAAATTCATTAGTCGTCGTACTACGGTCTGTAAAATTACAAACATTTTTAAATACATCTTTTGCTTCAGCCATTGCTTTCTCACTATGAAATATATACTTATTTTGACTCATAGATCCATCAAGAAGAGGAATAATATTCGGATGATGTTCAGAAAATATATAAGTATTTTCTTTATTTGATTTATGTGTTTCCAAAGAAGTCTCAAATGTGGTAAATTTATTATGGGAGACTTTGAGTGCACATGTTTTGTTTTGATTATTTTTGTTATTAACATTAATTTTAGGTTCCTTTTTATGCGTAGGTAAAATATTCATATGTATCTCAAGTTTTATATCTTTATGATCACTATACGTGGAAAAATAGTTTAAAATATTGTCTAAATGTCCTAAGATATTTCTTTTTTCCAACAAATAATTATTACCTTTTTTAAAATGAGTATATCGACTAAAATAATATTTACATCGTAATTTTTTTCGTTTTTGACGTTTTAGTTTTCTTTTCAACAGCTGAATATTTTTTGTACTTTGGCTATCCTTAATTGTTTCCTTGTTATAACATTTAGATACGTCGTTTGTAGGTAACTCTACGTTTTGATTTATGAAATCAATAGCTACCATGGGATCGCTTTGATCTTTTTCATCTATAATTTTTAATATGTTAATACTTCGTTTAGCACCTGAAATTTCTGCTTTATGAAACTGTACTTTTGAATTACAATTATTTAATATAGTTTGTGCTACTTCGTATGACATATTTTCATCAGTCATAGTAAAATTGTCACTATTCTTTTTATATTTACTGCTACTGGCTATATTTGCAGGATCAGCGGCATAAATGCTTTTAACAAGGCTCGGAGTTACATTTAAGTATCCGTCTTTATGTACTTGATTTTTATTCAAAATATTATTTATGCAAAACGATGTAGTTGATTTAGTTTTATCACTATTATTAACTGGTTTTGGAAAAAATATGATTTGTTCTTTTTTGTTATCTTCACTTTCATTATTTTCTTTATTAGGTACACAAAATTTAATATCTGAATTTGAAGATACTGTTAATAGATTAAAAGTAGACGTAGTAACAAATAATCTGTGTATTTTATTTTTAGATGTATTAATGATGTTATATTTTTTTACCTTTTGTTTTCTCTTCATTGACACATTAGAATCAGTAGTCTGCATATGAAAATTTCTAGGTATACTTAAAGTCGAAATTATTTTTATGTGTTTGTAAGGAAAAGGTACTGTGTAATAGGAGTCTTTTCTTTGAGTTTTCTCCTGAGATAAACCACTGGTTACTGAGGGTCTTAGCTTCTGTTTACAATATTGGCAAGTTACAGCTGTACTTCTTTTAGTACCTCTTTTACCTCTGTGTTTATTATTGTCTTTATCCATAACATAAGTTGTACAAGATGAAAGTCTCTCGGGTTTCCTTGTTTCAAGTCTGACCAGTATAGAGTCGAGAATAGCGTCAAATTTTTGTTTTAATTCTTTATTTTCCAATACATGTGTCTTGATCCAATTATTTAGAAGTACTTTAAGGTTCTCTATCATAAGGGAAGTAATATCTATATTAGTTAAATTAGGTTCCATTACAATAGAAGTTTTACTGCTATTATCACCACATGCACTGGCATTTGGCTCAAATTCTTCAATTGTTCTTATCTCTGTGCCTGCAATTGTTGAATATTTCAATCTTGACGATGATTTTCGACTTAATTTACTCCTTTTACTTCTATAATACCGTCTTAAAACACAAATATCAGTTTCCAAACTGAAATCTCTTTTAACTTTGTCATCGTATACATAATATTCTTTAGCTTGCGATAAATTTTTCTTGATTTGTAGAATAGCACTATTGGTATAAAGATGTGACACACCTGAGCATGTCCTGGAATGAGTAAATAGAGTGGTGTTTGACTTCTTGAATAGTACAAGCGTATCTTCCGTCTTACTTTTATTACTCTTACTTTTGCCCATATTTAGAGTATTTCGTATCGGTGGACTTCTTTGTCGTCTTCTGTAAGCAGAAATATTAGTATTCTTCATAATTTGAGTTATTCATATCTCTTTTTAGATGTAATTGAATTTTTTAACGACCAATAATTTCGTGATCTGGTAGTGTTTGATGGTTACACTTGAAGCTTTATACCGTTTACATAGATGATAGTCAAAATTATTTCATATTTGAACGCAGTTTCGGTAATCTTTATGGAATCATTTAAAGAAACATTATTACAGCATTAATTAGTCAATTTCCATTTGTTCTGATACAGTCGTTTAATTCAAATATTATTTCTGTTAAATTATATTATATACTGTTATTTAAATTAGAAATAGATTTTTGTTTGAAAATTTATATACTTTTTGTGAGACTTTGCATAAGATTTAGTTATAAATATAAATAGCTACTCAGGGAAATTGTATATATTTGTGTAAGATTTATTATCATTAACATTAAATACCTCTGCCCCATTCGTGTTTCAACCGTGAAGCAGTTGTGTTTGCATGGCTGTGTTTCGATTTGAAGGGTGGGATATGGCGTGAATTTACAGCGTACAGAAGAATAACATCTGAGTCCTCAGGAATGGCAACGCATGGGGGGTATCATGGGCGAAACAGTATACTCTGTTATGTCCATGGTACTGCTCATGTCTATAGGCGACGGTTACCACTTTACATCAGGTGGGCCGTCAGCTTGTTTGCCATTCTAAGTTGTATATAAAAAAAAAATAACTTAAATTGTTGTTATTTCAACAGTGTTTCATACATAGCAGTTCCGGTCGGTCGCCAGCGCTCAACAAATGGAGACGATTTTAATATTTTTCGTCTTCCATTTGCTGGCCACTCTACCGTAACTTTCTTTTATACATAAGCTAAAATATAGTTTTCCTTACAATAAGGAACCATATCTTATATTAACAATGGCGATTTATGCCAAAAGTTTTCCATTGATTTCTAAACTGGGCCGAGCTTATTCTGTAGTAATTGTACTTCGTTTTACCATACTTCTACGTGTTTAGAGATATTAAAATACTTTAGTGGAACAAACAATTATAATTAAGCCATTATCCGTCTACTGCTAAATATAGGTCTCCTCCATGGATTGTCATAAGGAACAGTCCTGAGCCACCTGCATCTCTTTGCAGTGCAGTGCATTTGAGTCCATCTAGTAGGAGGCTGTCATATACTGCATTTGCCCGTACGGGGTCGCCAATCAAGGACCTTTGTTCCCCATCAAGTATTTATTATAACACCTTTATTGTGGAAAAGTACAAGTTAATATTTATACTTTTGTATTCATAATGTAAATAAACTATTAGTTTATGTACAGCAATTTTACCAACACCCATGTAACAATCAATAAAATCATCTATTTATTGTATAAGGTATGTATGTATGTGTATTATTCAGTATGTGTGTGTGTGTGTGTGTAAGAGAGAGAGAGAGAAAGAGAAAGGTTTTTTCTTTTTAATGGGTGATAATGAAATGGTAACCCCGCCTGTGCTATCGGTATCCGCTGGCGGGGCACCAGTGAGGGATGATAGGTGACGATGAAAACAGGTCAGTTAGCCAATCGTGAGAAAATTCACTAGATTTAACCACGATGGTTTCTAGGGGAACCGCGTGAAGGTCGACTTGATAAGGTGTATTACTAACAATCTCCTGTCCTCCTGAGAGAAAGATATTATATTATATATGTATAATAAGTATATAAGTATAGATTACTTACAAAAATATTAGCTAAGTCATATTATATTAACTAATCAGGTCACGAGAGATTTACTTATTTTGCTATGCTCAGACAAATTATACGATTTCACCTCAGTCACTTATAGAGAATTTTGTGAGTGACATTTAATAATTTTGACAAATTGTTTTTAGGTTTCTTTTAAAGATATCAAAGACTGTTCTTACTATGCCAGTGATCATTTAATTGACATCATCTTTGTTAACCTTTAGACAAATATGTATCTTTAAGGACAGTTTCGGTCACTCCATTGTCAAAAATTGTGATACCATGACGATATTTACTGTTAGAGTCGTATAAACTCGATGGAAAGAGGACAGTTTTTTTATGCAACTTAGAATAACAAGCTGACGACCCTCCTGAAGGAAAATGGTAAGTTTACGCGTCATTTTTATCTAAATGGTTTATATATTGAACTTATTCAATCTGTATTAGCTGAGTCTAAATTAGAAGTTTTTGAATATCTCTGTAAACTAATGCTATTTATTATTTCTTCTCTTTTCATGTGTAGGCAAAGTAGATAAAATCTTTTCAATGAATACTGTGATTGATTGTAGCGTTGTAGCTTTTTTCTTTCTTTTATCAATACGAAGTTTGTGATGGTCATTTTATCGAGTCACATTTTTGTTGTACATTTAACTTTTATTTGAAAAAGCAACAACTGTGTTTCTTGCCAGTTCTTCTCAGCTGATATTGTATACCGAACTGGGCGGTAGAGTTATAAAAAATGACTATTCAAAAATGCTTATTATTAAGTTAATTAAGTAAACTATTTGAATAAAAATTATTTTTATTTATTTATTTATCTGAGAAATCAGTTTCGGGTACATTAGAGCTGATATACCTAAATAAATAAAAAACACTTAAAATATAAAAAAAAGTACTTTAAACTTCCGCGTTGCATGATTTAAATACCAAAACTAGCAAATCAACGATTGTACGACATTTATTGGAAACGGGTGCCAAGCATCGGATCGAGTTTCATCGTCCGCATATCCTTTCCACGAACGAAATTTCTATTCGAGAATAGTACGTGAAGCGATTGAAATCAAGAAGCAAAAATTACATTCGAGTAGACGGCTTCAAACTCTCAGCGATCTGGAACTCAGTAATCCGAAAACCTCGATGTAGTGTGCAATCGGTAAATGCATCGAATAAATATACGACCAGTGTTGTATGCAGAAACCCTCAGTACAGGGACACAATTTGCGTAAAGTGGGACAATGAGAGGGTAGCAGCAAATACTTCTGTCTCGGAAACGAAGACAGGACAGCGCTATGTCAGTCCACTCGTGACCACGGTCGGTGTAACATGGTCGAAACGTTATGATAAATCTGGTAATTTATTTGTTTATTTATTTCAACTAATACACATAAATATGTAATGACAATTGGAAAAGGTAATTAAAATATCGTAGGATAAAGTACAAACATAAAAAGATATAAATTAGGTAAAAAAATTGCCTGCGGTTAATGGAGAACAGATAGAAATGGGTAGGTGGCGTAAGAATGAATTAATATTAAATAAATCCACGTGAATAGTATTGCTATTGCTAGCAATATATTTTGTCAGCTCGACCGCCACGAGGTTCCCTCTAAAAACTATCGCGGTTAATTCCTGGTGAATTCGTCACGATGCGCGAATTAATCCGGCTTTATTTTCACTAGGCTATAGTGAACGATGGTAACTGAGACAATTTTTTTTTTATACAACTTAGAATGGCAAACAAGCTGACGGCTCACCTGATGGAAAGTGGTAACCGTCGCTTATAGACATGAGCAGTATTATGGACATAACAGAGTATACTGTTTCGCCCATGATACCTCCCATGCGTTGCCATTCTTGAGGACTCAGGTGTTATTCCTCTGTACCCAGTAATTTCACGCCATACCCACCCTTCAAACCGAAACATAGTCATGCAAACACAGATGCTTCACGGTAGAAACACGAATGGGACAGAGGTACCCAAGCAATCGACTTTTGTACAAAGTCTTCCTCATATGGCATATCATTAGTTTTTTATATACTCTTTTCATTGATGTATTTAATATTATTTTCTAAAGAAGGAGGGGGGAAGGGCTGGTTCCTTAATAAAACGTGCATGTATAATTTTAGACATGTCTGAAAAACTTCGTTCGTATCTTGGAGTGTGCATAGGACGATACTGGGGTGGGCACGGCTCACCTAACCCCCTATAAATATTCCTTTGCCTTTTTTTAGACTACCCACGAGTTTGTATATGCATACCTATGTATATGTATTTTTTTTATTGGTTGAAAATGGAATGGTAACCCCGCCTGCGCTATCGGTATACACTGACAGGGCACCAGTGAGATTTGACAGGTGAGAATGAGAGCAGGACAGTTAGCCCATTGTGAAGACTTCCACTAGAATTTACCACGATGGTTTCCAGGGGGAACCGCGTGGAGGTCGACCTGATAGGGTACATTGCTAGCAATGGAAGTGTTAGACCGCCATTACTAACAATCCCTTTCCCCCCTATGTATAATGTAAACATCAATTTCTACTATAAACCTCATTAAATTTAGTACCGTGTTTATTATGGTGTAATTAAGGATAATTACAGCGCAACAAGTGGGTACACTGTCATGTGATCCCCTTAATATATGATATGATACAAGCGGTACAGTCGGCAACAAAAATTCACTGAATAAAATCTTGTATTCCGATACTATAAACAGTATTATATTATTAATGTTTTGTTGTTTAATAAGGGCATAGATAAAACAATATCTTTCAATGCGATTTCAAAAAAGGACGAGGTTCTCAATTCGGTTGTGTTTTTTTTGTTTCTTAGCGCAGAACTTTATAAAGAAATCAATTTGGTATTTTTATTGATATAATCAAAAACTAGTACTAAATATTTATTTATTTATCTTAATGTACAAAAGTGACAAGTTGTACATATGGCGGACTTAACAGAAGGCGTCTTCTATCTGTCAAGCACGAATAATGAAGTGTGTTCAGTTTATCTGCAATATTTTATATATATATATATATATATATAGTTTTCTATAAACGCATAACTATGTAGATGTATAGACACTCCTGCCCTCTGCTGCAGGCACTATATTTTTGGAAAATTGGTGTAAAATGCAATCGGTTTATTTGAAGTGAGTCTAGGGATAATTTATTATTTTGTTTATTTTCTATAACTGTACCTACGAGTATATATGTATGTATGTTTGAAAATAGCTATTGAAAATGTACCTTTCGGGAGCTCAGAAACAGCGACCTTAGTGTGAGATGAGTAGGTGATGAGAGCTAAAATTCCATCGAAATTCCTTTACGTAACAGAGTACTGATGGCAGTATAGAAACAAGTTTACATATTTTGTTATAGAAAATACGTATTAAATACAAATAAATTTAATAATTTATATTAAGTACACATATATTTTTTTATATAATTTTAATATTACATCTGAAATCAACAGCTTATATCTAGAATAATTAAAATTATTATATTTATATTTACACAATACATTACTAATAATTACAGATTCCTAATTTGAATATCAGACAATATATGTATATATCAGTAGTAGTAGTAGTAGTATATATATTTATATATATATATATATATACAATATCAGTGGAATTTTACTGGATCTATTTATCTGTAGTATTGTATCGCTAATTATGCGTGTATTGAGTGTACAGTATATTGAGGTTGGGGGAAAGGGATTGTTAATAATGGAGACTGAGAATCCCATTGCTAACAATATACCCAACCAGGTCGACCTCCTCGCGGTTTCCCCTGGAAACTATCATGGTTAATTCCTGATGAATTCATCATGATGGGCTAACTGGCCTGTTTTCATTCTCATCTATCACCCTTCACTGGTGCTCCGCCAGCGTATCCCGTTAGCGCAGGCGGGGTTACCATTACCATTTTCACCCATCTAAAAAAAAGTATATTGAGGTTTTGGGAATTTAGTCCTTAACATGGATTTTCGATGCTGACTGTACAAAGTTTCTCAAATTACACGCAGTTGTATTGTACTAGCTGTTGCCCGCGGCTTTGCACGCGTGCTGCCAGTTATGTCTTGTGTACGTGTGCATGGTTTTATGTCGTTAAACTTATTTATGTTATGGGAGCATGGGAAGTTATAACGCCATCGTGACATATAGCTGCCATAAAACAAAACCAATGACAGTTTCAACTGACGTCAGTTTGTATCCAAACAGGCTCCCTTCTATCCCACTTTTTACCATCTTCGAAAACAACAAGGTTCTCTATACGATTGTATTTTTTTTTAATTTTTTAATGATTGAAACGAAGGGATATGATTGGAGTGAAGGGATTAATAGTGATAGAGACAAAGGATCTTATAAACAAAGTCGACCTCCACGTGTCCCCCTGGAAACCATTGTGCTGAATAGCATGTGTATTCATCACGATGGGCTAACTGACCTGCCTTTTCATTCTCACCAATCATCCCTCACTGGTGCTCCGCCAGCGTATACCGTAAGCGCAGGCCGAGTTACCATTCCATTATCATCAATGAAAAAAAGAACTACGTCAGTTTAGAAAATCCTTTTTTACTGAAAGGATATACTTACAGTTTGGTTCCACAGAAATTATATCAAAATCGATCAATAAGTTTAGTTTTTAAATCAACCAGGTCGATATTGCTAAAAAATGGGGCCGCTAGTCCCCGTAATTCATATATAAATCTTTATGTCTACCTACCACAGTGGCATAGGGGGGAATAGATTGTTAGTAATGGAGACTAAGAATCCCATTGCTAGCAATATACTCAACCAGGTCGACCTCCACGCGGTTCCCCTGGAAACTATCATGGTTAATTCCTGATGAATTCATCATGATGGGCTAACCGGCCTGTTTTCATTCCCATCTATCACACCTCACTGGTGCTCCGCCAGCGTATCCCGTTAGCGCAGGCGGGGTTACCATTCCATTTTCACCCATCAAAAAAAATAAAAACTCACTTTCACATTTATAATGTTAGTGCGGATTCTCAGGAGCCCATCCAAAACTTCGTTGTTTACGAAACAAATAACGCGAATTCCGACGGCAAATTGTGGCCTACAGGAGCACTGGCA